GTTTCTTGACTGGTTGAAGAGGGCAAGATGTAGAGCTTCAGTATTTATGCACATAATGCATATTGCATTAACTGAATTTTTACACGTCTGTCACAAAACTACTGGTGGTGTCCTGTCTCTGCACATTAGGCCTTGAAGATTCTTTCAGGGTTTGTCGCTCCAGAGTGAAAGTCGTTGCTTGATTTTCCGAAGCTGCCTCCAGTTCCCGAACATTTGGCGACGACAAGGCATTTGTCGGCCCGCGACGATACCAGACAGCGGAGACCTGGCACGTGGGTTGCTCCGATTCTGACACGTGACGTTCCTTAGAGTTCCTCCTTGACGGTTCACCAAAGCAAAATTCAACAACCCCATCTCTATTAGGAAGTCCAGGGTAAGGTGGAAGGTCTTCGTCGTCCGACTCATGGTCCCCTAGTAAGTGGCTTATTTCACGATGTAGATGCGGCACTCCAGCGTAAACACGTGACTGCTGGCGTGCATTTGAAGGGAAAAGGTCCGGAGAGGCCATGACTAAGAAAGGTAAGAAAAAATGGGTCAGGTAGAAATAGGCCGCATTCCCCTTTCACCTGAAATAGTCATAGCGGGCAGTATTTATATCGTTGATCTGTTCCGTTTTTTTATCAACACGGTTAACTCGTGGGGGAGGGCGGGAGCTCGAGTTATATACAAATGGCTATACCTGAACTATATACAAACGGCTATACCTGTATTAGTAAAATCCAACTAGTGGTCTATTATCAATGCTGCATTCTGATTGGTTGAGCTACTACCAGGCTATATGTTATACCCCCTAGTAGCGAAAAGCGCCCGCTTTTTGGCGGCAAAAAAGGATTTAAGTCTAGCTTTAACTAGCTAATTTTTTTTTATTCTCGATATTTTTGACCAACTAGTTGGATTTTACTAAAACAATTATTTCTCTCGCCCTTATGGGCTTATGGGCTCTGAGTCAGTAGCCCATTTGGCCTTCGGTCTCATGGGCTATTGACTCAGAGCCCATTCGGGCTCAAGGAATAATTGTGAACTATTTATACAAATGGCTATACCTGAACTATAAACAAACGGTTATACCTGCACTATATACAAATGGCTATACCTGAAGTATATACAAGCTACTATACCTGAACTATATACAAACGGCTATACCTGAACTATATACAAATGGCTATACCTGTACTATATACAAACGGCTATACCTGTACTATATACAAACGGCTATACCTGTACTATATACAAACGGCTATACCTATAGTATATACAAACGGCTATACCTGTACTATATACAAACGGCTATACCTGTATCATAAGAAGGGGGAGCATTGGCTTGGTGAACATCAAAGGAAGCGGTGCTGGCCACTTCTGATCGTCTGCTCTGCGCACGCTGAATTCGAAGCTTTCTCGTGTGAAACACGGCCAGAACACTCAGCACTATGAATATTACACCGCAAGTTGTACCAATCATTATTCCAGTAAAATGGTTTCTTCTTTCTGCAGCTAACATAAACAAAAGCGGATTTTCACCGGTTAGTCAAAGCACATAAACTTGTAGACTTGATTATTCTTTAACTCAGTGGCTATAAAGTTTAAGGTAATGAGAACAATGGTGACCATATAAGCCACCTGGAATAATACAGGTCTAGCAACCAAATCCCCTCTTGGATGCTTGGTGGTAATGCACTAAAGTGGAAAGGATCACTTCCACCATTACTGCCTTGAACGACCTTTTATGTCCCCAGAGAACACGGCAGATGAGAACTTGGTGGCATAATTATATTTTACCTAATGAAAAATGAAAGATGGTAAATTTTAAGCTCGGTGAAAAAGATGTCCCCGACAGGATTGGAACCTATGACCTCCCAAACACTGGGCGCCAAAAACGAATTGAGTCCATCTTGGCCGCCATGTTGTTTTGCACTCGTCCCAGTCGTCTCTGGACGAGTCGAGCATAAATGCGTCCTAGTTTACGACGTCCCATCTTTATACCAGATGACTTTAACGTCTGAGACGTTAAAGTCGCCTGTTAAGTGCGTCGTTCGGACGCACTAACGAAAGACGTTAAAGTCGTCAGACGTTAAAGTCGTCTGCCTTATTTACCGTTTTATACTAGACGTTAAAGTCGTCTTAAGACGACTTTAACGTCTCTAGCAAAAAACGGCCATTTTCTACGGTATGGTACCACTGGCCTTATTAATCCTCACCCATGCGTTTTTTTTTATCGCGCGACCCGATGAGGATGGCGGGCAACCTCTCCCTTGGAATCACTTTTTTGACTCCCTCAACTCCCGGTCAATCGAAAGTTTAAATCGATCACACAGCAAAATACGCCTTGCAGGCTTTATTAATCCCTTCCTTTAAAACGTTTTCAAGAATCACGTTAGTATGCCAACGAGGTGTAAGGTTGGCTTTAGGTGCATTTTTTGAACCCTCTTTTATCCGTTCATTTCAAACCAGTTTCTTGTAATGACTATTTTGGCCTCTTATATGGTACAATTCTAACATTCACGTACAGTATAAAGGATTAGAGAGGTGACCTACCAACCCTTTTGCCCCAACCTGACAGGTCGCTTATTGTAATTGTTGCACATGTGAATTCATTTCCCGGGCTTGGCAAAGCATAATTTTTAGAGCAAAATTTGATTCCTGTTTTTCAAATTTGTTGCTTGAAGAGTGAAATCGCATTTGCAACAATTGAGATTAGGAACCTGGTGGGGTGGCCTGTGCTACCTGGTCTCTAATCCCTTATGCTGTCAACTTAGAATGTCCCATATAAGAGGCCAAAATAGTTAGTACGACAAAAACGTTTCCAAAGAACGGATGTAATAGTCTTTAAAAATGCGCCTACAAGGAGTCTTGTAGTTTCCATGTAGAGTATTTTAATGTGACGTCTTGTGCTCTATCCACTTGAGCTACGGAGAATTAATGGAGAGAGAGGCCATATACTAGGTTCATATTTCAAACGCGTCCTGCATACTACTAGGATCATTTTCACATTTGTTTCACCGAGCTTAACATTTACCATCTTTCATTTCTTTCATCACACAGTGCGACATCGACATTGCTGATCCTAGAAGTATGCAGGACGAGCGACAAATATGAACCTAGTATATGGTCTCGCTCTCCATGAGTTGGTAATAAATAACACAAAAAGGCCCAGATGTACCGAGTATTTGGGTTGACCCAAATGATATAAGTTCGACGGATGATTCAGACGCCGCACTCAATTCATTTTTACGATGTGCAGTGATCTACAATGCTTACCAGTCAAAATAAAGTATAGTAATTTATCCATTCGGTTCGACGCTTGAAACGAAGTCGCTCCACAGTCCCATGGAGGAAAAATTCGAAGTTTTAACAGGGCCTAGCCAAGGCCAAAGGTTAACGAAAAAACAACAAAAATTCGCTTTCAGTTCCACATATTCCTTTTAATCGGAAAACTCTAATGGAAACGATCAAATCAACAAACGTTTATTGTTATGGACCCCCAAAAACTGTTCGATTTTTCAAATAATAAACAATAAAAAACACTGACTAAGAACACTGAAAAAGAAAAACATATTTTCAAATGAATATCGTATCTATGGTGAAAGAACAAATCAAAGGGTATCCGGGCGACGTACATATAATATTAATTCACCTCTCAATGAGCGCAAGGGGGGTATAGCTCAGTGGTAGAGCATTCGACTGCAGATCGAGAGGTCCCTGGTTCAACTCCGGGTGCCCCCTTGTGAATATCTCTTTTTTTCCTTTCATCTTCTCCTTTTCTTGTCTTTAATTTTATTTGCTGTTCTTTTTTATTACCCCGTTTCAGTGAAAATACAAAATCAAGCAAATAAAACTTGCTGACAAAAACAGGAAAATAAATAAAATTCCATCAAACGCAAATGAAAAGGTAATAATACTATAGTAAAACTTTTATAATTATGACAATTATAATTTTTATAATTATGTTCAAAATTAAGGTACAAACCAAATCCGCAAATGGAGAATTTATTGACCCGTGCATAAATAAACTGCAAAAACCAAGAACCTCCTCTCCACCCCAGAAAAGGTAACGTCATTCTCTTCCACTTTATTCTAAAATTTGACATCATATATAGCCAAGGGGGGTATAGCTCAGTGGTAGAGCATTCGACTGCAGATCGAGAGGTCCCTGGTTCAAATCCGGGTGCCCCCTTCTTTTCTAATTCGTCATCTTTTTGGTGAACTCTCTAAAAAAAAGATTTAGCTTGAAACAGATAGATTTTTTTCCTTCGTCTTGGCCGGAAATTGGAAAGAACAGCACCATGACAGTAATTTATAGACTCGGACGAAGAACGTTATAGATAGATAGATAGCTTTAATTCAAATCATATGGCAGTCCTCCAAGGCTGAATTGTATGAATTTACAAATACAGTTGATACAAAACTTAAAATATGAAAATGTACTAATTAAAAAAAAAAATCTACAAAATTATACTTCAGAATTCTAATTTATAACAATTATACTTTAGATGAATTAAACTTTACACAAAAACTGCTAACGCCTGCACATAGATGGCAGAAATGTGCTAGAAAAACGCTTGGTACGCATGACTGGATTTGCAAAGTGGCGTTGTCTTCTGAGGTTATAATGACAATAGTTCTTGGGAGGGAGGAAATGATGCAACTTATGATCTGGATTAGGTACAATAGAATCAAACAGTTTTTCACATTGATCTATGCGTCTGTCCTCTAACGATGCCATGTTGAACACTGACAAACATTGACAGGCTGTCATCGTAAGAAAGGCCTAGGTAATCTACTGTCATTCCAAACGTGAAAAGAAAAGAAAAAATGTTTATCAGCAACTACACATGTAGCTAGTTACATGCCAGATAATGACACTTATACAAAACGTCACTCAAACTTGGACGCCGACCGATAAAAGCCTTGAGTAACATTACATTATTTCATCTTTGATTGCTAGGAAATCCAAAAAGCTTCTAGGTGGCCTTTTAATTAAGGGGTTTGACACCTGTTTTGAAAAAACGTAAAATCCTCGTGAAACAGTTTGTAGAGTACTAAACTTTTTCTTCCTCGCTCATAACTCGGTTGAGGGTTGATCATCAGTCTACCCGTCAAAAACAAAAACGATAAAACAACAAAGAAAAACTAAAATTTCGAAATCTACCGAGTGAAAGTGCAAAAAAATAAAAAATTAATAATAATAATAGCACACATAAATACCTTGTTCGCCGATTGCTTTCAGTGAATACATTGCATCAAAGCCTCTCCCAGCATACTGAGTGTTGGAATGGAACTCTATTCGCAGCTTGTTGCTGTCGGAAGTGATGGCTGGCGGAATAACACTGCCACAATACCGGCCAATAATTTTGGACCAGCTAGCGATACCGTTATACACTTCAGTAAAATCCGAATCATCAGGGCAGTCCTGGGAATCGCCTTCAACGTCAAAGTCCCTGTAAAAAACGGAAAGGAAATAAAAGGACTCAGATCAACTAGTTGCCACAGAAGTCACTAGGTTTTTTGTCAAAACACGAACGAAAACGCGTGGTAGCCAGTGCACAGGGAGTGAATGCATAATGCTTTCTCGCTTGGATGAAAACCCTTGAGAACATATCAGTAAATTGCTTCACACATGAAGGACAATTTCAAACACAGAAGATGCGCTGTGTATTATACTGTACACGACTCTTACCGAAATTTAAGAACAATCTGATGATTTTTGTCTGCATTTATCATCCAAGTACAATGTAAACTGGCAGGATATTGATCCAGATAGCGGGGTGTACGAAATGATCCACCTTTTGGATTCAATGCAATGCCATCAGCGCTACAAAAAGCTTCTAAAATTAAGAAAACAAACATGGTTACGGACCAATAAAGAAGTTTATTTTCGAATGGGCGGATTTAACAGGTAAAGTTAGGAAAGGGGGAGTTGAGGGGAGGTTCGTGGGAAAGAGGGCCGTAACTTTTTTTTAGGTTGAAACTTTTATATTTCTATACAAATGAATATGGAGAGAGGGTGTGCTTACTACCTCATGTTTCCATGATCTTGTGGCCATGCATTTAGTGGAATATTATTAGTTGATCAATGATTTTACATTTGATAATTAATCATATTGATGGAATTGTTTTTCAACTAAAGCATGGAAATACATTTCTGCCTTACTTCACCAGGCATCTGGCAGCATGTCCATTTCTAGACTGGTGAGGGGAAGGGGAAGGAAGGTGAATTCAGGTCACTGAGAGAGTGGAATTATCTTATGCGTGAACAAAAGCCAAATTAAAGGTAATTTTCACTCAAAACTGGAGTCCAAAGGATGCTGGCTTACCTGTCTGTGGTGTTGGTTTACTGTCTATTACATTAAATTGTGCTGTAAAAGAATGCTTTAAGTTCATGCCACTACTACTTCCTTGTAATGTGACTCGCAGATATTGGCCTGTTGAATACACTGGATATGGCCTTGCAGTTCCACAAAACGTCCCAAGCGAAGGTGAGATACTGGTAATAAAAGTCAAGAAAGGAAGTTTGCTCTAAAGAATAACAAGACTTAGTGTTTTCAGATGTCCAAAAAGTGGCTTAATGTTGCAGGTGAGAGAAGACATCTGTTTCCTTGGATGCCAAGCTAATGGACGAATTCTGTATGCTGGTAATTGCTGGTCATTAAGCCAACAATGTAACAAAAACTTACAGTGGACAACTAAACATGCCGGAAATGTTTCATAGTAATATAAGGTTATAGAGGTGGCAAAACGGTAGTCATATTCAATTAAAAAAATGAAGTATAACTTACACGTTCAATAAATAGAACCAGTAGATTCAGAGCAGAATGGTCATACTCTAATAGATTCTCTTTTCAAATTGCCACGTATTTCTTGTAAAATAAGGAGGGAATTTAAAATAAGATCAAGAGTTAGAAACAGAGCCTTATTCTTGGCAACCTCCTCCTTCGGGTGCAGTCACATTTTAGTTTCTATTTTTCCCAGTCGTAATTTATTCTGCATTTATATTCATATTGGCTGATTGCCTGATATTTTCTGTTTACACAAAATCTGTTCCACATTAAAATTTGATACTCAAGTCACCTACATAAGAACTGGGCTCAGAAGGGAGCCTCATCCAGTTCTTCTCAATGTACTATACATTTATCTTTGGTTTTTCACACTTTAATGTTATTCTCGTCAGCTTACCTAAATTTCCCATCTTGAACTTGTACAAAATCATCCTTGCAGTCTTTCCCATGGCTTGTCACCAGAAATTTGTCTTTAAACACAAGCTCAATTTTTCCTCTGGGAACTGAGATAATCCAAACACACTTGTTTGGACCTCTGGGAGTAGACATTAGAGATCCTACAAAAGTTTGATTCTTGTTTGTGTGGGGTAAAATATCTCCACAACGTGCTGAAAGAAAAAGCAAGAGAGGGTCACAGGTAAAATCCCTGAAGAATGTAATGTACAGTTTGGAGAAACTAATAAAGAAAAAAAAAGAAGGGAAAGCTTGAGGTTTATTAGTTTACAATGTAGTCCTTTTTCTCTCCATGCTTCTGCTTCCACATGTACCATATTTTTTGCACCAAGCTTTTTTCCTGAAGGAGACTCTACATGTGCGGTTGTCTATGACTCTGCAATGGGATCACTGTCATATACTACAAAAGCTATGGAATTAACAAATTTACATTTTGTACCAATGATAAATGCTGCAGCACGTAATATTGAGTGGTGGATGCATGTCAGAAGCAAACTTTGAAACTAGCTAGGCATGTAAAAGTAACAAGAAGGTAGCTGAGGGCAACTACAGCTCAAGTTTCTCAAGTTCTCTTGAGCATGCATCCAGGCACGGCCAATACATACATTAAGTCAATAAGAGGCTTTTTTCTTAATTTATATGCACCCCACCAACTAGTAGTAAATCTCTGTTCCAAAATACAGGTAAATCTCAGTCAAGTGTACAATGTTTTGTATTTTATCTTACCCTCTGTTTCAACAACTCTCAGTAGAAAGTTACATTTGTTTCCTGATCCTGGTGAAAACTTGATGGTGATGCATGATCCAGATGAAACCCACAAGTCTTCTTTCTGATCATATTCTGCTCTACGATTACAAATCTTCTCCACTAAAAAGCGTTCTTTGTCACATCCATCAAAAATTTCAAGCATTCCTTTATCACATTCATCCTGAATGTCAGATCCAAAACTAAGACTAATGCTTTTTATGAGGAGATATTTTCCCTTTGTGCTTTCTACCATCCAAGTGCACTCTCGACCAGATGATGTGACACCTCGATAATCAGGTGATGAAATAGAGACTGTCTTGTTCAATCTGATTTTCTCACCATTACATTCTGAAACTAAACAGAAAATATCAATGACAGAGTTTGTCCCAAATGGAATGGAAAGAATGAAGTATTGTATCTAAAATTTATGCAATTAATGGGCCACTAAAGTCCAATTACACATATGTAGAGTTAGAATGAACAATTAACACCAGTTGCAAATACAAAAAAAAGGTTGAATGGGAAGTCTTCTATAACCACAATATATATCCCATTTAAACCACAGTCTCTTGACAAGGTAATTTGACTTCCATCCCCAAGAAATGCACTGATACATGCTGAGAAGAAGCTCATTATTCTTCCAACATGTTTTCCAATACCCCTTCAAATATTCCAGAGGATAAAAATTCAACCCAGCTACCACTACTTAAAAACATGATGCTTCTTGAAGCTGGCCCTTTTGACCCTCTCAAAATTGACCAATTAGAGGGGGGCCAACACAGTAAAGCGGCCCTTTGACCAACGGCAGTCAGCCTTCCAAAAGGTATGCAGGCTTAAAAATGAGGCACAACTGCCAGGAGAGGTTTCCTCCAGCAATATCACGCACCATGATTCTTAAGGTATTAGAACAGCTGCTATAAAGTCAAAAAATGATCATGCTTGTAAAATTGCTTATTTGAAATGTACTCTCAACCTGAACTCAAATTCCAAAAATGAAGCATTTTCGTTAAATAGAGGCCGGGAAACGAAGGCCAAAGTTGGTACCTAGGAGCGCAATACAGTATTAATGATGTATTAAATGAATGTATTAAAATGAAAAATGATAAAATAAATGATAAAATAAATGTATTAAATTCCTTGCAAGGTCGATGACAGATAAGGCCGCAGTTAAATGACCTATTATGCAAATTAGCATGTTGCTAAGGTTAAAACATTGTTTATGAAGCCATATCAATCGAATATTTTCAAACTCATTTTAGAGATACATTTTTCAAATGTAATGGTTTATAGCAGATCTAATACCTTAAGCAAGCGGGTAGGAAGACAGGAAAATTAAGAGAAGTCATGGTGAAAAACTGTCCGCATAAAGACAGCGGAATGTTATAGGTACAAATCAGAAAAAACTTTTTGCTGGCAGGTCTTTATAAAGGAACAGCCTAATATCCACATTAAATACAACTTACTGGCTTCTCCATCAGCGCAGACAATCAATGTGAAAAGGGCAAAGGCTGAAATTATAAATAAAAGATATTTCACAGTGAATGCTTTGAACCCAGGAGTCATGTCATAGGAACAAAATAAGTGTAAGTGGAATATATAATGACCATCCAGATCTGACAATGGTCATAGTCCTACCTCCCCTTTGGGATGATCATTCCTCCCTCCTTACAAATCTTGCTTCCCATAACTTAGAAGAAGAACGAACATCGTAATCTAACTTTCCATAATTATTGCAAGCAGATAACACTAATACCAATTATTTATTTATTATTCTGGTTGTGCACTAGCTACAAGGATTGCATGGCACAAGAATCATTGAAGCTACAATTTTTGCCACATTTTATTGATGACACATCCGGTGAGAAACTAACTAAAAATTTCACTTAGCATTACCTCAAAGACTGAGGAAAACCAGTGTTAGGTTTTGTGTTAAGTTTCTTTTGAGCTTTCTTTAAGGAGGGGGATATTGGGGGACTCTCCACACCACAACACCGCAGAAAAAAACACCGCATCACTGCAAAAAAGGGGTGAAACACCAACATCACAATTTAAGTTTTTGTCCTACGATTAATCTAATCCAAATCTCCATATAACTGGGGATGGAGGATCTCGGAACTGGTGTAGTGATTAGTAGAGATTGAGACTGACCTCAAGACTCTATTTTTCACTTACCTGTACTCTATTTTTGCGAACTCTATTATTTCATTCTTGCAGATAGAAAAATGCATGCAGCGCCTGTGGGAGTGAGCAAACAGTTGTGGAAAAAAAAAAAAGATTTTGCCTGTTATCCAATTGTTTTGTCAAAGTCTTTTTTGCAAAAAAAGAGCATACAGATCATCCTTCACTCCTGCTGTAAAAAACAGTGGTGAGATATTAAAGTTAATTTTACCCGACTTTCCTAGAAGGGCTGAACTTGTTTTGGCTTGTTTTGGGTTGCTGTGGATCTTTTGCGAATTAGTTTTGATCGTTATTGATCATTTTGGGTCGTTGTGGATGGTTTACATGTAGGTTGTAGTTTTGGCTCATTTTGCCTGGTTCCTCGTCTTAGTAACTATGGCCAAATGATAAACCACAACACCGCAAAGTGTCTGAAAGTTGTTTCATTTCAGCGAATACCATAGGTTTAAAATCAGAATTAATTACTGCACACCCTACAGTCTAAGATCACCGCAAGACCGCAAGATGGGATGTTATTCACCACAATACCGCACAAAAAAATAAGCGATACCACAACACCACAAATATGTCCATGTCCCCCTCTTTTAGCTTGTCATTAGCATGCTGTTTAGTCTTCAAATCTGTTAATAATTGACACTTGACACTGATTTATTGTTTGCCGAAATGTGAAAGCCGCTTCTAGTTTCCAAAGTGAGAAGAACCAAATCATCTCAAAGCTATCATCTCAAACTTCTTTTAAAACAGGTAGTTTTCAAGGTGGTGCAGTGGTTATAAAGCGACTTTATTAAAAGCATGTTTTACACATATGGAAATACCGATCCTTCATAAGGCGAATAATATGCAACAGTCTACAGGTCGCATAAGTAAAAATTTGTTTGCGTGTTCGTAACAGCAAAGCTTTACCACTGATTTGTTAAATTGCTCAAGAACTTTGGCCATGATACTTTCAGTTTTTTGGCCATCCCTCAATACAAGAATGACATCCTGCACTACAGGAAATTATCATGAAGCGCATGTCTTGCGAGAGGGTGCTACCGTATATATTCGAATAAGCACCCAACCTCGAATTAGTGCCCACCTCGAATAAGCGCCCATCTTAAAGGCAGAAAAAGTTAATAAGCGCCCAGCCTTGAATAAGCGCCTTTCCCCTTCTCCTCCCAATCAAACTCAAATAAGCGCTCACCCCCACCCCACTTACTTGGGTGAATAAATTCTAATAAGAGACTTCGTCCCCGAGCACAGAGTTTTCTACATAGTATTTTACAGAAACCTTGCTTTGTTACATCTTCGCGTTTTGTTATTAGCATTTATTGTTTTGTGGCAAAATAAACATACTTCACTTGCTGAAAATGATGAAAATTTAATAAGCGCCCAGCCTTGAATAAGCGCCCACCTCGAATAAGCGCCCACTCTCAAGGTCCAAAAATTAAATAAGCACCCAGGATGGTCAATCGAATAAATATGGTAACTTGCTTTTGAGTGGCACTATAGGTACAATTTAAATTATCACAAGAAACTGCAGTATTTTAGTAAATTCAAATCAAGTTCTGAATTTAATGACAGTGGGAAAAAAACCTTATCACGTTTTAGACAAGAGCTCTGTAATAATATTACATGTACATGTACTTACAATAATTTGTTTTTATATAGTGGAAAACAGATTTTTTAATTTACAACATCACAGAAAAAAAAAAGCAGTTCATCTAGTTACTAGCTTGGACATACCTGGCTATGCATCACACACTCATACTTTTTGTCACCTTTTAAGAACTAATTATTATTCCTCATATGTATGTAGAAATGACTAATTTACTAAAAACACTGGATGGATGATCAAATACCAACTCCTCTATATAATTATGTACACTGTATATACATACATGATCATTAATTGTCAAGTAAACTTTTCAGCATTTCAAATGAAAACCAAATTTCACCAATTGTTTTTAAAGTCAAGCTGCACAATAAATATAAAATCACTTGCATTGAAATCAAGAATTCCTAAGGCTAGACATACAAATCAACCTCCTTAACATATTATGAAATCATTATCTATTTTGAAGAGTGCAAAATCATTCTATGAAAGTAACATGTACATACCAATAAGAGAAAACAACACAAACTGTTCAGGTACATAGAGCATTTTGCTAAATGCATAACTAATAAATATAGGGCATAAGGGGTTGAGTTAACAATAAACAAGTAAATATTAACTGGATTAGCTGCATCAGACAACAATATCCCATTTCACATGCAACATATGGAACTTGATAGACAAAAGATGACTACCAATAAAAAAATGGTATTGTGCCACTTGATTTCAAAAGTGCAAAAACCTAATTATATCCCAGTTCAGATCATTTACTTGCCATTTGAGTTTCCAAATTATCATAAAAAGCAACTCATGACATTTGATGCCAGACTGCATTTTATACTGCTGCTGTTATAATTCAATTAAAGGTAAGTGTGCCTGAGTGAAAAACAAGTCAAGAAAAACAACCAGCTGGTAAAAAATATCAGAGAGACCCTTCAAAAGGGTCGAATTACAGAGAGCTTATTTCCAAGCCTCTGCAAAATAACTGATTTAAGTTGTTAGAGATCCCAGGAGAGATTAACCCATCAGATCTAGAAATCGACTTTCTAACTGCATCACAATTTTTTTTATAATGATAGCCTAAAAAATTCATGTACTATGAACAAGAGGAAGACACTAAGACACAGGTCCAAAGTTAAATATGGTGACAGTAAGTGATTTCCAAACACAATACAATGTACAAGTGCACAGTTCACCACAATAAAATTACACTCACATTCACATGGCGATCAAGTGTCCCCCAGCTGTTTTGTAATAACCTTCTGAAGGGCAAAATTCCAAAGAGTAAAAGAAATTTTCCACGATAAAGTCAAGGGGCTGCAATTTAGATCAGCTTAGATCCTGTACCTCTAGAGACCAATAAACATACAGTTTACCCATAATATTTTATTAATTTAAGTCACTGACCACAGTTAAAGCATAAATTCCACCTCCTAGTTGATTAAATTACCATGGTTGTGCAGAACATCTGCCAACATCGTGGCAAGAGTTTATCGATACCACTCATCTTCAAATTAAAAAAGAGAGAATGCTTAAGTCTATCTATCATTAGCTTGTTGCACAGTCTGTCAAAAACAACTCAATATCATGCACTGATTATTCACAACTTAGGAAAAGGAGGGGATGAAGAGGTTAACCCTGACATCTAGTTCATCTCCAAAAAAAGTACAATAACAATAACATGAATACACATACGAATAATATATATATATACCTCACATGGCAACACTGAACAAGCGCAACGAACTTGTCTCAACAATAGTGTGGACATCAACGCAAGTTCATCCTGAGGTATAATTGAACATGTCAAAGCCTGAGATTTTAGTGCAAGCATTTAGTGTGACTTAGGTTTCGTATAAGAGTTGTAGGCGATTAAGAGCACACACGCACTTTTCATTATAAAAATTCTTAAAAATTTAAATTTCAAACGTTACACGTAGCCGTTTTCATCACGCGATCATATTGTTGATGTAGACCCTAACGCTTCAGAGTTATAATTAACAATTAATGAATGAGGCTGAGTATCTTATGAAGAATTATGGAGATCGAGGAGGGTGTTATCCATCGAGGCCATAGGCCAAGGCGGATAACACCCTCCGAGATCGCCATAATTCTTCATATGATACGAATGCCGCATTCAATAATTGTTTTATTATTCATTCAAAATAATTCCTAGTTTAAAAACATGGCTAAAACGTGCTTACCTTCATCGATCCATCATTGATGTTAAGTTCATCTTTGATAGTGCACTTTTAGGGTTGTTAATTCAGCTCCGCAAATATTCTGCAAATAGCAGATGTCGCCCTCGAGTTGTCTTCTTGCTGATCTTGCCATGTTTTTAGCTATTTTTTCGCGTAGTTCTTACTCTTGAAACGAGTGAAATGTCCGCCATTTTTCAAGTTCACAACCAAAACAACTCAACCTCGTCCCCAGGTCCTCTCGATTAATGGTGCATTAACCTGCAAGAACGCTGCATTTTTGACGTCATTTCCTCGCTAAACACAAAATTCTTCCAAATTTGGTCATCAGTAATCGGTTATGGTGAATTAACCGTGAGCTTTTAGCCAATCAGAATCGGGGAAATCTTTTGAATGAATAATAATGGGGTTTACCTGACGAGATCGAGTGGGTCACCTTCTTGGAGGCCTACGAAACAAGTTTGTATTAAACACCAATACACTCAGGATTTGAGTAGCTCACCTGAAACAGAAATTAGCTTGTTGCCAAACAAAACCTTGTTGTTAAATCAGTCATAACCATACCATTAACCGAAATTTTTAACCAGTCTGTACTAACTGGGGTTTACCCTGCAAAACTTAAATATGCAAAAGTAATTCCAGTGTACAAGGGTGAAGACGAGATCGCAAACTGATAAAGTTTATAGACAAGAATGATATTCTTTACCATTTGCAATATGGCTTTCTCAATAAACATAGTACCCGGCACGTGATTCTTGATATTGTGAACACCATACATTCTAATATGGACAATAGAAAGTACTCACGTGGAATTTTTATAGATCTTAAGAAAGCATTTGATAATGTTAACCATGAGATTCTTTTGACAAAACTTGAACACTATGCAATAAGAGAAGTTATAAATTCTTGGTTTAGATCATATCTTTCAGATCGCCGATAGTCAACTGAAATAGACAAACGCATATCTGAGACTCATGAAACGATCGTATGTGGAGAGCCTCAAGGCTCTATACTTGGACCCTTGCTATTTTTGTTATATATTAATAACATCCATCAATCTTCCAAGGAATTTACTTTTTATCTATTTGCAGATGATCAAGTCTAACCAATGCAAATGACAAGTTGCGTACTTTTGAACTAACTGTCAACAATGAGCTTGAGAAAGTAAGTCAATGGCTAGATGCTAACAAACTAATGCTCAGTGTCAAAAAGTCTAATTATGTCATTTTTCGTTCGCGCCAAAAAAGAATACCTTTCATTATGTTGTTGTCGTATAGAATGATGATGTTTTTATAGGATGACAATGTAGTTTTGTAGTTTTGTAGGTTTAGGATTTTGTTGTTATTTTTACTATGTAAAGCGCTTTTGGACCATTGGGAATTTTTATAGAATGACAATGTAGTTTTGTAGGTTTAGGATTTTGTTGTTATTTTTATTATGTAAAGCGCTTTTGGACCATTGGAAATTAGTGCTCTATAAATACTATATATTATTATTATTATTATTATTATTATTATTATTCATTCCTCAAATTAAGTTTTTTAATCCAACTTTAAATACTCGAGTAATTCTACAGATGAAGGACTTTGTTAAATATTTGGGTATAATGATTGATTCTGAACTATCATGGAAGCATCATAATGACTTTATCTGTCACAAAATTAGTAGATCGGTTGGAATAATTGCTAAAATGAGGTATTACATTCCACAGCATCTTCTTTTGAATTTATATCATACACTTATTGCTCCTTATTTAAATTATGGTATCTAGGCATGGGGCAACTGTCCACAGACCTACCTCAATAATATACGTGTTCTGCAAAAATGTGCACTGCGTTTGATTTATTTTTCTAAACCCAGAGACCATGCAATCCCCTTTCTATTGAATCAAACTGCCTTCCTTTGCAGTCTTTGTTCTTTCAACAGTCTAGCTATTTAATGTATCTAGAAATCAGCATAGATAATCACCAAGCTCTGTTTAAATACGCGGACGACCCTACTCTCATTGTTCCTGTTTGGAGTAATGGCCACTTTCGCACAGATTTGGTGGATCAGTTTTTAATTTGGTCTAAGGAAAATAGTATGATTTGTGATCAGTCGAAACGTAAAGAAATTATTTTTCACAAGAAAGGTTTTATTCAGGATACTGTGCAAGTAAATAACATTCTGCAATGCACGGAGCTGCCCATTTTAGGTGTTATGTTTCAGGAGAATTGTAAATAATTATAGCGAACACGTACATGCTAAGTTGATTAAGGCAAATAAGCGTCTGTTTGTATTAGGATCTTTATGGAAGGAAGGTTTTAGTCAAGGTGAAGTAGACCACCTATTTAGTGCCTTAGTTTTACCGAATTTTACTTATGGTCTGCCTGTTTAGGGCGATGTAGACTCAGATCTCACGAAAGATTTAACCTTTTGTAATATTAAGCTCATATTTATCCCAGTTTTGGCCATTTACACACTCTGCATGATCCAAATTCAGTAATATTCTAATTCTGGCCATGCTTTTCCATCAGAAGCAAATTTCCTTGACTTATTTCATTAATCTTAGATCTGTCGCACCGTAGTCTCTGAACTGCTCGATTTAATAAATATGTATGTCCACTGTAAGACAAACTAAATTAAAATACAATCGAAGCAAACGACAAACGTGACTCTTCATGACTCTTTAAAGATTGCAAAATCCACTGAAGTACCTCATTTCCAAGCACTCTTAAGCAATACTGCGATAATAAAACCCAAACACTTCGGAAATTAATTAGGAGGAAACCATATTAACCAAATAAAAAACTAAGAAATAAACGTAAGATTTAAGCTTATGGCCACGGATGGGTGTAAAATTCCACATGATTACAAAATCGCAATCATGGACGCATACATGTTTGAATAAACGTGAACCAAACCGTAAATGACACCTGTCGTCGGCAGAAATAATCAAAATAGTGCCATAAACTCAATCTTCATTCGCTTTGAGAAATATACAAAGAAAAAAAGCTCTCTTACCACAACGACGCAACGTACAAAACCTCCCGGCGGGGAAATGGACCAACGTCCAAAGATATTTCATCCCTTCTTCCTACTATTATCAAAGCTGTTGTTTTCTAAACCTCCAAAACGCTTCCAGATGATGATTTCTGCCTCAAGCAAGACGTCATCTGTGAGCCAAAGAAGTAACTGCAGTGTGCAAGTCCAATGTTTTGATCGCCATTACAAACGGACAATGCAGAGTATCTTAAAATACGCATGCTTTCAGTGAAAGCCTGTCATCTCCTCCCAGCCCGCTATGCACGATACATGCATGTGTATTGTCCCTATTGTTCTTTCCCTTACAAGTTAAATTCCGAAAATATTCCCACTTTTGACAACAGTCTTCTCGATTTCAGGTACCGAAGTTCGTTGACGAATAATGCAAAAAGTGAATAAGAAGATACAAAGTAAAATAATAACCGCTATTTTATGTCCGTTCACTTCCGGTTGCATGGCATTAATTGGTCACGAGCTTTCCGGTAGACAAAACAACAAAAGGTCTCGAAATGTTTTTTGTTTTAAAATTATATTTTATACGTTTTCAGGACTGATGGACGAGCTGCCATGGCCTGTACGAACGCAACAACTCCCAACTTTGTTGGTCCCACCATCTTTGGGGTTGTTGCATCCGTTTGCACGCAGATTTGGCTGGTTTCAAACTTTGCGTAACAACTCCCAACATCACGCGCGCAACAACAAAGTTGGGTCCGTTTGCTGGGGGCAGGAGGGGGCGTTTAGGACCAGTTATTTTGTCATTGGGATAGGATCTAGAGAAATCAGCAGGGTTTAGTCGAGACAAACGTTTCACTTATAAATGGAAAATGTCATTAAATGCAAATGGACGCACCCAACACTGTTGGGCAACAACTCCCAACACTGTTGGATGTTGCATGTTGTGTCCTACCCTGGGTTCCAGATCGACAAGAAAAAAAAATCTTCTGGAACCCAGGGTAGTTGTGTCCGTTCAAAGTTTGAAACCGGTCAAATGTTTAGCAACGTGCAAACGGACGCAACAACCTCCAAATGTTGGGGGCTCAGTGGGTCCGTTTGCTCGTAGCTCAACCAGTCTAGAAAAGTCCCAACAGAATACCGTAAAATTCCGAAAATAAGCCCCGGGGCTTCTATTTTTAAAAGACCCTTTTTGAGGGGCTTATTTTTGGAGGAGCTTATATTTGGAGGGGCTTATCTACGGAGGGAAATTTGCGTTTCAAAATCGACTGGGCTAGTTATAGTTGAAGGTAAATTTACCGTTTTTGCTTTGTTTTACTTTGTATTTGAGGTCAATTTTTCAAATACAAGCCTTCGGGGGCTTATATTTGGAGGGGCGATTTAACGGAGGGTTTTTTGCGTTACTGGTTTGGGGGGCTTATTTTCGGAATTTTACGGTAGCAAAATTACAGTGGCATGGTTTGCCAGGCCGAGGTCTGAAGGCCAAACTGAGAGTCAATTTAGCCACCGTTAGGTCGAATCGAGTGTGAACTAGAGTCGTGCCAGTCAATTCCAAAGCCGCCCATCCCCCCCCCAACGCATACTCCGGGCATTTGACAGGAGTTTTGCTCCGTACAGTGGGAAATGTGACTCAAAATGAGGCCCGCCCGCTCGGGCAATTGACTTTCGCGTCGGGGATGCTATGTACACCGCGTTTAGGCGTTTATGGGTCATTGCTCCTACATTCATTGTTCCTTGTAGCTTTTCTTGGAGCATTTGAGAACCTGGCGAGGGGCACACAAACACCAACCTCATGACCTTGGAGAGAACCCTCCTCGTCCTCTCTTGCTCTTATTTGGCTTCCACACCTCTTTCTTTTTCTCCCCGTGCTCCATTTTGCGCCACTCTCCACTACATGAATCGAACCCTGGAACGACTAGGCCTGGTTCCAAAGGGACCCAAGGTCAAATTCCTTTCAGAAAGGTCATAATCTTTGTGATTTTAATGGTTTTATGACTAAAATGGTTTTGCTCATTTGAAGCTTTGTGAGAGCTCCGTCAATGTGGCAGTTGCTCTCGGTAATTTAAGCCTGGCTTTCACTAGTGTATTCAGTGTCCGACACAATCGACAGTGAAACAGCCTGAATACACGCGAAAACACAAGAAATATTTGTTCTTTCGTTCGGCTTTACCCTCTCGCTTGTGAAATAAGCCAACCTCGTTCCCAGGGTTCTCTCCTACCCGTCCGTTGCGGGGTAGGAAAGAACCCTGGGAACGAGGTTGCATAAGACAATGGGGAGGGTACTAAGTGTTTACTAAGTGTTAAAAGAGATGTTTAAAAATCACTCGTACCCACCAGTTAGCATTGGTGCAATAGTGGAGGAGAACAGCAAGGTGAGAGCCCTAGAGAATAAGTTGCTGGAGAGGAAAGAGAGGGAGGTGGGAGTTTTAGCCCAGTCAAATTGTGGTTTAGTATCAAACTAATTGCAACAGAATTTTTTTCAACGCCGTTTAATTGTTGAATGGCTGTTTAACAACATACTAAAAATCCGCCAAAATCGGTTCGGTGAAACATGAGAAAAATTGGCAATAAAGATTTTTAACTCTCACCACAGGAATCCCAATTTCAGGAAGATCACAAATTCAGACAAAAAATCTGATAATTGTGTTTTATTTTCTCAAGAATTTTTGATACAACATCGCTAGTGTATTTTGGGTAGTTTTGATTTTAAAAACGCTGACTTGATGTGTGAGAAACACCAGGCTAAGTGTTTCGTCTTGACGGCTCTGCACAGGTTACCCAGCCACTTGTCTGTCTTCATATTCTGTTTTCCAAGCTTTAATTTTTTTTTCTATGACGGTATTTAAAAGGGAAATTATTAGTCAGTCTGTGTTAACATGGTTGAAACAATAATTGTTTTTTTGCGTAATATCAGAAATGCAGTAAGTATTTTAGCAGTTTTACAGGCTGGTAATTTTTTATATGTGCAGCATGGATTCAAATTTAGTAGCTGACTGATGGTGAACAGTTTGATTTGATATTTTGCTTACCTTCGGTCAACTACTAAATTTGCATCCATGCTGCAGGATAACGTGCGACTAAATGTGTGCAACGGACGATAGCTTAGTATCAGTACAAACTGTTTCACACCTATTCCCGTTTTCTGTACGTAATCGACTTTTGTGAAGTAGTTATGTTCAAACCTTGGACACAATATGTGTGATCGAAAACAGGGATTCTTTTTTTTTCTCGCGACATGCGCAACTTCCTTTAGGATTATGACTCCATGCTTTACAATGTGAGTGAATAAGTATTCTGCTAAGGACTCAGGGGTTTTTTTTTTTTCTCGCGACATGCGCAACTTCCTTTAGAATAAGTATTCTGCTAAGGACTCAGGGATTCTTTTTTTTTCTCGCGACATGCGCAACTTCCTTTAGAATTATGACTCAGTGCTTTACAATGTGAGTGAATAAGTATTCTGCTAAGGACTCCGTCTTTGCTAGATCTTAAGGCTCTGCGCTTTTCATCACCTGGCCAACTCTGTTGTAAGGGAAATCCAGAAAACCAAGTGCAGTGTGACTGTTCCAGTTTTATCTTCTTGTTGTAGCGAGTCTCAGATTTAATTTAGTGCATCAGTATGTTTAGTTTGCATTTCATTTCTGCGGCAGCCCTGCATTTCTTGGTAAGATGAATAAGTAGAGTAATTGCTCTGTTGTCTCGAAGCGTTTATATTCCCTCCTTGCATTTCTTTTGTGAGAACAACCATGAACCTTGACCAGTTTTTTTTTTCGTCCATTGGCAAATGAAGTCTGAAGACCTCTTTTTCTATAACGATCATGGGATCCTATACGTCTGAAAATAATTGCAGCGGTCAATGAAGGAGTGAAAGTACTGGACATATGTACGACATTAATGGGCTTGCCTTACTTAGCTTCTGATGACTCACCTCTTTTTGCGGAGCCTACGTTTCTCTTCGGATGAGCGTTGTGTAACACTTCAACTTACTACATGTTAACCTTTTCACTGAGTTGCGTAAATTATGCTCTGCGTGGGAAATTTCCATTTCTCCATAGTCTCTTACAACATATATTTTTACATACGCATCGTTTTGGCTAACTAGAGTTAATTTTTCCCTTAAAAACCTGCCTCCCTATTTTACTATTTCGCTTTCTTGAAACCAAAGTTCTTATGCGATGAATGTTCCGTTAACCTTTATAATTTTTTTGCGAAGGTAACAACACTTTTCCTTAAATGAAAACGCATTCCCCTCCTATCAAATTCATAGGCACTGGAGCTTATCCGCTCAAAAACTGCATTGTTGTGCATCGTAAAGAATTAGTCAAACTATCCTCCCTCCTTGAGCCTCGAAAATGCCTAGATTGACTGGACTATTTTGAAAGGGATGGGAAGCAGGAGAAATAGAGGGAAATTACGCGACGATGCTTGATATCAAAAAAGGCAGAAGGGAAGGAGGTAGGAAAACAGAGGCAGGCGCCGGAAATGGAGGCGGGTACGGAAGGACCTTGAAGATCTCACCGAAAGGTAAGGAACTCTGAACTTTTCAGATAGAGTCATTATTACCAGCGAAATGAGTCGTATGAAGTGATCACTTCAATTGAAGCTCTTGACTAATAGTTTGCCCTAGAGCTGCTTTCGTTGGCAGCTATGAGAAAGAAAAAAGAGTGGGAATATTTTTGAATTGTTATTCTAGGGAGTTTGTTTATGGCCTTGTACTGCACATACAAATGAGCTGTTTTTCATAAATCAGTACACAGGCTATCACTTAAGCAGCTTTATTTTAGCATCACACACTTGAGTGCGCAAGTGCCATCTGACAGCTTTTACCGTAAAAGTAAAGGTACCATTATTTAAGATCAGGAGCCTGTACACAATAACTTTTACAGGGACACTTGAAGTTTAATTATACTCAACAATTAATTTTACGCGGAAAATATACATTTTTAAGCATATATGTTGATATCAATCGAACACTTCTACATCTGCCAAATCACAACAAAACGTCTCGTTCATCCAGTTAAAAATGGCAGCCTTCTAACTCGGGCTATCTCTCCGCACAAGTGACAAAAGGAGGCTAAATACTCCCCAAGCCTGGCAGCCTAATGGAGGACCAAACAAATGATGGACCACAGTTTTAAAAGACTTGATTTAAAAAGATTTGACAGAGATCTATGTTCAACTCTCCAATTATAATGAACAACTGAAACGTGGTCACCCTACAACATTAAAACAAGCTTAATTTATTTTTTAGCTTAAGCTACAATGGTCCTAAATAGGCCGTATTTCATTCTGCGGTACAGAGTTCAAACTAGCTCACTCTAGAGGTAGCCTCATACGAGCCGTATCCTTTTTCGTGCAAATGAAATCCCCCACATAGGCCTACACTTCATGTCAGATTTAGCGCTTTGCCTTTCTTGCGAATACGATTGCCTTGTTAAGAAATCAGACCAGTGAGAGCACTTCTAAAATGCTCAACTCTGGTGAAAGCTCTCTCTGATTACATCATCGACTATGGCTATGCACGGTTATAATACTAAGGCTAAATAAAGTTAAAGTGTCCCTACTTTGGCGTCATCATACCCTGCAGTACTCTGATAGCAGAAGCCGGGTTAATTGACGTCACTGAAGGGAAACTAAAAATAGCAGGCTTTTTCTTGTGAATAACATTAATATCTACGGAACCGTACAGTTAGTTCTACAGTAAGGCATGGCAATGGTTTCCAGATAAATGGATCGCGCAAAAATTAGTCACATTTCTTGCGTTCGGGTGGCATCTTTACACGTTGGTCTGGAAAAAAACCACTGCCCATCCATACCGTAGGACTGAACGATAAATCAAATGACTTAAGTCTTATTTTCTCGAAGGGAGTGGAGCAAAGCGCACGTAGCGCCTCCTGTCGCGCGTATCCTCGCGCGGGAGTCAATTTTACGAGCGTGCACCATACAGTAGGAAAAAAAACGACGCTATGTCTTGCAGAGATAGATACGTATAGGGTGATATTACTTGACCCGTGAAATAGTAGTAGAATACTACGCACTATTATGCACTAATTCTAACGTCTTCTTTTGTTTACCTCTTGCTATTTGGCACTATTTGTTAGTATCTGTTTCACGGTTCAAGAGAAGACACTCTATACGCTTCACTAAAAAGAGCTGATTTCAACATTGACTTCAGCCTATCGAATCCCTACGCTAAAACTTTGAGGTTAACTACAATCATAACCATTCCAACATCTAGTAATTTAAAGAAATAACCTGAAGAATGTAATTCTAATACGAGCGAGACTCATGAAACAAGAGCGAAAAAAAAAACCAACAAGCCCTAATACAAGTGTCTCATACTTAAGTCACACTGACGACTCACCTAGTTACACATTATAAACGCACTACCAGTATCGCTATTTACAGTCCAAAGTTCTACATTATTTAACAAACTTTCTACTAAAGACAGAACGGAATAATTTCTATCCAATTTAACATATAAAATCTTTGTTATTTGGGACATTCTAAGAATATATCAGGCAGCGTCAACGGCGCGTCAACTGCAGCCTGCGAGCGAGCGAGCAAGCCGCGAGGGAACGCATGTCTCCGTGGGCTTGCCGCTCGCGACTCTCCTAAATGGAGGGCTTGCTTCCAGATTTCATCAACTGTGATATAAATTATCACGGTAAGCTAGGAATGGCACAGAGAATGAAGGAGTTGATTAACTTAAAAAGTGACAGAATTAATAACATGATAAAAATGTGCTAGATCCATTGTTTCTTTTTTATTTTTTGTGTAAGCTAAATTGAAATTTGAATCTACCATTCTCATTATGAAAAACCATACTAAAACGAAAATCATTTTTTGAGAAACTATTTTGGATGACGGTAACTGAATCATTTCAAAGGCAAAATGTAAAAATGCACGCTGTACTACTGTTAATAGCATTAAAATAACCAGACGTTTATCTGATCCTCCATTCTCATCAATATACATAATATACTCTGCTAGAGTGTCACAGAACTTTGTAAGCTGTCATAACATAAGACCCCTGTGAAAGCTTTAGGGACGGGCACGGCACTCACCCTCCTTAACTGTAAGACAACTGTTAACAACCAGTAGTTATGGTATACATGGTTAACTTTTATATTTCGTGTTTTGATAATACCCTATAGAACTGTTCCTTTCAATGTTGTCTTATTCACATACATATTTTAGGCATAATTTGTGAAATGACAAAGGGTAAATTTCCTTGAAAATGCCACATGATCTACATGGAGAAAATAAAACATGCCAGATAAAAAGGTCACATTATCAGAGTGCTGATATTTCCACATAGGTAAAGAGACTGAAAATAAAGAGCAAAGTCTCTTGTCCAAGCAAACATTGCCATGGTATGGCCATGGCCTAAAGCATGATCCTTAAATCTAACATTTTCACTATTGAGCTAATAATCCACCCTGGTACTACATGTAAGAGCCTTAAATACATTCAGCAACAAGGCAGACTTCCGGTCTAAAATTACATGACGTAGAGAAAGAACATGAACGTTCATGGAGGCACCACATGAAGTAGCAAGAGGAGATAACGTTCATGGATAGATTTATCACAAGACTTACTAAAAGTTGAAAGAAATAAACAGTACCTAACCAAGTTTCAAGGACAAAAACCTCCACCATTTCACACACAAACTTGATAATGGAGTTGTTCCACCTTTCAAATTTGTGGATGATGAAGACTATCACCTGCTTCTATATGCTTTTTCAGTATTTACAAAAGAGATAATATTAATATTCTCGCAATTTTTATATTAGCCCAGTGAATGAAAACATTAACAACTGACTTTAAGTTTGTAGAGCATGACTCAGCAACCTAGTTCTTAGGGGTGGTGGACAAAACTCTGACCCCCAGCCCTAACCCTAAATGGAATACGACACTGACGTTTAGTGATTAGGGTTAGGAAACTTAGTGAATCAGGTTCCACCTAGGATCATTATACTGGGAAAACTGACCTGAATTCACTCAGTTTCCTAACCCTAATCACTAAACTTCAGCTAAGCAGTTCATTCTACGCAGTGTGTAAAGGGAGCCTTGTCCAGTAGTCTGGGGCTAGTGGATTTTGCTATCGGGCTAGTAAATTCTGCCCTTAACTTGCCCAACTGGCAAGTGAAGCTTTTGATGGAATTCAAATCACAGAAGAACTGTTATCAATCCTACTCATCAAAATTTTTTTTTCGGGCTAGTACATGCTGACTACAGCTTGCCACTCAGGCAAGCTGTAAAACTGACTTTCTTTGCACCCGGTTAGGGTACTCCATATTGGCAGTCAGTCCAAGGGGTAGTCCAAGGACTGGGGGTCAGTATTTTGTCCACCACCGTTCTAATGTACGTCTTATGTACTTTCACTTAGGGGATCATTAGAGTCCTGTACTCATGGTAACTTTTCTAATTTTCTGTTTCATCACTTTTCATACAAACTGTTTAATACCAGGTGAACATAAATGTATTCCAAAACTCTTGTTGCCAACTTTATCATTTTAATTATTTACCAAGAACAATATATTTTTTCCCGTACACAAAGTAGTTGTTTAATAAAAACTATTGTTGAGGTCCACATGAAACACTCACTATTATGGCATTGGTCAACAGCTTACACACAACATACAGATTACACACACTACCTCTAAATGACAGCCTACCTCACGAAAAAATAATTTCAGATGTATTTAGATTCACTTCATCTTACTTCTAAATTGACTAGCACAACAATAAAAGATGTAAATTATCTGTAGAGTTAGCAGTTAGTGATATATATATATATATATACACAATTAAGTTCAAAAATTCATTACCAGTGTGAACAAGCTCCTCAGCAGAATACAAAAAAGAGAAAAAATCCAGTATGATAGCTTTTGTCCAATACCCCACTGAAGAGCCAGTTCACTTGATTCAGATCCCATTTCTAGTCTTCATCTTCACGAGTTCCAGCCAGTGGTACTTCCATGGGTGGCAGAGGCATGCGTGACATTGATGGCGTCACTGATCCTGGGGCAACTACTCCGGCCTCTCCTTGTTTAGATGTTGGTTTCTGGTATTTTAAAAGGCCAAAGAAGCGTAGCAAGGCAACAATTGGTACAAAGAGTACTGATGTGCAGATAAGAAGGACTATGATAGCATATCCCCAGCCAGGATACTTTGTATCCACTGTTTTTGACTGAAGTAGGGCAAAGCAAAACACAATTAACATCAAGTCAGTTTCTTTTAATGATTCCACTCTCTAAGTCAATCATGGGCATTATTTTATACAGTGTGTACTTAAAGCAAATTTTTGGGACTTGAATGAACTGTGTCAGGGATTTGCCAAAATTCAAACAGTGGGAACCATCACCAAACCTAGTGAAACATATAAATAACCGCTCAAAACATGAAAGAAGATACAAATAACACAGCAAACACAAAAGGAACTTAGCACCCGTGGATAGACAAACTCGAAGAAGATTGAAATGGATCGCATTTATGCTCTTTGAAAACTTGCTAGCCTTACAGCTTTTCAAAGTTCATATTTGTTGTTTTTTCTAATGCTTAATAGAATGATTGGGAGACATTTTTCTTTGACATGAAGCTGTGATTTTGTCATTTACAGGAAATCTCTCAAGTTCCATAATGAATAAGGATGGGTAATTGACATTGTAAACAAAATGAACTAGCTAGACAGTGTAGGTTAACTTACATTGACAGCATCCCAAGCCGAATATTGCATGGGATTGATGGCCAAGTTAATGATACTGGCAATGAAGATGATGGTGATGAGAGCAGGTGATAAATATCGCCAACAAATCTTCCAGTACATATGTGGTCGAAAGCCAAGCATGTACTGAATGTCATCTTCAAATCTGTGACATTAAAAGACAGGAAACTTACTTTGAAAGATGAAATAGAAAGTACTGTGTTATTTGATTCAAGGACAAGTCTAAAACCATAAAATAATAATTTGCTGATTTCTATGTGTTCAACATTTACATGATTTGTTCTCAATAATGGGAAAAAATTTCTTATTTATAAGAAATTCTCTCTCATTTAGATAAAAATTTTGCAATCAATTTTACACTTTATTTATTATTATTAACAATCTACATTTACATTAAGTCCATTTCTGCCCGCAAGTAGCAGGTGCTAGTTGAGGCCGGCGGAGATAATGAGTACAGCAGTCAGCTGAGTAATAATTTACAAATAAATAGATGAATAAATAAATAAATAAACAGCTATATATAAGTGAAATAAAGCTTAAACATAAATTAATAACATTAACAAAATCAACTACTTGAAACTTGTAAAATTAACTGTGACACTAAATTAAGATATGTATACTTTATAAATTTAACTCTGTATTTGCTCGATAGTTAGCTGTTTTTTGAAGCAGAATGGGCGATTCAACAAAATTGTCCTCGGCCTCTAATAACGAAAATAACATGTCATTGATTTGTTTTTTGAAAGCTGTCTTGGGGAGGTGACGAAGTTCATCGCAAATGGAGTTCCTAAACTTCCTGAATATTTCTACTAAACATAATAATATTAACACATGACCAGGGACTGAGAGGGATCTGCTGACAAATTAATGCAGTACTATTCACCCACTTCTGCTGAGGTGGCATTGTAAAAATTGGTCAGTGTAAAACGCAGACTGTGGACTATTCTTTTCATCATGCAAATGAGTATGTGACAGCAATAGTCCCATTGTTTTCTAACCCTAAAAACAATAGTCTGCAGTCAGTCAGCAGTCTGCATTTTACACTGTGCCTGTCAAAATTGCTGCCACTGGTTAATGGTAAGCTGTTGAGAGCTACATATGATTACTTTAATAGTTTCTTTGTCCATATTCTGTGACAGGAAAAGCCCTAGGTCGGATTATTGTCTGGTAACCACTTGCGTTGGGCCTTTATCCGTGGTTACTGATATCTTACCTCTCAGTTGTATAGATGTAATTCACACCAACAAGTTCACAAAGACCAATAAACAGCAGTGGCAAAGTGGCACAATAGTTGTCAAACATCTGAAGCCAGTACTGTCCAGATTGCTGGGTGAACAGCAGACCCACCAGGAAACAGAAAAGACAGATGAGTCCTGAAGAAACAATAACACACAAGATTTAAAGTAAAAGAAAAAGTTTAGCTTTAAAGTCAGTTGGGACAGGTCACATGCTTCTGTATAAAAGAGGTTTAAAAATCACAGGGCGTCCACATTTAGAAAATGGACATGCATATAAGACCTCACAGTGGAATCCATACCTATTTCAACCATATAATTATCACATCAGCATATTAATTAAATAGTTCACCCCAAGAAAGCACAAAACAGACAGAAATACAGAATCCTCAACGGGATTATTTCTGCCAAGTACCAAAAACACAGTCACGAAAATCCCGGTAAAGACATCATACACCACAGTATTTTATGCACTGAACTCAAAAGGTAGAACAAAAGAAGAAAAATGAACAAAAACATGCAGTATTTCATGATGATCTTCAATAAAAGAGTACTACAGGAAGTTGGAAATACTGGTACAGGAATGGATGGGTCACCAATCCTTAAAGGTCAGCATACTATATGAACTGTTTAAAAAAGAACTGACATTATAATGCTTTGTCTTAATCCCGGTGCAAGCTATCTGGAAGTTACAAAAACCCTCAAAGTATTACTCTGGTAAAAAAAGAAAAAATAGAAGGAGACACAAAACAGCAGCAACAACAAAGAGGTCTGAAAGCATGATGAGGCTGCTTTAAACAATACTGAAAACAAATACCGGTACATACCAGTAATGATCTCTTTCCTCCAAGGCACAATCTTCATGTCATAAAATGGGGTAATGACGCCTTCCAAAGTTCCAAACATGCTGCCAAGACCAAGGGTTAACAACATGCAGAAAAACAGCACTGACCAGACAGGGGAAGCAGGCATCTTTACAATGGCCTCAGTGAAGGCAATGAAGGTCAATCCAGGACCTGATGCAGACTGATCACAAACAAGATAAAACAACTCTCAGACCAGTTAATGGACGGAGACAATATTACTAATGACAGATTTGTGAACAATGCTAGTGGACCATAGATAAAAACCTGTTTTTTTTTTCTTGTATTTTTTTCTAGGTTCACATATTGACATATCGTGTTTGTTGTTTACTAATGGAAAAGAAATATTTGAATTCCAAACAACAACATCAACAATAATCTTTATTTGTACTCACTCTTGCTTAACGATAAATTAGGACATGAAAATAATGAAAGTAAAAGTACTTGCTGCCTGGTTAACCATTAGAGCTAGCAGAACCAGGCAGCCAGTTGATATCGGCATTAAATAGAAATCAATGACAGGTCAGGAAGATACTGTAGCAACAAATACACACATAAAAAGGAACAATGATCAGAGGAAAAATGATATTACCATGCAATTAAGGGAGTCTCAAATGATCAAGTTCATTCATCACGACATTCACTAATCTGGGGGCAATACTTTAGACCTAGTTATTTTCACAATGATTAATGTACTTTTATAATACTAAATTGTTGGGCTTAAAAAAAGGATAAGAAAAAAGAATCTAATAAATTTGTCAAAAAAGGGCAATAGCAGGTATCAAACTAGGCACCTTAGCTCTGAAAGATAAGGGTTAAACATCGTCTGCTAGAGGGACAATAGAATTGGATTTACACAGCCATTGACATACTGCATATTGGCTAAAAGCCAGTGAGCATAAAAATGTAAAAGGAAGAAGGATTTATCCAAACTTGGCAATTGTGGTAGTACAAGTATTCCTAGTAACTTACCTCTGAGAGCCAATGATCCAAATCTTTACATTTTTCTGCAACCAAGTCAGTTCCATTTGTGCTATTCATGGCTCCATAAAATACTTTACAATCTTCAAAGGAACGAGTGGCCTACAAAAAAATTTAAAAATAGACCAATTTCAAACTTGCCTACGAGGTTTGGGGGAATAGGCTTTTTGCATGACTTGATCACGTGATCAACTTTCAGTAAACGCAAAAACAGTTCACTTTTGAAAAATTTTGCCAGCACAAGCTGAAAGAGCATATTAAAATTAGGTAACCTGAGAATTTTCAGCCGTGTATCTCAAAAGTAGCGATTGCAATGGCTACCGAAAGTTGGAAGCATTTGTTTGAGAAAAACAAATTTTGCCATCCAGTCACACTTGCATGGTTTTCCGTACAAATCCTTGTAATTTCGAAAATTTCAAAACTGTCATGAAATGTTTCCTTAAGCATTACAGGGCTCAAATCTCCTTTTAATTCACAACAGGCAATTTGAGCTCTTAAATGAATGGGATTAAGATATAACGACAGTTTAAAAATTTCAGAATTTTAAGGATTTGTATGGAAAACCATGCAAGCATGACTGGATGGCAAAAGTTGTTTTTCTGATACAAATGCTTCTAACTTTCAGCAGCTGTTGTAATTGCTACTTTTGAGGTATACGGCTGAAAATTCTCAGGTTAGCCAATTTTAATGTGCTCTTTCAGCTTGTGCTAACAAAATTTTTCAAAAGTGGACTGTTTTCGTGTTTACTGAAAGTTGATCATGTGATCAAGTCATGCAAAGAGGATATTGGATAAAACAAAACAAAAATCATCTTGAGGCTCAGCAATGAATAATAAATTTCTTTTGTTTTATTCCCCCATACCTCCTAGCCACGTATGAATTTTAATATGTCGAAATAGGCCTATTTTCCACACATCACAAAGATTTGGAAAAATACTGTTACAGGAATGGAGATTCAACTAAATAAGTGGTTCCTTGCTTTGGCAAAGACATGATGCAATATAAGTATCCTTGCTGTAGGCAACTAATTATAAGTTTAAAGTCTCAAATAATTTGTTAATTACTTGACTCAGGGACTTGCCAAATTCAATTCTAACTCTTTCAATTTTTTGTTGACGAAGCTGGGCTCAAAAAGCTTTAAAATCTGATGGGGGAGGGGGGGGGGAATTTGTTTCTTATAATAAAATGATTAAAAAAGAAGGTGTACTCAGTTCAACACAAACCTTAAATCCAAGAATGGAAAAAATAACAATACTAGCAAAAACAGAAGTTCCACAGTTGATAAGGGACACCATAATGGCATCACGGTGGCAGTTGTTGTGCACCGGGTTGTAACTGGACATGGCAATAAGTCCTCCAAATGCCACACTAAGGGAGAAGAAGATTTGAGTTGCTGCTTCCAGCCAAACCTGGGGATTGATCAGCTTAGAAAACTGAAAAAAAAAAACAGAAACAGAAACAAAAAAGATCCAAAAATGTTAGTAAGTACTGCAACAGCAAGAACAAATTCAACAATATTTCAACATGATTAAGAGGATTCAAACCCCAACCTGAGGTTTAAACATGTGTGCAATTCCAGCTCCAGCCCCCTCCAAACTAACTCCACGGCCAAAGAAGATGGTCAACACAACGTAAGGAAATGTAGCAGTAAAATACACAGCCTGAAAATAAAAATCATTATAAATATAAGGCTTTTACTTGCTTATTATTGCTAAACCTGTAACTACTTGGCAAAATTACTGTGAAAGTGGTAACACCATATTCAATTTCTTTTCCTTTCAGTGCCTTAAAGTTACCTCCCAGGGTGTACAGCGGCATGGTTGCTCAAAAAAATAGGAAAATAGGAAACTCAGGATTGAGAAAATAGAAAAAATAGTAAACTTTACGTTAAAAAATAGGAGAGAAATAGGAAAATCAATAGTACTTTCATCGACAAAGATAGCCTCCCAGCACCCCATCAGGGTTATAATAAAGACTACGAGTCCTCAGCTTCTATGTTCGCAGGATGTAGATCAACTTTCGTGGCTTAGAAGGAGTCAAAATGATCAGTAACATTTAGTTTATGGGCTTAGTTATGCTGTAATCAGAATGATATGCTTGACTACAGGTCGAATGTGGTTAATAATCAAAGGTGATCATATGCAATTCCCTTCAAGTTGGCAGCAAAACTTTAAAAAGCTTTGAAGAGTGAAATTTCTTAGGATAGAATTTTCTTATGATCGCATTGTCATTGATGGTTATCGAACTGGAACTAAAAAGTTCTACGGAAAGCTTTCCTTTAATTAATCTGCAATCGGTAGCTGGTTGACAATATGCTTGTTAGAGTCAAAAGACAGCATACTGTTTTAAGTTTGGAACCAGGCCTTCCCTGTTGTACGCAAAATGATACTGACCTATTTAGTACCAGATTGTAAGTGTGTCATGGTTAAGTTCTAACAACATATCACTCTACTTAGCTATGACTGCAAGACCAGTTTCGCAACCAAAATATTGGATCCTTCATCAGTTTCTTAGGTATAGCTGTTAACAAGGGCTCACCAAGGGAGCTAGTGCCGTAAACTAAACTTGAGTCTCTTCTTTTCATGTTAAACATCCAGAATCTAGGTAGTGATTGCTTTTTAAACAAGAAGCTGATTGCAGACGTGGATCTAGGATAAATACTGACTGATTTCCTAAACAAGCTTCTAGAGGGACTGGTCCAGCGGCATACTCCCCCAGGAACTTTTTTGGATTTTAACTCCCAAAGGTCCCCTTTACTAGGTTCCTGAATCATGCAGACAGAATATTGGCAAGATTTTAACCTGGAAAGTTTTCATTTTATTAAAAATATATTTATTAATGAAAAATGTGACCGATTTTTGTAAAACGGTGGAAACTGGTGTGGATCCGCGCCTGGATTGGATGATTTATCTGAACTGTGTTGTGAGAGGACAACTGTTTTCAGTTTCAAAGATGAACATAAAAGCGAGCAAGACATGTACAGATACTGAAATGCAGTTTCGGGGGGGCTATGCGCAATATTATTCAATAGTCATGAGAACTAGATACAATACATGTAGGTAAACTAGAAATTTATACAAAAAGCAACAATATAACATAGTTGTTCACAGAACTCTAATGGGCAATAAAGGTCATGGAAAGAACAAAATGTAACTATTATTTTTGCTAATATTAGAGCATCAAAGTCAACATACTACTTGCTTTATGATAACTCTCACTCTAAAGACATACAACTAAAAATTCCATTTTCAATTTTGTTACAATTTTGGCTTCACCAGCTAAAAAATAGGAAAAATAGGAGGTTTTAGTTTTAAAATAGGAGAAAATAGGAATAGGTTCAAAAAATAGGAAAAAATATGAAATGGACACCCTGACCTCTGTGTCCTGCGTTCCTGATGTATAAAAATCCCCAACAACGCAAAATAATTCATGACATGCGTCACGTAGGACGCACAGATCGATCGAAGTCCCAGGACTCACCATAACTATCTGTAACAAAATCACTGCCTTCAAATATCACTGTTCAGCATAAATATGCTAAACCACTGACCTTGCCAGCAGACTGCACTCCCCTCATCATACACAAGAATACAACAGCCCAGGCTACTAAAAGGACAAGAATAAGATGCCAGACAAGCCCACCACTCTCTTCAATGCTTGGAGATGCATCAAGAGCCTTCCTGTACCAGTAAAACTGTGTGCGACCAGCTTCTATGCACTCTTCAAGTTTGGTACCATTGTCCAAGAGTGGGCAGGATGAATATGGCAGAGGCTCTTGGAAGGAAGCAAACAAGTAGTAAAAACACCATGCTATGATCATGTTGTAGTACATTCCCACAAGCAAGCAAACAACAACACAGGCATATCCAAGACCACCAAGGTAAGGGTGTATTGCATTCCATACTCCAACAGATCCTTGACGCAGACTCTGACCAATTGCCAGCTCAAGGAAGAAAAGAGGGATTCCCAGAAGGAACAGACTCAGGAAGTAGGGAATCAGAAAGGCACCTGGAAATATAAAGAAAAACATTATTATAAATCAAACACCATAAATGAATACAGGCACCTTTCTCAGGCCCCTTAGAAGCTAAAATGATGGAGTCTACTACTGTCTAACTTTTGAATCTGAAGACAAAATAATAAGCAAAGTCATTCAAATGAAATATCTTCAGCAGTTCTTTCACATAGCACTGTTTGTTTTTCAGCATTTTTTGTAAAATGAAGATTGGAATTAATTTCATTAAACTAAAACTGGAAGTGAAAGAAAAACAAATCAATATGAAAATTCACCTGGAAAACAATCTAACACTCTATTTTGGGATTAATTTGAATTTGACAATGGACCCTTTCAAAAACAGTACCAATTAACACTTCATACTGATCCCAAGACCTGAACTTTTACATAAAACATTGGGCTGAAGGAATAAAAAGTATTTGTTCAAACATCAGCATTACTCTTGCAAATGGTGACTACAGAAAAACCTGCGACTGACCCACTTTTGATTTGTCAGGACTGGCCGGCCAGACCATTGCCTGACCAGTCAGTTTGAAAATGAAATAGGCTTTTTCCAAGAGTTTTTGCTTAAAAACGTTCTCCTTCGTGCATACTAATTTGGATTTGACTAATCTGGCTGGATAGTTTTGATTAAAAGGGAAACTATCATTGCGACGGGAATGGACTGGCCAGTCAGTTCTGACAAATGGAAAGCACCCTTAGAAACTGTATTTTCCTAAGTTAGCCTAAACAGGTTGTTACATAAATGGTGATTAACACAAATTTAAGCTATTTTAGGTTCTTCATTGTTTTATGAAAAAAAAAGGATGGCAGCTATGAGTATTTAGTGGTATTCAGCTTATTCCTTATATAAAATTAATGACTATGAGAAGAAGGACCGAAGCACTGACCACTTGAATGTTGAAGTCCTTTTGTCCAACTGTGCAGAATTTTTTTATTATAGATTTTAGAAAATAAGAACCTGCTTCAAATTATATGATAAACAGGTTCTTGTACAGAGGGGCCATAACTGACAAATTTTAGTCTAACAGGTTCTTAAAAACCAGGTTCTTAATCGCGGACTTTCACTGTATTTTCAAATAATATCATATGCTCTTCCAGAAAATTCCCATTACTCTCTCACCCCATGGACAGTCTTTTTTGGATTTAAACCACCACTGTGGAAATTCCAGTTAAGGTTCACATTTCCCTTAAACTATTCAGTCTTTACAGTGAAATCCAGTCAAGGATTTCTAGGAAGACATTAAAGTTAAAGAATTGGAAAGTCCAAAACAATCCTTGATTCATCAAGTTTGGATTCTATTAGATCACAACAAAGCGGCAAAGTTGAAGACTCCAAATTCCTGTCAGAAATTTTACCGCATCTTCAGAGAAAAAGATCATTCTTCAGCCCAGTTCATAAGTTTTGCTTCTATCACGCTGAATTTAATTATTTCATGACTTTCATAATGTTTTTGAGAGATCTTCAAGATATCATTCAAATATCAGACATAGATCATTATTTTGTTTTTGAGAAGTCAAAATTACTTTTAATCTGGGGCATTACTCATTGTAGTCTTGTGGACAGCTAGTATGGAACATCGCTCTAAAGGACATGGTACAAAAACACTTTCCTGATTGATAAAAGCTCCTTTCTAACTGATTTATTTTCTCCAACCTTAAATTCACTTCTCAATCTTTTCAATTTTAAGAGTGATTCTCATCAGATTCGAAAACTGTTTTGAATTTTTCATTCTTCATATTTCCAACAATGGACTCAAAGTTGAATCAAATTTTATTCTTCCTAGAATTTTTATACTTGGCCGGTTTCACTGGAAGACGACCCTCTCCCTTATCATTCAATGGCTGGGTTACCTGTGTGCATATAAATGAAGAATATTGTGGTTATACATCACCCAAGATAGTACCCCATACTTGTTCCAGTAATAATAATAAATAAAAAATATCCAACAAAAGTTTTGAACAATTTTAAAAACTGTGGTGACCCGCGTTGGAATATAATTTTTTTGCATTTTATATTTTCCGATTCCGCAACACACAGCCTGTAGCCCTCTTTTAGCTATCAAGTAACCTGATTTACAATTTACCAGAAACAGCTATAAAAATTAGCAGTAAGCCGGCTACTTTCGATACAATTTTTACATTGATTTATATGATTTCGCGAAACCTGCACAACACGCTGAGGCCACATAACGCAAGAATCACTAGCTGCGTGACAGCATAAAAAATTCGCCCGGCCGCGTGCCGGCTCGGCGCTCGCAAACATCAATGAGCTAGCCGAACCAAAAAGCTTGCCAATATTGTGACCGAGATAAACTGCTTCACTCATTACGTTTACAGGTCAATTATAGAGAAGTCATGCATTTCTGAAAGAACGTGAGTAGCCGAAATGTAAATAGTACACAAAAAATGAACGATCAAGAACACGTCTTTAAAGTTTAATTGAAAATAAAGCACAAAGCGGAGTTAATTAGCCAATACCTAAATCGCATGTAAAGTTCTTAACACTCTTAAGCAAAAGAGACAGAAAAAATACGCAAGTTTATCATTCATTGGTAAATCATCCTTAGTAAGTAAACATGCAATGATTTGCAAGACAATCAAACGAAAGCATACGTGTCTTAAAAAAGTTTTGGATTTCTCGCCAATGAAAATAAATTGTACCTGGTTCTGTAAGGTTGAAAACTGGGTAGGTGAGAAGGGCGGAGAAATCTAAAGCGTAAGAGTAAAATTATACTACAGTATCTTACATGTAATTCAATTCAAGCGCCTGTGGTTTCAGATAATATTTCTTAGGTACTTAATTCAACACCATACAGTATTGTGGATGTCGGCTTAAAATCGACCTTTCGAAGCGGACAAACTATTCTAGGTATTAGCTGTCATAGCTTGACGTACAAATGATGCAATGAAGGAAAGAAAATCCCCGAACACCTCTCTCCAGCTCACGCTAAGAAGGTCAGGTCGAGCAGAATGCATTGAGGTTTTAACCTAAGAACGACCTCATCAGATGTTGCAAGCCTCAGAAAAAAAAATGCATGTACCATACATATAAATATTAAACTACCTCCTCCGTTTTTCTGGCAAAGATAAGGAAATCTCCAAACATTTCCAAGACCTACAGCGAAACCAACCGTCGCCAAAATAAACTCGATCTTGTTGCCCCATCCTCCTCGATCGCTCTTATCTTCAATCTCCACAGAAACAGCGGCTTTTGAGGCGGCCTTTTGCTCCGTCGCTGAAGGTTTTGCTTCTTCCTTGGGAGGAACCTCGTTTCCCGTTTGAGGTACCGTTAAATTCACGACTCCGTCTTTCACAGCCGCCGAAGCCATAGTTAGAGGGTACGGACGACTGTTCACTTGCTTCTCTAGTATGAAAAGAGCATGAAAACAAACACCGCCCCACTAAAGAGCACGTGAAGTGCTCAAATTTCAATTGTTTCATCAAGTCCGATAACAAATCTAGTATTTTCCGGTCAAACCATCGCCGGACTCGGAACTTACAACCTTTATAGGACGTGAGTCAAAAGATTGAAACGAATAGACGGTGAGAAAACATAATTGACAGCTGTCGATCTTGCCGGCGCCCTCACTGAAATATCAGGGATTTGCACTGTCGATGCCTCGAGTCCATTAGTTCTTCACAAATGACTCGAAATGAAACAAATCCATCAGAATCCATACACACATGCGCCGGACTTTGAGAAAATCATCAAGTTTCGCTACTGGCTGAAGTACGGGAGAGAGCTTATAGAAAGCTTTGTGGACGCAAAAATGAAACGATGATTGGTCAGTTGGAAGAATTCAGGAAGACCTTCTTTGAAAGGTATGTAGAGAGGAGATAAATGTAATTGAAATTACCTCGAATGCAGTCTGTAAATATGACTCAGTACATCGCAAAATTTAATTGCCATCTGCCACGGCTGTCAGAGGCAACGAAAATAAACTTCTGTTTCCCTGTTTCAAGGTGTATAAACTGTTTTCACAAACTGGATACTCAACTGAGTATGCAATTTTAAAGTCTTTTAATCAGTTCCTCGGCTGCCAATCACACAAGACCTCAAAGTTACTCCGTTCATTACTCTCACCATTTTTTCCCCATCATTCTTCTTTTTAGTCCGTTTTCCTCTCCGCTGACCGCGTCGTTCCCTGTTATCTGTGTTTTACCGACGGCACCCTTGTCTACAGGTCACAACTGGAATGTTCCTGACTTGCGTAAAAACTGGTACTGATGTGAAAATTAAGTTACGTCAATGATTAAACGATTCACAGCTTTTAATATAGTCCTCACGACACCGGCTTTGAATGTCAACGTCAATGTCAACAATGGCTAAAAGACCTTTATTTTTTAAAATTACTTTACAAAAGGAACCATATCTGCATTTATTTTTACCCTCATGTACCGTTTGAACGGAATTTGGGGCCATTCTGGTCATCCAGGGTGCCAGAGACTGTTCATGCACTGTTTCCGGTTTCGGTCAGTGACCCCGCACACCGAAGCATCAGTGCATCACGCCGTCGGCACGCCTGTCACCTGATAAACTCTCTAAATTTCAAATCTCAATTTCAAAAGGGGCACCCAACGAGGATATAGTTCAAAACCACTTAACAAAGCATTGTTGAACGTATTTTAGTATTTAAACGGTATATATAGGCATATTTTTATCCCCTAAAAGCTTTTCATCTTTTCGGATTTCCTAGCTGAAAGTCTAGTGATCCGAAAATTATAGGGATCAAAACTTACCTTTTCGAAAATTTCAGCCAGGAAAAGGCTCCCGAAAATTCTAGGTGGCCTTTTTTAGGGTAAAAATCCGTTAAAAATTGGTAATTATACCATTTTGTAGATGTTCGAAAATCCTAGGAGAGGCAGGCAAGCAAGAAATTTTACAATAAATGTTCCGAAAATTCTAGATCTCAAATCGTCTTCCGAACAGATATTTTCCGAAAATTGCCGTTGAGTGCCCCTGATTTCAAAAACTCATTCCCACAGTATAACACCAAAATATCTTAGATGTACACTGTACAGCCCCCGAAATGGTCCCCAACCCTGAAATGATCCCCAAATCGACCCCGAAATGATCCCCATTTCTCTTCACATTAACCTGCGTGGCAGGCGCAAAAAGGGGAGGGGGTAGGGGGTAGGGGGAGAGAGAAAAGCGCGAAAAAGGAGAAAAGGGAAGGGAGCCTTACCCTCTCTTCCCAATCTCCCTCCTTTTTCCTCCCTATCCCCTCCCCCTTTCGACGCCTGCTTCGCAGGTTACTTCACGTCGACCCCGAAATGATCCCCAATTAATTTTAAGAATGGAATGATATCCTAGAACGATGGATCGTGCATAATGCACATCATAACTTAAGTTTCACTAATAATCTTCACTTGCCCACATTCTTTTATGACATTAATTTGGGATTACGCTTTGAACGGGATTAAACGAAAATATTATTTGCGACACAAAGTCTAGTATATTTTTAGTAACACCATGAACTGCAACCGATAACATCAAGAAAACTGCATAGATGTTAAATTCTAAAAATGATGTTAAACTTGCATGCCTTGAATATTGAATTTTAAAAATGATGTTTTAACACTTTTAAAATTTTAAAATGAAGTTGAAGATGCAAAAGTAGACATAAAGGCGATTAGATGACGAAAGCGCTAAAAAATCACATAAACTGTAGTGAAATGTTAAATGTAATTCAATAACGTAAACGCTGCAACAGACTTGTAATAATTCCGTGACGGAATTTCATTCCATTCCTAGAATTAATTGGGGATCATTTCGGGGTAGACGTGCGAAAAGAAATGGGGATCATTTCGGGTTCGATTTGGGGATCATTTCAGGGTTGGGGATCATTTCGGGGGCTGTACAGCACCGTACTAAACCTAGAGACACCTCTCCATCACATCTTCTACCTACATAACTTTACAATACAGGAACCTCTGTAATGCGGATTCTTGGCTTTGTCGTTATGATGTCAGTATGTGGTTTAAATTGTTTGATTGTAGACAAAAAACTGCCAACCTTCTAAATTTGGGTAAATTTAATGGGCAAAGCCAAGGCTGCCACTGATGTAATGCACCGAATCAAAAGATTTAGCTATATCGACTACATCTGATGGGAGTTTACGAGGCTAACAACGGATCAGTGTATTCACGTAAGTCTTCATGAATCCATCCCGTTTCTGACTGTTTTTTTGGCGATTTTTGGATTTCGGCCAATCAGAACGCTTGATTTAATTGAAATTAATGATTAAAAGTTAGCACCTTTTAATCACTTTTGCCGTTCGCCTGCCTACCTCTTACACGGACCATTACTTAATCTCTCCCTTTTTGGGGGGAGGGGGGGGGAGGGGACAGCGCGAAAGAGAATGGTATCCCGCCATTGATAGCCTGCTGCGAGCTGCGAGCTGCAAGCTCCCGTATTTGGGCGAGCGAAGCGAGCCGCGCGTGTTGTATCTGTCTACACAGGGAAAAAAGGTTTTTAAAAAAGTTAGATAGCCATATGGGCAAAACACGTAACTAACCATTGATGGTTCGTGAGCGGCAAGACGAAGCGCGGAATCTCGCGTTCTGATTGGCTTACCCATCCAGGCTATCTTGTAGGCACCGTTTTTTTTTTTGGCAAGAGGCTGGACACCGCAACGAACAGCTTTATTCGCCTAAATAATGTTTATCATCTTTTATACAAGGGATCTCTGAGTATTGAACAACTGGTAAAAACTGAGGAAATAGCGTATACCAAGTAGGAGTGACTATTGCGGAAATTTTAACCACTGCGATTGTATTGCAATAGGCCACATGGATATTGGGATAGTATTGCGATAGAGGAGGAACTATAGCAATAGTACTGCGATAGTTTTCAGGAATACCTGTTTTTACTTAATGCCTTATACTTTAAGAAATAACTAAGAAGTGGTGGTAGACGTTAAAAATTATGTTAGAAGAATAAAAACCACTGAAACTATCAATAGTTCGCTACACTATCGCGATTGTTATCGATGTTTCATTTTTGCTACCAATCCATCGCTATCGCAGCGTTAATATCGCGATTAATTGATAGTTCGATGTATTGTTACAGCCTTAATATCGAGCAATGAAGAGCTTGGATGTGATAAATTCTGCCGGCAGATTTTCCCGCAATTTTGAACAGGATTTGGCAAACTCGCGCATACTCGATTACTAAGCAAACGGTCAACCAGCGAATCGAACTTAATTGTGTGTTTGTGTGTTTGTTTTTTTTAACTCACCATTACTGAAACATAGAAAGGTCAACAGACTTTAAATACGACTATGCTCACAAAACGCATTATCTCACCGAAATTCCGGAAATAAATAATTACAATAGCATTTACTATAATTTTAATTTACGCGTAAAAACGAAATCAAAGAGTGATTTCAAAGGAAATGTGATGGGTTGTAGTGACCAGATTCTGTCTCCCGAGCCGAATTTCACCCGGAGGATCAAACTCAACCTACTGGGTTCAAACCTTTCACAAAATAAGCTTAGATAATAAGGGCGCTAGAGACAAAAGACCGTCGTCATCAGAAGATATGAATAAATTAGGCGCGAAAATAATGGCGGGAAGAATCAGGAAGTTGTAAACAAATACACGTGATGCAGCTAGCTGATGACGATTCTTTAGGAGTCTTCGACGACGACTATAAGTTCTCATCTTTAAACATTTTCATTTATACTATAAGTTTTTTTTAATTAACAAGTAGAAGATCGGGTTATTATTCCTTTTCAAAACTGAAAAATTTCAATTTTAACGTCTTGAGTTTTTTTGAGCGTCTGGTGATAGAGCGAAATGAAGAAGTTGAATATGCTAATAAGAAGTGTGGACAAATGGGAAATTTAATGAATGAACATTGCTTAAAATCTTTTCCACAAAAAAGGTGCTTGAAACAAAGCTATAATTTCAAATGAAAAACAAATTTTTGTCGGGAATTATATGATTTTCCGAAGTTGTTTCATTTATTGTTGAGATAGTATCAGACCTGTTTTGGAAACGATTCGGAGGAATCGCTTAGGGTTAGTTTACATGTGGCGTCGTAAAACTACCAGTTTTAGAAATCGTCTGTTGTTGGGCTTATGTGAATCACTATAAAAGCTTTCGTTGAAATATTGGAAAAATTTTGTTTGCCCCTTCTTTTAAGTATAACGACCCCAATCCAAACCCAATCCAGGTTTTCAAACGAAAATCAAGCGAAATAAGCAAACAACTGGCATCGTTTATGTTCAACTTTGGCGCTGAAGATTAAATGAAAAAGGATGAATAGACCATCAAAATAATTTGTTCCAAAACATTCCTGACTCTAAACACGCGTATGTACCTTTAACATACTTGTTTTGAATCATTCATTTGCCAAAAACTTTGTCGGCGGCCGCCAGGAGAACGAAACAATTCATGTTTTGAAAGCGAGGGAAACACGTGCGTTGATATTTACGAAACAGAATTTGCGTCGCAAATCAAGGGTTTAGTTAAAACACACAGTTTTCCCGCAGACTTACTCATGCCCAATTTTTTTTGTTCTTTTTTACGCGACAAGGACAATGAAGCCACTAAATTGCCGTTTCATTACTGAAAATTTAGTAAGAAATCAAGGAAGGTAAACATTTTACTCGCCGCATGGTCAAACAAAGAAAAGTTAAAGAGAAATATGAGAAATTACCTCCACCGTTTTTCTGACAGAGGTACGGGAAACGCCAAACATTTCCCAAACCAACAGCAAAACCGATCGTCGCGAGGATAAACTCTATTTGGTTTCCCCATTTTCCTCGGTCTGTGTCAGCCTCGTAAATTCGCACCGTAACACCATTGCTTTCGATATCAGTGGTAGGATGTGGGTTATTTATCTCTTCAACTTCTTCCCTTTCAACATTAAAGGCGATCCTCTTCGTGTCCGAATACTCGAGATCATCTTCTTTGGCCATTCTTGGTTTCTTGCAGCGCTAACTCGGTTACTCGCTGTTTGCTCTGAAAACCAAAACAAAAAACTAAAGTGAATGAGTCACGAGACTTATAAATATGGATAATACTGGCACGTCTGTAATATCAGTACCGGCCGGCCACGCGCAATTTGTATGATAGCCCATCCAACAAAACTGATTAGGCACGCTTCCATCTCCTGGCGTTAATATTTCTGATTATTTTGGAAACGAGAAGGAAAGCTTACAGAGCTTATGAAAAAATATCGAGCTCCAGCAAAAATTTATTCGGCTTTATCAACATTATTGGCATTATTGTCGAGAGTTCGAATAAGCCAAACACTGTAATAAAAAGAAACCACTGTTGAATTGAATGACTTATTCAGGGTTATAACACTTCTTTTCAGTGTAAGTATGCTATTTGATATAGACCATTTACGTACTATATTAATTGTGCAGCGTTATCGGGGACGAAGTCTGTTGCATCAGATAAACGTAAATCTTACGATTTTTTTTTTCATTCAATAAAAATTGTTGTTTTACGGCAAGAGGTATGATTCGCTGTGTCAATCTCTAGGTCACTGAGTATCCACTGGGCGCCTGACACTGATGACGCTATACAGTCGGCCTAAACAATACTCACAATGAACGCCTACGTGGCCTTACAGAGCTGCGACAAAGCAAAACACCTTTTATTGAAAAATACCCGCACTAGTGTACTTTTGTCAAAGGCATGGAGTCAGATGTATTTTCAAACTCTTAAAAAAAATAAATGAAAATTCTGTAGACGACCAGCAAGTCTTAAGAACTAAACTTCACGTGTCTTCTTTACCAACTATAATGCCGGCTACGGTAACAAAAACGTGCATCTTGTTTTGCAACATTACTGCAAAACGAGTTGAAAGCTATGTTGCTCGGGTTTACCACTCATGTTCAAACTTGTCTTGCAGCTAATCAGTTTGTTCCAAGTTGAGTGAATACTGACTTCTGGATAAAAGTTACGCCATACACGCAAGGAGTCGTCACTTGCAGCCAAACAAGTTTGCCTTGGGCCAGTAAAACGCGCACCATGTAAAGACTTTGTAAAATGCAAAAAGTAGAACCTGATTACTCTCTACTTTCTGCAACAACTTTTCAAAACCTGTAATAACCTGACTTGTTGCAAGACAGGTTGATTCGTGGGTGGTAAAACGTGCAACACCGCTATTCAACTTGTTTTGCAGCAATGTTGCAAAACAAGTTGTACGCGGTGTTTGACGATGCACATTATACCGTACCTTTAGTTGCCAAAGGCTGTTTACCGCCGTAAAGAGACTCAAAATCTAAACCAGCGTGGAGTTTTTATAATCGAATGGAAAGGGCTAACCTATAGTTCTCCACTTGCCATCAGGTCAAGAAAATTTCATATCTTTTCCTGCTCGGTTGTATGCAGGTGAATATTAAATATTTGCTTTCAATTTTTACCCGAAAATTGAACCTGAGAAAGTTAACGCCCCTTTATATTTTGGTAGTTAATAACCGAAAAGTATGCTTATAAATTCTTCCACTTTAAAGGATATGAAAACTGTGTAACTTATTTGGAAAATTTGCAAAAAATAATACATTTAGTATAAGTAGTTTTCGTGACAGAACTTTTCAGTTGACATTTTGCACAAGCCTATCATAATAAGCCAAAACTACGCCAAGTGCATCTGTCATCAAAAAACATTATCTTCATCTTGCCTTTAAACGGGATGAAGCGAAAGGACACGTCTTTGTTTGTATTGGGTTCAGAACAAAAGTAACATCGAACTTGCAACGGCTGGCAGGATTGTTTCATTGTTTTATTGGAAACAAGACTGAGTGCCGTCTACACGCGTAGTGTAGCGTAACAAACGCAATACTGATATCAATAATATAACGATAATCAATTTACAAGTGAAAAAAAATTCAACGCTGACCTGGGTCAAAATTTTCTCTTTTTCGCCTACTGGGCTATCGGCCGGATTATAAAGCAAACAGCTGACTTGTTCCGAGTTATGCATGATTACCGATAACTGCTGTATTTGATGCCGCATCCTATGTAAATTCTTAAAAGGTAATAATATCTTTTTTCCAGCAATTTGAACAAATAATTGCGATGTACTCCAACCTAATAGCCACTGAGGCAGCTAATAGTTTTGCTACAGCGAGTAATTTAGTTTCTTGGGAAAAAAGCCACTTGAATCGCAGAAACGGAGGAGTGAATTATAAACTTTTAATAAGAAAAGCCGATCACTGGCCGGGGAGGCTTACCTGGAGTAGTTGAATCGCCGGGCAGAGGAACAGTTGCTATTCCCAAGAAAGCAAAGAGGAAATTGATACAAAGTATAAAGCCTGCACTGCTATAAATAAGAAGGCGAGGGCTGGTCTGTTCCTGCTAAAGATCGGCGATGGCAAATTCCCCCTAAAAAACCAGCTACGGTTCTTGAACGCCAGTAGAAGAGAAAACAGGCTCTAACTTGAGTCTCATTATTAAATCAAAAGGTCATTTTGGTTATTTTAAGTATAGTATTTCGGATTTTTTAGAGATTCCATTTTATGAAGCGACACGTTTTAACCGGCGCTGTTCGGTGCACATTGCACATAGTCAGTTAACGAAAGTGATTTGATTTGAAAGCTGAACTTTGGTGTAACTCGTTAACTTTGTTACTGATGCGGATCAAAAACAAGTAGAAAGTCCTTCTGTAGTTCCGGCCCGTAGTCTACAACAGGACATGTAGCAGACAGATCAGGGTCAAAGTTGTAGACTCGGTATTAACTCATTTACCTAATTCCAACATACATTATATTTTGGAGGTCGGTATATTAAAGAACGGAAATGCAAATATAATGAGTCATTCGGACAACCATACTACAGTCTGCAGCTGCAGTCCGTGTTTTAAACTGAGAAACGAAACAACCTAAGTTAGTCATACAACGTATCGAATTTTTTCAAACGTCATATTAATCGACTGTTTATAAGGAGCCGAAGGAAACACTGTGTGCGTCTTTACAATAATCAATCAAGAAGGAAAAAAGCAAATTAGAATTAAACTTGGCTTGCTACAGGTGTTGCTACCACGGGGTAATTTACTTGTGTTACATTTTGCTGTTTATTTCATTGTCTAAACACGCCAAACCTTTTGTCTGCTTGAAGTGGACTAAACATTGTTGGCAAACTTCCATTCCGGGTCCCGGTCAGTGTCTTCCATAAAACAAATATACGCATGCCACAATTCCAAAAAGAAAAATGTTTACTCAGTAATAATAAATTGGAGGTTTACCCTTAGCTGCTCTCAAATAATTGTTCTGATTTAAACTACTATAAATCGCTTGCAACCTGACAACAATAAGAGAAATCAAATCCTTTGTTTTCAATACTCATAAAAGGTCATACACCATACAACTCAGTTTAAAAAAAGGCACGGAGAATGTCTTGGGTATCGCGGGCCGGGTATCGAAAACGATTCACCACTTAGTAATAACAGTCGATAGGAAAAACTGTCCTGGTGCTTCTATTTCCATTGCTTTACCTATGAATTAACTTTCTAACTTCTATCCCTGAACTTTCTCGCCGTCGCATGAAATGAGTGGTTTTGGTTTCTCTGATTAAGACAGCCAACAAATTCTTTGAGGGGAATAATTTATTCCTTTTATCTCCATGTCACATTTATTTAAATATTCAATGAATTAACAATAAGAATGGTAATAAAGCAGCAGACCGTTGACATATTTAGTCTACCCACCGTCGGGGTCACGAAGCTGAGGCAATCTTACAATACAATGAAAGTAAATGTTCAATTTATTAATCAAGGTACGATCCACATGTTACCACTACTAACAAAGGAATTGGGTTTTTCTTCATTTATATCTACAAAAACCTTAAAACGTCGTCTAAGGAATTTATTGGAGAATCTGTTGCTGCTATTTTAAGAAATTTAATTAAAATATACATCTAGCCAATATGTCTAAAAATCGATTACTAATTGAATTGAATTCAGATAAATTGAAACACACGTCCAGAGCAAGAGAAGAAACCGAGGAGGGGGGGGGGGGGATACAAAAGAGAGAGAGATGGAGAGAAGAACAGGTCACGCTCAAAAAAGAATATAGTTTACAAGAGGGAAATATTCAGAGTATTATATTATCACTGTTCCATGATGAAAAGCATAAATTTAAGATGATTGATGGTTGTCCATTCTGTCCTTCACAGGTACAGCACATTAAAAACTTCCTGTCATATAAACTTCCCGTTTCGTTCTCCAGAAAAACGCCTAAAAAGGAAAAAATCCCTGCCTAAGAGTTGGGTCAGTGGAGCAAATGAGTCTAAGCCTGTTTTCAACTGTTCATCATCATTTACTCAATCTTGGTGAAAAAGTGGTATTCACGACAAGTTATTCTGATAACAACTTCAACCCCCCTTGAAGATTTATTTTAGAAAACCTAACTGTTTTTGAGCCCGCGATCTAATACCGCTTTCTTCTAACGTTGCTAACTAACCTTCGCCTCCTCGTGGCGGCAAAATGGTGAACCCCACAACAAAACAGTCAGCGTGAAATCTTACTATGAATACTATCAGAAACCCATGGGTTTCTGATTGAAATGTCTGTCCGCATTTGGATACGGATAAACACAGATGCTTGGCATCCTTCATCTTGCTTCTTATTCGCAAAACTACGTGCTTTATCTAGTGTAGTGTAGTGTAGTATTCTATGCAAATCATAATATTAAAAGGTCGTCGACAGAGTTTTGTTAAGAGCTTTTGTGGCCGAGTTTAATACAACAGTTTAAGTATTTGAAAACTTACAATATTTAATTCCGCGAAATGCGATGACACTATAGATTTCAAGTTAGGGTTGTCAGTGGAGTACTGAATTTAAGTTTTTAAAAAGATTTCCTTTTTCCTTGAATCCTCTAGCTCATAGACGTAGATTTTGAATTGAACATAAGTGTGATGCAGGTATTGTTTCAGTACTAAGAGATATTTGACGAATATTTTATTAGAAGAGCATTAGCGGATGTGTCGACTACAACTGAAGAACTCTATAGTCAAAAACATATAGTTTAAAGCATTACGCAAAAGAGGACTTTCATGGCGTGAAAAAAATAATACGATTGAGTAGATTTGTCAAGACGGGCACTATATAACTAGCTAGAGTGGATGGCACATTTAAGTTCATAACAAGTATTCTCTTGGGAAATATAAAAAGACTAAGCCTACGGACAAACGTTGAGCGATTGCAATACATAACTTAAACTTTTAATATGTGGTCCCCGTTTTTTTTTGGAAGCAAGCTCAATAACATCTTCTATTGCCGCCTTCTGTCTTTAATATTGCCGCCCGCTAATCGCAAACCTTTTTTCTTCCGTCCGGAGCGAGCCACGAACAGAAAAATAAACACTGAGCTAAATGGATATCGTCTGACTTATCTGGAGTTTTGTTAGTTTTCGCCGTGTGAATTGATGTTATTCAACAAACCAGTTTCCTGTGGCGACAGAAAAAGCCAATTTGGACTGGTTTTCTTTCTTTTTAAAATAATTAATGTTTTAACTTTCAGCGATCACTACTTTGTTTACATGTGTTCAAGCGGCGCAGTGGCGCGAAAAAAATTGTGGTTCGTTTTGCCTCTAAGTAATTACAACTCAACCAAAGAGTGTACGCTTTTAAACAGCAATAGGGGAGTTCGGAGTGAACCAAATTAGTTTTGGCTTTTCGACGGAATGAACTTTGAAACTCGTTTTACAAATTTCGGTTTTCTGACCTTGTTTTGCATCGTGTTAACTGTGTGTTTGAATGAGTTCCCTAACTCACAGAATTTCCACAGCATTGTTTTGTGTCTTGCTAATTTAGATTAAGGATGAATTATCAAGAACATAATCGTGATCAAACGTTTACAAAACGACCATAAACATACCGATAAAAGAGATCCAAAGAAAGCCCAAACGATTTGTCGACGAGACCACGTGGAATACACTCAAACTGATATTACAGAGTTCCTAATTTGCAATTCAACGCGCCAAACAATAGGTCAAGTCAACCGCGACGAGCCAACCAATTGGCGTCTTTGTAATTCCATTGCGCAAGTTAATGGCTTTGTGACTTGCATAAAAGACAGGTTTTACCTGTCTAACTTAACCACTTCGTTTGTTTCATCTTCTTCTATTTTCAGTTTCGATGAGCTTATTCAATTTAATAAAGACGCATGGACATTTCTAGGAAAGCATAGGAGATGTCAGGAAGAAAAATTGAGGTGCATGCATATTCGTTTCACCTTTTACCTCTGATCTCGTGCATTCTCACTTATTAGCATTGAAAGTGGCTCTAGTGTAGCTATAAATAAAGCAAAAACGTTCTTCAGATACGTGATACATATCGGGTAATCTTGAATAAAATTTGAACTACAGATGTACTACGTAGCTAGCAGTGAAAAAATTCCTATTCGTTCTGTTTTACTTTCTAGGAACTTTCAGTTCGTTTACAACCAGGCTTTTTTCCACTCATGCATAACTAATATTGGTGTGGATACAGTTTTAGTCCCTTCGAAAACGAAAGCAAGGCACACCGACTCCCCTTCTGTTTTCCCTTTCGAGTAACGGGATATTTTTAAGGGTCTCTTAATTGTCTTTTAGGGAAACCAAATAGTTGATATATTTTGCAACATAATTACTATTCACGTTGGCGATAGTGGCTTACGCTTTCAACGGCAAGCAAGTTGTGAACTCGTCGTGAGGTTTATTTTAGTTGCTTTAGAAAGCTTTTTCTTTATCTTATTTCACTTTTAAACTTATATTCTTCCTCAATGAAACTAAACAAAGTTGAAGGTGTCTATGTGCACAGCTGCGGAATTTCTCAATGGCTTCGAAACTTTTTATGCAAATAAACATTCTTTACTTGCATCGTGGTTGCCACGTTTCCCGCCAAAACGAGGTATGGAGCCCCGCTGCGCTCCGAGGTAGTGATCAGTCAACTTATGGTTCAAAATGTTCTTGTCCCACGGTATCGTACAATTTTCACTAATTGTGTCGACTGCCAACTTTTTATTTCGACCAGGAGCCCATGTTTTGACTGTTTATACCCTTGTTACAAATTAAAAGTCACGTGTTTTTTCTGTATTCATCTATTTATCCTCTAAGGTATCGTTTCACGCCATCGTCTTATTCCAGTTTCTTCTTAACAACAGATCCAAAATTTTACAAAAGTAAACAAACCACTGTGAAACTGATTTTATTTCCAACCAGCAGCCAATGCACCCCTACTCCAACCCCTTACCCGCTTAAGAAGTTAGCTGTGATTGTCGAGCTTCGATAGAGACGGTATAGAGTTTGTAACATGTAGCCTCGAGCCACGCTCTTTTCACATTTTTCAGGCGAGCTCATTAAGTGGACATGGACGGCAAAAAACACGTTCGCTTCGGTCTTGCCTGAAAAACACAAAATATAGCGCCTATATGCTGCAGACTAGACTTGCAAGTGGTTTAAGGCCCCTTTCACACGTATCCAGATATTTCTTAAACAGGGGATGTTTTTTCTCGTTTTCAACTTCTGTCTACACGTAAACGGCGTTTTCGGGCGCTGAAAAAGCAGATTTTAAAAAACGGTCTTCAAAGTGGAGATCTTTGAAAATGGTTTGTTGCTCTCGTGTGGACGCCTGGTCTGACGAAAATGGAGGTTTTTGAATACGATGATGTCATACATCATACAGCGCAGGTCTGTTAGGAACGACAGTACGTGTGGCTGTGTACTTTTTTTAAACGGCGAAAAAAAATTTTCCGTTTTCAAAAATATCCGGATAAGTCTGGACGATGCACAAGTAGCCTTACATTCTGTACAAAGCTCCAAAAGCCTATGTTGTGAGGCATAGGGGGCAGGACAGATTTTTCTCGGCATTTTTCGCACTTGAGCACCTTAATTAGGGGCACCCAACGGCAATTTTCGGGAAAATATCTGTTCGGAAGACGATTTTAGAACTAGAATTTTCGGAACATTTGTTGTAAAATTTCTTGCTTGCCTGCCTCTCCTAGGATTTTCGAACATCTACAAAATGGTATAATTACCCATTTTAAACGGAAATTTACCCTAAAAAAGGCCACCTAGAATTTTCGGGAGCCTTTTCCTGGCTGAAATTTTCGAAAAGGTAAGTTTTGATCCCTATAATTTTCGGATCACTAGACTTTCAGCTAGGAAATCCGAACAGAAGAAAAGTTTTTAGGGGATAAAAATATGCCTATATCTACCGTTTAAATACTAAAGTACGTTTAACAATGCTATGTTAAGTGGTTTTGAACTATATCCTCGTTGGGTGCCCCTGCTTAATCAAAAGCATTATGATAACTCGCTTCGAAGAACTCGCACGTAAAAAAGCATGTATACTACAGGACTACAAAAAGCATTATGTCTCAATTCTGACGGGAAGCCACTTTTTTGACGAGACTAATTAAGCATCCTTGAAGCCAGGGCAAATATACACTGTACTACTGCTTCTAATCCAAAAAGTGTGAATTCGCACGTCTACTTTTTCCACGCTAGAATACAGAACAGGGATAACTGAAACTGTGAAAGATGTGAATTATTCAGGCTTTTCAGAACATTTTCAAAGGTCACGGAATATTTCTTCACAATTTCCATCCTTTGATCAGATTAAAAATTAATAATAATCAGTCTAATACCACACATAGTTTTCGTGCGTGATATTCAGCCTGAGTTGGAAATTAGTAATGGATGTCCCGGAAGTTTGAAGTACAAACGCCTTGCGAAAAAAATGCATGACAACACTGAACCACTTTAACTTGTCTGAATATCAACAGGCCGGAGGGAAGTGGCAGCAATGGCTGAAAAAGCGAGTGCGACTCCAATAATAAAGAGGCGCAGTGAGCCCTTAGCTGCGACGACGAAGGCCCCATAGATTTGTAAACAATACCAATTTTAGCACTGAAGCACACGTATCAACTCCGTGGTTTACTCCGCGGTATGGCCAGTAACTTGCGCATGCTCTCAACTCTATCACCCAGGCAGTGGCAGCAATGGACAGCTGTTTTGTCCTCGTTAGGATTCATCAGCATGGCATTGGTGTAGTTCCCATGTATTTGGCCTGGAATCCATATGCATATTATTCTGTCGAGTACTTTCTCCTTCTTGCTGAAATTGTAACCCTCAATGTAATGTATTCCCTTCAACTATGCACAGAAGCTAGGTACCCGGTTCGAACCTAAGTTTATGATGGTTTTTCAAGAAGAATGTTTTCAACTTTCTTTCCATTCCTGTGGTATGGCGAATGGTTCCCTGAGGCAACCAAGCGAAAGTCGACTGGCTTGCTAGTTGATTCAACTAAAGCCAGTTATATTCATCTTGGTTAAGAATTTCCATACTCAGAATCAATTCATGCTTCTTGGCTTGATTTCAGCGATTTCCTAGTGGAAGAGGATTGGAGCAAATCTCGGATAATTTCTGAGTCTCTCCTTCTTTTGGTGGTGACTCGCTGTAAAAGACGTAGAAAAAATACCGCTGGAATGCACACACAGGAGGCGCAGATGAGAAAAGCAATTATGAAGTAGCACCAGACTGGGTACTCTACATTCTTCACATCGCCCTGGAAAACAAACAAGCAAACAAACATTCTAATACGACTCTGTTATCATGGATTAGCGTTGGAACTGAGAAATTCCACAATTACTTTTGTTCTTCATTAGTACAAACCGGGGGCTGAGGTAGTTCTTTTGCCAGTCATTGCTAAAACCAATCCACTCTTGCCTTTGGGCCGTGCTAAGTGCAGTCGTCTTGTGTTGTAAAATTATACACTGAGATAGTACGGATTAAAAACACCAAGATCAACTTCCCTTCTTTTAATTGAAAGCAAGGCCGTACTATTAAGCTATGAGTACGCAGGGTAAAATGATTCTAATTAAGTGGTAGCTTACGTCATTTTCTCTCCAGGCTAAATACGTAATCGGTTTCATTCCCATGTTGAAAAGGCTGCAGACGAAAATCACTAGGACTATCAAAGGAGATACGAACCGCCATGTTATTTGCCAATACCAACCCGGCCGTTCTCGAAGCATGTACTCTATGTCGTCATAAAACCTGGAAAAGTGCATTTAGGAGACAATGTCACATATGCTGTGAAGTATTTTCTAGGTTGTTATGGGGACGTCTGTTATGCGGTATTCACCTAGTTGACTTCATATTTGCACTTGAAGTTTCACTCGTGCTCAGAGTCTCGTTATGATTAGGTTTGCAGATCAAGGTTAGCCCGTATTTGTATCGACTGGTTTTTGAATTTTATGACCTTTTTCTCTCGATTTGAGGGGTTTTTGAGTGCCAGTCCTTGTAGTAGACACGTTAGGGATCATATCGAACCTTGATTGTTACCTATACCAGAGTTCCTGTTTTGGTTTAAGGTTGAGCCTCGTGTGTTAAGTTGTTAAAATTTCATTGGTTTTCTTGTACTTGACATTGTTAATCTTATAGGCTTGTTTATTCTACTTTGGCCATCAAATGAAAATTCGTTTAAGTCATCAGGAAGTACGTTCGTAGCTCTCATGGTCAGCAAGCGCGAACGTAACTACATTTACTGAGTTATTTAGGTTGTCAATATTTGGCGCAGTTAGTTACTTTCAGAAGTTATGTTCAGTTGTAGTGGTTAAGTGGGAAATTTGAAGGGTAATAGTCAAGTTCATGCTGTGAGAAGAAAACATTTGAGGTGCTGTGATAGATAAAGAACACCAAGATCAAAACCAGACTCCTAGTACCTCTTCGCTATAGTAACGGGTTGCTCGAGCCCCCGCCCCATACGTTAGAATTTCATCCTTTCAATTCATTTGATAGAGACTTAAAAAGCAGGGGCAAAATTAAAACATGATCATATTTGGATATATAAAAGTGCTGTGATCTCTTTTATCTAGCTTGAACTTCATGCACAAACCATGTTGATGGCGTGGCACTACTGTTGTCGAGTTTCCCACCTGTTAGCACCGTACACCCATGAAACTCCAATAAGTTCAAAGAAGCAGATAAAAAGAAGCGGAAGTGTTCCTGTAAAGCTGTCAAACATCTGTAACCAGTACTCCCCAGACCTCTGACAGAACAGAAGACCCACGGCCATACATAAAAAACACGTTAAACCTGATGAAAAAAATATGTATTGCAGCACAGTTAAGAACTAAGTACGAGAAAGAAGTCAGACGTTCGCGCTGATACTAGTCTTGGTATCAGGCTTTCCTTAGGGCCAGAAACCCGCTGATACTAATCAAGGTCTCGGTAAGTGTTATCAGCCTCGGCCTTCGGCTCGGCTGATAACACTTACCTGGACCTTGATTGTTCCGAATATCACAAAAGCCTCATTCAATAATTGTTTTATTATACTTTGTTTTGAAATAAATAATGACAAATGCACCGTTGCACAGAACCTATTTGACACCACTCTTGAAAAATCATGCATTGCACGTGCATGTAGGTTGTGCTTATTTCCAAAATTAACCGTAGGCTCTTAGCCAATGAGAAGATAGATGAGTAATGATGCCCCCATACATGAGTGTGAAAGTGAGATAGACCACTACACCGGGCACCACGTGCCCTGCTCTTTACGAAGAGTGTGTGGGTTCTTTAACGTCCCACAGATTTTTTATTACCTGTGCAAGGGCTTGTGAGACGGGGCCTACGGTTGATCGTTCTTATCCGAGAAGACTAGAGAGTCAAACCGTTTGCAGATGTTATTACAAAGGCAGCACTTTCTCCTCAGTTATTTAAAGACCCTGAGTTTAGGTCCGGCCGGGGTTTGAACCTAAGTCCTCCCGCTCAGCAGACCGGCGCTTATCCCATTGAGCTAACCGTGCGGCATTATGCGACGGCGGTAAAAAAGTTTTAAATAAATGACTTACTTAAGACTTATTCACGGACACAATGCAATATCGGAACAGCTTTCTGCTTAAACGGGTCAATAAAATAATTCTTATCACTCATTGTAATTACTTTGAAATTCACGAACGTTACGTTTTTCATTCTTATTAGCTCTTCTATCTAAAGAGGCGGATCCAGTTATCAGTCAAGTTGAATTAACTTGGGAGTGCTTAAACTAAACGTCGGTTGAGTATTCGAGATATTTTTGGTTAATGCCACGCCCCGGTATTGTATTTCTCATTTTTAGTATACCCAATTAAAGTTTTCTAAGCTGGTCAACTAACCTGTGAGTATTTCCTTCCTCACTGAGAATAATTTCTGTTCGTATAAGGGATTAAGTACACCCTCCAACAGTCCAAACATACTGCCAAGACCGAGAGAAAGAAGCATACAAAAGAAAAGTACCGACCACAGAGGAGAGATTGGCAGCTTGAGTATGGCTTCAGTGAAGGCAATGAACGTCAGACCTGGACCTTGAAAGGACTTAAAAACGAGAATGGAAGTAAGTGTTCATATTGCTGAAAGAAGGTTTTTATATCGTTATTTTCCCTAACAACGTAAAACCAAAACAACAGTGCAAATAAATGAATACAATATTAACGAAAAGCATGCAGATGAGTAGAAATTCTCACGGACTTCAGTTCTACTATCGACTAAACTGCGGCCACACCATGATACATGGTGTACTTTATTTTTTACCCTTGAATTTCAGTCGGTTGAATTTGAATGCTGCTTGAAGAAACAACAAGTGAGTGGAACTGAGCCACTATGTGCTTTATACCTTAGATAGCCAGTGTTCCAGATTGTGGCATTTCGTAGCCAGTGTAACTCCAGTAGGAAGGCTTATGTTGTTCGCTCCGCCGTATAACGTCAAGCATTCGTCGTACGAGTTGCGAGCCTATGAAAAGTGATTATGAAAGAAAAGTTACGAATTTTCCTTATTGAAAAACGTGCCTGTTTAAAGCCATCCACAAGGCTGAAGATGGAAAGGTCGACCTTAAGTGGTAATCATATTTTTCTTATAGCAGTAAAAATGTACTGTAATTTAAATTATCGGATAACAGGGCTTTGGAGTCTGGCGTAAGAATTAATTCTGTTTATGGAGTTGTTTATAAACATCAATGAAATACCAGGCGATCTTTCGCGCGAAAACATGATATCTTCTCATCTGAAAATAACATGTTATCTTCACACGTGAAATTTCACCGTTGCTATGGCTACATAATAAATCGCGCCTTTCACAGGAAAAAACCGTAAAAAGTGAAATGGTTTGGTTTTTAAGCGGTGTTTAAATAATAAATAGAACATTACATGGCCGCTTTTAGATACGAAATTTCTCTTTGAGTGTTGAAAAAATCATTCACTCGTTCACTGCACTCACAAGTAAAATATTTTTCAACACTCAAAGAGAAATTTCGTATCTCCTCGTAGCCATGTAATATCCTCCATTTATTATTCAGTATTTAAAAATAAAAATTATAATCAACGTCATCATTGATTGACTGTTGTTGTATATTTGAGCTATACGATTACGTCATACCTTGAACCCAAAAACAGAAAATACAACCACAGCAGCAAAAACTGACGTGAAGCTATCCGTCAAAGAGATAAATATGGCGTCCCGTTTGCAATTGTTGTGAACTGGGTTGTAACTCGACATAGCGATCAGGGTTCCAAAACCAACACTTAATGAAAAAAACACTTGAGTTGCGGCCTCCAGCCAGACTGTAGGACTTGCCAAACTAGAAAACTGCATGAAAAACGTTAGTTGACATTACTGTAGTCTTGTGATCATATGGAAATAAGAATACATTGAGATGCAAAACTGATGAGGGGATCTAGAAAAACTTTGAAAAAGGGGACCTGCCATCTTGGGCAGATAAAAAGAACGCAAACCTTGAATATGAATTAACACTATCAAGAATGAAGGCGTGCAAATACCAAAAGGCACCATATTCGGGGGCGAGGGGGAGACTTAATTTTCCATTTTTTTTTCAGTGTCCAAAATGTAAAATGTCCACATCGCGAAAATAGCCAGTTCCTCACGTACGGTCCATATGAATTTCGATTAATGCACATCAGGATCAAGGCTGATTACCTGGGGCTTGAACATATGTATAATCCCATCAACTGAACCTTTTAAAGTAACCGCTCTTCCAAAGAAAACGGTCAGCACAATGTAGGGTAACGTGGCCGTTACGTAGACTGCCTAATAAAAGAGAAAGAGGGAAAAAGAGATTATACGGTATTATGAAAAACAACGTGGACTGAGTATTTATTGCACTAGACTTTCTAAAACTGAGTCCTTTGATTTTTTTCCTGGTTGGTTAGCGACTTGGCGTCGAGCGCTCGGTCAGTACGTGACCTTACTGAAGTTTCCTTTGCTCACTTTTCGTCACTGAAGGTCGCGTCGATCGCTTTTAAGAACTTTTGAGAGGTCGACTTGTAGCAAGTATATTATTGCACATTAGTATTCTTTCTATCCAGAAGATATACTCTGAAAGCATTTGAAGAAACATCGATTCATGTGAAAAGATGAATAATTTTGTTATTCCAACACTAATACCTTTCCAGCAGATCGAACTCCACGACTAATAAACAGGAACAAGACAATCCATGCCAGAAGGAGTACAAGACACAGATGCCACTGCAAATCACCAACATCTTCGATTGAGGCAGTGGCTCCAAGTGCGTTAGTGTACCAAAAATACTGCGTCCGTCCTGCTAAGTTACACCCTACATTAACCGTACAGTTTGGAGCAAGCGGACATGAAGAGTATGGCAGAGGGTCTTGAAACGACATAAAAAGGTAGTAAAAACACCAGCCAATAATCATGTTGTAGTACATGGCGATGAATAGGCATACGATTATTGAAGCAAGTCCTACTCCACCTAAGTAGGGGTGAATCGCTTTCCATACACCAATGGGTCCCTGGCGAACGCTCTGACCAATTGCTAGTTCCAGGAAAAATAATGGAATACCGAGTAACACCAGGCTAATGAAATATGGGATCAGAAATGCACCTGAGGAATTCAAAGTCAATGAGATTTATTATAATTCTCGTCAGAATAACTTTGTTATTTGTGCGCTAAGAAAAGCAAACTGTATTGCTTAATGCTCTAGCATATGGTATATTATATGCACGGAGAACTCGCAAAAAATTGCTTTCTTCACCAGAAGATAATCCAAGACATTAAGGACACTACGCTGATCTTCTGTTGTGTATTTTATAATATTTTATTCTTTGTTTGATAAGAACCTGGGGGTAGAATCACTCATCACTGAGTTATTAGTACGGACGTACAGGGTTGCATTTGTTCATATCCAAAATATGAAGAGAATAGAAATTAGACACAACAAGAGCTTTTATTTATGCCTTTTATATGGTTAGAATAGACTACTGCATGTAAGCCTTCTCTGATCCTCCTGCCAAGGCCCTGTTTACAAGGAGGGAGGGTAACCCTGGTGCTATGGTTACCCTAGCACGAAGGTTACCCTAGCACTCGCATATTTCTTCTTTTTTTCACACGACATGTTTACAAGGCAGGTAAGGTTACCCTAGCGCTAGGGTTCATTTAATTCTTTGTCTTCTTCGGCCTCCCAAGCTGCTTCATTTTTCTTCTTGCGTTCCTCTGACATGTATGCCTATTCCGCAAGTTAGTTAGATAGCGCATATGACACTATTTCGCCTTTATAGCAATCACACCTCCACCAGATTTTCTTGAAAGACCATAGTCTTGTAAATCGCTGGCAATACTCTTAGGTTTTTGTCGGTTTTCAGTGTACAGAAACTGTATAGGTGGCTCAGATCATCTTCGTTACATATCACACACTTTGCGGTCTCACTAGTGTCAGCCTTCTGAGCCCGTTTGGTGCCACAATCTACAACGTCCTGTCTTTCTGTTTCTCGTCTGCTTCAACATATTTGTTTCTCCTTTCTTCTCCTTTCTAGTTGCTTTCGATAACAAACTCTTCAGAGGGCAGAGTATTCCAGAATGTAGGGGCTACCACGGAGAAAGATCTTGCACTGTATGTTCTCAAATTAAAACGCGGAATAAAAAGAAGATTTTTAGATGATGAACGTAGCTTACGAGATAGAATGTAAGGTGTAAGTAGATCGCGCATTTACGAAGGTGTCAGATTGTCAAGAGCCATGTACATGACGAGTAGAATTTTAAACATGATGCGGATGCGATAATTTATCGTAAGCCAGTGAAGATGTAACAAAATAGGTGTAATTTGTTCATGTTGTCTTGAAAGAGTGATGATACGAATAGCGGCATTCTGGAATTGCTGTAACTTTTTAATTTGGTAGTTCGATAGGTCATAGAGTAAAGAATTGCAATGATCCAATTTTGACGATACAAATGCATGAACAAGTATTTCAGTAGTGTTCGATGACACGTACTTTCTTATACAGCTGATGTTACGGAGATGATAAAAAGATGATTTACAAATACTTGCAATATGTGCGTTGAAATGAAAATGATTGTCAAAAATGACACCAATATTTCTAGCATTCTGAGAGAAGAGGATGGTCTCATTGACGACAGAGAGTTCTTGAAGGGTTGGTCTAGGTAGATGTTTAGCAGAGATCACTAGCTGTTCAGTTCAGACCAGCATCCAGGGATCAATCTCATGTACACAACGCTCAGTGTTAGACAAAAAAATCTGTTAAGAGTAGTTGTTTTTAAGTTTCTTGTACATTATAGATATTCGGCTTTTATGCTTAAATTACTCGTTACATGTCAACATGCATATGAACATGAGCTGTTATTCCCAAGAAGGATAATCGCTCAAGTAACTGAGCAGGCGGAAGCCATGAGGAAACTTCTCGTCGATATTAAATATTATGACTTTCGCATACGATAATATGTTATATGTTCTCTAGCTAGCAACACATTTCCCGAAGTTAGCTGTTCTACTCGTCTATCACAAATATGTTTCTATACTTTGATTCAAGTAAACTTGGTCCACCTTGATTTATCAGTCGATATCAGTGTCTCATATTCAAATAATTAAAAAGTCACAGAATCGAAAATTTCAATATCATCGGAAGCTGTTAGCGGTCTTTTGTTTATGTTCTTAAGATATAACGGGTACAAATTTCATCCGATTATAAAATGTAAATTTTTTTTCATTATTGCGGACCCCTTAATACGATAACCTTTAGAGTACTCGGCGGTTCTTTGACCTATTAGTCTAGATTAGATTATGTAGGAGGAGGAGGAGGAGTAATGAATTTCTTTGCTGTATAAAGGCTATATTTATGTACACCAGGGAGTCCACGTCTCTGGCAATTTATGATTCCTGATGATACTGAATTATTCTGATACATGTGCTATTTTGAATAAATAAACTCTTAATCTGTGGTGAATGAGCAACTTGAATGAGAAAAGAAAAGCGAACCAGGCAGTCGCTATAGTGAAAGAGAAAATTGAATTTTAAAGGTTGACTTACTATGTAGGCGAACATACTTTTAACACGTTAATAGTGCAGTTACAAACCACACTAGTCTATAACTACTGTCACGTGTATATTAGGAATATAATCCACGTTTGTATCTGATTACAGCTGCTGACCTACCTCCTCCGTTTTTCTGGCACAAATAAGGAAATCTCCACAAGTTTCCAAACCCCACAGCAAAGCCAATAGCGGCGAGTATATAGTCTGCTTTATTAGCCCATGTCTGGCGTTCTGGAGTCTCCATATCGCTAACCGTGTCTCGCTCTGAAGAATCACATTTCGATTCGTCTGCTTCGATTTCTGTCATGGTTAGAGCCGTTGCAACCTGACCCATGTCGTTTCGTTTACCCCTCGGCATTTTCTCCTTTATGTTTTGAATTCGCGTACTTTTCGAGAAAAACAGATGAATGAGTACAACGGCTAGCCTGAGGTTCCAGCGAACAAAAGCCGCGTTTAACAATATGAATGTAAATGAGTGAAAACCAAGTTTTTTACATTACAATAACGGGTTTGACGGGTACTTAAAACGGTTTGTTAGCCGACAGCTTGATACGAGAAATAGTTGCACTTCGAGAAGAAAGCATGCTTTTGAGCTTTTAGCTTTTGCCGCGTGTTAAAAAAACAAGGAAACAAAAAACACCATTTTTGCCGAAATGTACTGTGTCCATAAGCATTTGCAATACGGAAAAGCGTTCTTTTAGTTCCAGAAATACGCCATGTGGGTAAATATTGTATCACCAAAAGAAAAGGCCCCCAACTGAGACAAATTTGTTAAAAGGTGAGCACAAATATGCTTACATGCGTTTGCCACAGGAGCCCTGAACAAAAAGCTATAATACTGATCTAAACTCGAGATACATGTAGTCATTGCTATATATGTTTTTAATAAAATGAACATCCGGTTTGAGAAGGGGATGAAATAGTGTCAGTTTCTCTCGAACAGTAATCGAAAACGTGTCAGACTGTGTAAATATAAAAACTTTATTTTAATTGTTTTTTGAGATTACATTATGTTTTTTACCGTAAGCAAGATAATAACTCAGAGCTTTTATTATGGAAGCGATGGATTACACCGGACATAATCTTCAAGATTATTCTCATTTCTTTCAAGGCTCTTTATGGACTTTCCTCAGTGCCTGCTCAATTTTCCTACAAGGGCGGCACCATTCTCCACGAACTCTGTGTCCCGCGCATGGTCACTCAGTATTCGTTGGGCTCTAGCTTTTTACCCGCGCCAGAATTCGGTCACGGTCATCAGTACCGGCTAACAAACACAGGGTATAGCCCTTGTACTCGGGCAAACCTAGATTGAAATCATAAAGGGTTTCTCGATATTTCAACAACGACATAAATACTAGCCTGTGTACAGACGTCCCCACTCCCTCAGAAAAAATCGGGAGAAGAGACGATTTTTTCTGAGGGAGGGGGGACCTCAGTACACAGGGGACGTCTGTACACAGGCTACATCAATACCCATGGACAATAATTAGAATACTAAAAGAAATATATGTTAAATATATCGATCAAATAGAGACTTTGATGTCTCCGCGACAAACTAGGTGACAATATACAAGCGTCAAGTCAAATCACTGGTTTATTGTCCCTTTTCGGAAGACTGAATTGTACCGAGAACAAAATCCAGCTATCGGTCAGGTTGGGACTTAATTGAACTCAAGGCAGCCGAATTGCAAGCCCAGTGCTCTAACTGCTCAGCCAAGTTACCTCCTCTGAAACCTTCGAAAATCTTCAAAGCGCACTCCTTCCAACGCGAGCATAGGAAAGGGAAATTAGTGTAGAAATGTGCGGGTCGGGAACTGGTCAAGTAAAACCTCCATGTGGCTTTTGTCTTCACAACTTAGATTCATCTCCGACTTGTTTTATTCGGGCGTTAAAAGGATTCAGTCCACTTGGCTGTAAAACAGGCTAAATTCCTTAATTGGTATCCCAGAAACTGCCGCTTATAAGCTCCCCACCCCCCGTCCCCTCCCCTCAACCCAGTCAGTGTAGGCCCATCTACCTGCAAACAAAAACTATAGTCTATTATAAGCCTCCACGGGTAAAACTCCCCTTAAGCTCTAGCTCCTGTTACAACATCCCCCCCTCCACAATGAATTCGATTTATTGTGACATTTTGAATCTCAATTTAAAACCAGTAGTTGCCAATTAATTATCAATTCTTAATTATTTTGATTAGCACTGCTTTAACTTGTTTCGAAGAGCTTTAACTATTCCTTGGCCTTTGCTCCGCTCTGAATGGGGGAGAAGAGGATGGCAGCATAGACAGAAGGAACCCAGCTCTCTCTTCAGGGTTATAACTAAACCGGAATGTGCTCTCCATAATAATTGCAAAGTCAACTCTGTAAATGTTTTTTTTAGTGCGAACCGGGCTTCATATGTTTGTCAGTAAGTAAAAACTCCTTAACACTCCAACTTTTTTCTCAGGATGTCAACAACCAATTATACTTATCAAAGCCTTTGAAGCCAAGTGGCAAAGGCATTCATTTAAATCCATCAAATCAGATCTAGAGGAAATTGTTGTTATCATCATCAATTTTATGATGATTATCATAACATATATTGTTATGTTCAAGTTTCACAGTACGTGTGCGTGTTTTCTGTACTGGATAGGGAACTCCACTAGACGGGGTACTGCCAAACCTCTAAGCTTAGCGGATTAAAAATCTTTGCAGGATATATCCAGAGGCAACAACAGCTGTCTCTTGCAGGGTGTAGCTGCGACTCTCGGCCTCAGAGCCTTATCGAGGTTGCTCTGTACACATCCCAGCGATCCAACAGTGACTGGAATAATTGTTACATGTGTACCCGCTTCTGCCCACCATAACCTGGCGGAGAATACTATGGCCAGATGGTCAACTTTCTCCTTGTACTTGCTCTCTATTATTATTATCATTATTATTATTATTACTGAAGCCGATCACACTATCCACGGACTGTTCTATAAGATTATAAAAACCATCATAATTTAAAACAATTAACGACAAAAATAATAGTGTGCAAGAATCCTGCTCTTCGCTTTAGAATCAATGAAGAGTTTCTCTGGATATTTCAACAACAGTACACTTATGGACAATAATTCTAGTGAAAAAAAAATTGAAAATATATTAAATGTATCCGGATTTTGAGATTTTGCATCAATGCCAAATTTAAATGGTGCAACTTGTTTGTTTGTAACATTATAACAAGTTTCATTTCCATTCACAGATGTACCGTGATTTTGCTATGTAAAAAGAAGTAGAAAGTCACTTATATTTACTAGAGAACTAAACCGCAAACGTTGCCCTGGGGATGTTGAGGTTTTCAGTTGAACGATGCAATACAATATTCCTTTATATTACTATTTATTTTTATTAGAGTAGGGTAGCGCAGCCTAATATAATACAAAATTTACCCACTATAAATACTTGCAAACTCACAAATAAGTAACTAATTAAGGGCAAAAAAGGCGGTAAAATGAACGTATAGGAGCTCAAAAAGCCCTGTAATATTTGCACATTCAAAGCATGGCAGGTCCCTCTCTCAGAAATGATACTCGGACTTAAGAAATGGAGGACTCTTTTGGCGGTCTCCTATAGAAGTATAGAGGAACATGCTTCACAAGAAAATATTTTATCTACTTTCCTTGACTCTGAGTACAACTATTTACATATCTTAGAATATAAAATGACTCCAGTACTTTCTAAGGGAGGTTTTGATGAAATACTGAAGTCTGACTCGCGATTCACCGTTTATTCATCGGGATATCATCAAGTAGGAGATGCTGCGTGGATGCTTCCCTGTGCAGACATGTACATAGACCCTTTTCACGCACAGCCATGTTAAGTAAGTTATCCGGCGGAGAATAAAAACCTTTGGTTTTACACGCCTAAATTAATCACTCCCAGGCTAGACGTGAAAAATGTTTTTATGCAAAATGGTAGCTAGTGCTTGATGTAATGGCCGTTGCTTTCTTTAAAGCAAGTTCAGAATGTACAGACTATTCTCCCGGTGCTTTCTGAATAATTTACAATTACACTGATGTTTAACTGCCACAAATACGCGCGAGATTTCAGTCTGAGATTTCAGACATTTTAAAGGAGTGTCCCTTCTACAATAGCCCCGTCTTCTTTCCTCTTTGTGGCAAATCTTTGACACAGCTTTACCAAGAACACCAAAGGTACAAAGATGCACGAGGCGAAGATTAGGAAAAAGATGATGGGATAACACCATGTCGGATATTTCACGCTTTCGACGTCACCCTAAAGAAAAGAACAACAAATACTTAGTATAAGGAGGTCTCCTGAGTCTGGTTGACTTCTTCTTGGACTGAAAAGGGCGGGTTGACTGGAAAATGAAAGATAGAACTCAAGGTAACAACTAGTCTCCTAATGAGCTCGGGCCAGCACCTTGGTGTGGTTGAGGCCTATCTTACTGTGGTATATTAGCTATTCACTTAATTATTATATTCCATTTAATTTGGAACATACTCCCTTTGTTTATTTACTAAACCATCCTACTAAACCATTCTACTAAAATTAGAAGCAAAACTGCTATCTACATAATAAGGTATTTAATCGTAGTGCTCCCATAGGAAATAGAACTTTGAATTCTATTCTCTAACTGGCCTTCTCGTTCGTTAATGGCCGGCGAGATGTGCTTCACAGAGAGCCCTGCTTCCTCGGTAGTCGACCCTCTTTAGTTGAAATGCTTGTCCCTTGCTAACAAGCAGCCTTAAGGGTTACTTGTAGAGAAAGGTTAGAATTTAAAGCAGTGTGTTGAAAAACTCATAATTTACTAATACTGAATGACCCACCTTATTTGGTATCCAAGCTGAGTACGTCATTGGATTGATTCCCATGTTGACCAAACTGGCGACAAAAATCACCAGGACTATCAAAGGTGACACAAACCGCCATGTAATTTGCCAGTACAACCCAGGCCGTGATCGAATCATGTACTCTATATCATCCTCAAACCTGTGTGTAAAAAATATAGAAAATGAGCTCAAATTGTACAGCTATACAGCAGGAACTAAACCCACCGTCTGCACTTTAGAACAACTAATGGCATTCTACTCCACCTTAAGTATTCCTAAGAAGCGCAAACGTCACGTACCTTTTAGCACCGTACACCCATGAAACTCCAATAAGTTCAAAGAAGCAGATAAACAGAAGCGGAAGTGTTGCTGTATAACTGTCAAACATCTGTAACCAGTACTCCCCGGACGTCTGACAGAACAGAAGGCCCACGGCCATGCATATAAAACACGTGACAGCTAAAGGACGAAAGAAAGAAAGAGTGTGTTGAATATACTCGTCACATGCGTTTGAAACTGAAAATATTGGAAATGAAAAACTGACTAACTGATCTCAATAAACTAACCTGTGAGTATTTCCTTCCTCACTGAGAATAATTTCTGTTCGTATAAAGGATTAAGTACACCCTCCAACAGTCCAAACATACTGCCAAGACCGAGAGAAAGAAGCATACAAAAGAAAAGTACCGACCACAGAGGAGAGATTGGCAGCTTGAGTATGGCTTCAGTGAAGGCAATGAACGTCAGACCCGGACCTTGAAAGGTCTAAGTAATGTAGAAAAAAGACTATTATTAGTCAAATTTTTTTATCTACTTCCAAGCTGAAAGGGTCTGTGTCGGGCTATTTTTTAAATTTTAACAAGCCATCAATTTTTCTGCACCAATTGAATTCCAAAAATAATGGTCTAGTTTTTTTTATTCAAGAAGATAATTAAACATTGAAATTGTTTCCTTTTCTCTGTTGCAACGGATGGCAAGGCTGGACATGGATCTTGAAACTTCAATAAGTCGGCCAACCTTTTTCAAGTTTTAATGCTATGCCTACAAAAATCACCAAAAAAACTATTATGGCTTGTGCTAAACAATGAAATTAGTTTGATATCTTCTTCACAACTCTAGTACAGGAGTATTTTGTGTATGGATGGAGACACTAAGTAAGTAATGTCTTCAGCATCGCGGAATTGACCTAAAACAGCAATCCAGCAATAGTCCCTTTAAAATTTACCATCTTTTTATATTTATCGTTATACAGTACAATTTACATTTACATGTATTAGGTCGGTAAAAACCGTTAGGTTATCACACCAACCGTAAAAATATAAACAAACAAATAAATAAATGAATAAAAATAAGTAAATGAATTTCGACATTGCTGTTGAAAACAGTTTACTGGAGGATTGTCAAATTTGAAGTTGAGCTCGCCTTGTTCCTGTATCGCTTTCCCCCAGGCCTGTACGGTCAATTGATTTCGGTGACATACTAAGACCGAGGACAGGCGCCTCATATCAAGTGACCCATCTGAAACGCATTGACCGCGCGGAGACGATTTTGAGGCCCAAGTAACTACTACTAATAATAAGGAAAGTACGAGAATTGTCTCTTCGCAGCTCATGCAATTGATAGAGCCATCCGACCACTGGGAAGACAAGTGTACATAACTCACATATATACCGCAAATTTGTATGACTAATGTGACACAATCCCAGTGTTTTAATTATACAGCGGTATATACCCACCTTAGAGAGCCAGTAATCCATTGTGTGGCATTTTTGCTCCAGTGTCATTCCAGGAGGAAGGTTTGTATTGTTTACTCCGCCGTACACTGCTAAGCAGTCTTCATATGAATTGTGGGCCTGTTGGTAAGAAAGGAAGATTCACTTGTAACCTGTAGAACAAGTAATTTGCTCTAATTAGAATTGACGTAAATTAATATTTTTCCGTCACGAAACTGGGTTCGAATGTTGCGCGCGAGGTATCGCGGTTCGATGATTTGAAATAGTTACCGATTTTCTATTTGTGTCAACCTCAACTTTGTAAGTGCAGAGAACCAAATGACCACAAATAGTACTATGCGACGGTTCTGTCAATAATTATTTGTCTGAATGGCCGCTAAACTAAACATATTATTAACACATTATTCATCTTTGAAGATGAAAAGGTTCAGCAATCAAGTTGGTGAATTTGAAGCGTTACTAGAAGGTTCAATTCCAGAGTGCCTTGTATGAGGTTTAGTCAAGTATGGTCGCTTTTTTTCAATTGACAGAGCAGTCGACATCAGGTGGAAAGAACTTTAACTTACAAAATTTTATTGACAATTGTTCGTCAACATGGGACCGTTAACAAAATTCTGTGCTTTTACCTTAAAACCAAGTACAGCGAACACCACTGAAGATGTAAGAATTGACGTAAAACTGTCACTTAAAGAAACGAATAAGGCATCTCGCCTACAATTATTATGAATTGGATTGTAACTCGACATCGCAATGAGCGAGCCAAACCCAACACCAACTGAAAAAAACACTTGTGTAGCCGCCTCCAACCAAACTTCCCCACTTGCCAGTCTGGAAAACTAGATTTAAAAAACAAGAAATTAGTTTGAACGAGTGGTCTTAAAAAGGGGCAGTCTATCACAGTTTGAGGAGCAACATTGTATTCTGGTATAGTGTTAACTGTGTGGAGTTCCGAAAAAGAAACAACAACAACGACGAAAAAATACAAACATAAAATTGCAAATTTTTGGAAACAGTGCAGGAGCTGGTGGCTTGTGACACATAGTCTGCAAAACCTACAAGTCAGGGGCGTAGCTAGGGGGGTCCTGGGGTGCCCGTGACCCCCCTTGGCAGGCCTTCTTTTGAGCAAACAACCTACAATATTCAGGTGGCGAAAACGCCATGACAATATCTTGACCGTAAAAGCTATTGTTGAAAAGCCCACTTCTTTAAAATTTGTTTTTTTGTAAAGTATTTTCGTCAACGGCTCTTGTCTTTAGTTAATATGGGCCTTGATGCCGCAATAATACGACTGAGCCCGCTGATACACGAGGGAGAGCAGCGGTATAAACCACATATAGTCGGCGATCCCTGGATGGTGTCCCTGTCTGTGACCCCTCCTTTGAAAAATCTTGGCTACGTCACTGCAAGTTATGACTTGTATAGGTAACTTGATAGTCTAAACAACTTCAATGTGACCTCAACACGTTACAGAAATGGAGTGAAAATTGACAACTTCGTTTTCACCTTGACAAATGTGAGGTTCTATGTGTTACCCATGCGAGAGATCATACTAGCTATCCTTACAAGCTCTCTGGTTGTACGCTTCAGTCTGTCACCGAAACGGTTGATTTGGGGGTCTCATTGACTTCTAATCTATCCTGGAACACCCAAACGCAGAAAGTTGTAAATAAAGCCAACGAGATTGTGGGTTTCCTTAAAAGGAATGTTGGTCCATTGAACAAGGAAGACTTTGCTCGTCTGCACAAGGCCTTGGTTATACCCAATGGCCTTAACTGTAATGATTATTTTGAATCCAACTGTTATGGTAAAACAAGATCAAACCATTCATTTAAATTAAGACAGCCATTAGCTAGAGTAAATTGTTTTTTGCACTCATTCTTTGTTAGAATTATTAAACAGTGGAACGCTCTTCCTAAAGAGATAGTGCACGAACAGGATTTCAGCATATTTCGAAGTGAACTTAGAAAGTATTGTGAAATTTTGTAATTTTTTTTTAGCCATTTCTTAATTATTTTTAAATTTTACATTGTAGCATATTTATTTTATATTTTATGTAGGGAGCATCCTCGATAGGGATAACCTCTGACGTTTCCTTTTATGTATTCTTAGTAAATAATAAATATTTGATTATGATTATTATATAAAACTAAAAACTAATCACTTCTGGATATTATAGCTAAGTTAAATGCTCTTTTACCTCGGGTTTGAACATGTGTATAATGCCATCAGTGGATCCCTCTAGAGTAACACCTCTTCCAAGGAATATAGCTAACACCACGTAGGGGAACAAGGCAGTTACATATACGGCCTAAATGTTCACAGAAACACAGAGAAAAAGTTAGGCGCTTGATCAAGTGCATTGGACTATCGTTTGGCTCAGTAGCCTTTGTGGCAGGCGTTGAAAGGGATACGGGAGGAACGGAAAAGGAACTGGGGAGAGAGAAAAAGGGTAGGCGCCCTCTTCCTTTTCCCTTTTTCTCCCTCAAAAATCAAATTGTCAACTTACCTTCCCTGCCGACTGGACACCACGATTAACGAATAAATACAATACGATCCATGCAAAGCCAAGCACGAGGCAAAGATGCCACTGGAAAACACCCATGTCTTCAATGGACGATGACGCTCCAATTGCCTTGTTGTACCAGAAATACTGAGTTCTTCCTGCAACCTGACACTCCATATTGACGCTGCAGTTTAGTCCCAGGGGACACGAAGAGTAAGGCAATGGATCTTGAAACGATGCAAAGAAATAATAGAAGCACCATCCAAGGATAACATTGTAGTACATACATACTAAAAGGCACACAATTGCAGAAGCAATCCCAACACCACCCAGGTAAGGGTGAATAGTCTTCCAAACACCGATAGGTCCTTTCCGGATGCGTTGGCCAATGGCAAGTTCAAGAAAGAACAATGGGATTCCTAACAACACCAGGCTGATCAAATATGGGATCAGAAATGCTCCTAAAAAGGAAAGGTCATGTAGAGAGCAAAGTTAGTCCATCCGATAATTGGAGATTGACATAAATCAGATACACACTGCACCAACTGCATCGAAAGGAATCGACTTTTAGGAATATCATACTACTGCAGGACAAGCAAAAGCGCCGAGAAACAACGATTTTTTTAGCTTACACTTTTGTGTATCAAACTCAAGCTTGTTTTTATGCTCTATGCTGAAATTTGAATGCGATTACATGAGGTTTTTTTTTCACTCGTTTGTCTGGGTTGAAATTTCTAGTCAGGATTGTGATAACTTTCTTTATATCAAATCGCAAACATCTTTTAAAGGTCGCTAGCCTGCGTTCATTATCACGTTCGTAATTTTGTAACGTTCGCTGTAGAAACTACTGCTCATAAGGTAACAGGTTGTATAGGTCTCTTGTCACTAAGGCCATGCTCACACTCTACCACTGGGATAGCTTTTGCGCCGCCGCCAAAATCAAACCGGATCATGACAGGGCTTCTGTTCGGCGCCATTTCTATGACAGAGTGAAGCTGCGCCAAGCCGATCTTGAAAGTGGAGCGTCACATATCGGATAAGTTTTCTGCCATACTTTGGTGCAGTCAGTGTAAACACCTATTCCGACCTGGAAGTAACTAAGTAGGAGCAAGGACTGGAACCTACTGAGACGGAAGTAAACATTTAGGAGAGAGGACTGGAATTTAGTAAACCAGACCCTCTCAGCCAACCGCGCCGGCAAGATGCATGTTAAATGTGTGTGAACCTCTTGTACCCGGCGCCCCGCCCCGCCTCGCACCGCGCCGCGCCGCGCCCTTGCTGTTCATACTATATCGGATAGCTTTTCTTGTCCGATATATTGTAAACAAAGCCTGAAATGAAATGTCCCTAAAATTCATTTTATTGAATGAAATGGAAGGTTTACACTACTAATTACATTTTAATGAGCCTCTGTTTTGAAAACAACGAAAGTTAGTTCAGAAGCCAAATTGTGACATTTTCCAAATAGATGAACGCGTTTTCTTTAGACGTGTTATTCAGGCAACCCGTATTGTAGCTGATTAGCGTATAAAACAGATCTTTTTACCACAAGCAAACTTCTACTAGCTTCTCCGGTGCAGGCGACAAAGTCATTCTATGTAAATTTCCTTAACTTAATAAGTATTGTTATTAAGGCGGGAACCAGTTTCAAAAACGTAAACTATATTTACATAATTTTTGTTTGAAGGAATGGCCCTTTCTTAATTTTCATTTGGGCTTTTTATGAAGGATATTTTAGTGCATACTCTCTCTTACCTCCTCCGTTCTTCTGGCATAAGTAAGGAAACCTCCAAAAATTTCCAAACCCAACAGAGTATCCCAACATTGCCAATATATATTCGCCTTTTGTATTCCAGGTATTGCGGCGGCCATCTTCAAGCTCAATTTCTACATCATTGTCAGGTGTTCCGTAAGAATTGTTCTTGTCTCTTAAATCCGCCTTCTCCTCGTCATCGTTTTCCTTGATGAGCTCCAGAGATACCTGGTCATCTTCGGCATCTTTTCGTGACATCGCTTAGCCGAGTTACTGCAATGAACTGCGCTCACGACTGGGTCCCTTTGAAACCAACGTACACAAAAACAGTTACATTCAACCGTGTTGCGGAAGAGAACTTTGTGTAAACGATATCCTTACCTTTTTTCTTTGCTGAGAAATGAAATTTAGTGTCTATTCTAAGTAATAGCCTCGGAGGATAATTTAGCATTTGTTTTGCGCCTGCACAGCGTTCTAGTAGTCACCCACTGATAATCAAGTCACGCATCATGTAACAGCAGCTTCAGTGTTTGCATATTTAGAGCTTTGAAAGTTAAGACTTACGTAAATGTTGTAATTATTAAACCACTTAACGAACTATCTGCATAGCTTTTTGATATTAATTTCAAGGATGTAAGCTGAAATCATAGTCACAAGAATCAACTTTTAACTTCACCCGGCTGTAGTGATAACCTTTATAGATTGTTCCAAACGGGTCATAGCTTTACTCATTTGAGAGTAACCAAATGAGGAATATAAGTCTAGGAAACCCTAAATTAGCATTAAAGATAGTAAAAACCGTCAACAGATCCTAAGAAAATTTCCGTGATCGAAATCAATACAAAATCCAAAACAGATATGTTAATCTGATGCATAAAACCCTGTGAGCGTCCTATTCTTCGAACGAGTGTCCTTGTTCGGGGTTAAACAACTTAACATGCATCTATAAGTCCTGAGAATTCTAATCTTCCGCTAGGAAGCTAAAGGTTTTGATGCTGTCAAAATGAAGCCGCCTAAAACACATAATATACTCCTTACCTTGTAGCACAATCGTCTTTTTGAGGCACAGGGAAGTTAGGGTCATTACCATAAAATTGAAAACACACTGCTTCAAAACCCGTTTATCCTGCCAATCGTGTTCAACCATTATATTAAAATGTTTACTCTTTGCCATTTTGATTTACTCCCTGCGCTCACCGCGACAAGGCTTACAGATTGGGAAGTAAGCTGATCAGTCACAGTATTTGCCCGGCGATAAATGTCACTTAAACTGCAGAAAAATTATACTTTAAAAAGTTAAACGTGCCTCAAAATCTGAAGGGGGGGGGGGGGAGCAGAGTCCTTGTTATCCCTGCTAGTATAGCAACAATATTAAAACAATATGAGAGCTAAGTACACATGAATGGCCATTTTACATGTAATAGGAGAGAAAAACGTTTGCTAACTGAGTTAAGCTCAACGGGAGGAAAAAAAACAACAGTTCGAAACAGTGCTAATAACAAATTATTTGATGTCCAGTATTAAAAAAACTGCCTATTATTCAAAGTTTGAAACGCGCTATTCTTTCTTCTATTCTATTCTAACAGTGACAAAACAGTTTCGTCGTTCTTGGCTCTTCTACGTTTGGGTTTTCCTTAATTTATTTGTTTTGGCAACATTTGTTTTACTCATTTAATAATGCATTACTGCAAAAATAAAATAAACCGCCGACAAGTATTTCCATTGAACTCGGACTGTGTGCCTGTGTTTAATACATGCAATTGGGGACTACGTTATGTTAAACAATGAAAATGCAAGCAATGGAAATTGTAACCTCGATCTGATAGTTTACTCTTAGTTTACTCTTACCCAGTTTGATCAAGACTTAAAATTAAGGGGATGTTCTTAAGTGCTGTATGGGATATGTCAGTCTGTAGGAACAGGTAGCAGAGAACTCTGGGAACGAGCTTGGAGATGTAATGTCGGGCGTCGTAAAGGTTCAGTAATTGCTTGCTTAGAATTACATTACAAGGTCGACCTTAACTGTGAAACTCACAAAACTGTGAACACCAGAAATATTTATGGAATGTTATTGTGTTGCGAGAAATAAGCCAATAAGGTGCAAGATAACTAAACGGCAAACAGCAACGGTAATTAGTTTAGTACCAAAGCTCACAGAGATACATGCAGACATACGTAGTGTAACCTATAAAGCGTACCACGAAAAATTACCAGACTTTTTTTATGATCACATCATATCGAGACGGAATGTATCATACAGTATACGTTACGAACACCAGATTCATTATCCATCCCGCCCTTCAACACCCGCTACATGAACGACTCCCTCACGCACAGAGGTAATCTCAGGTTTTAGTATAAAAGTAAATTTCTTATCTTAAATACCTTTGTTTCGGACAAATTGTAATTTCCACAAGACTTTAACGTGTTGGTACTTAGGACAAACGACTTCACAGCTTAATAGCTTTGAAAACTAATTAAAGTAAAGGCTTTGATTGATTGATTGAAAAGGGACGGCAACCAAGAAGCACTGGGGACGAGGTGTACGTTAGTAGAGCTGGGCCGGGTTGTTCAAAGATGGGTTAAGATAACCCAGTGTTAGTTCGAAATTTGAATTCAGACATGAAAGCTTAAAAAGCAAATTCAGTTTGATTATTTTTGTCAACAATTTGATGATTGGCTACTCGAAAAAGAATAGAGAAAATTGTCCGAGAAAATGCTTTTGATGAAAGGAAAAAGAGACCCGGGTTAAGATTTAACCCTAGGTTAGCGCTAATCAGTCTTCGAACAACTGGGCCCTGGAGAGAAAGAAAAGAAGTTCACAAGTTTCTCTAATGAGGAAAATATAACGGGCAGCATGAAATTTTTGTGGGCTCTAATTTAATAATATGCAATTTTTCCCAGCGATCAGCAAAGATAAGTTACCACAAAAAAATTACCGGAGACATTTTTTCAGCCAAAATATACTCCGGAGTAAATATTCTCTAACTTAGATAGATTTGTCTGTTCTGAATTACAGCTTGACGTCTCTTACGGTTCAGAAACCAGAAAAACGATTACAATAACGAGCAAAACTGTCACTGACACAATTTAAAAATTGTACGGTATACAATGAAATACGTGAAATGAGATGGCTGGAACCTTTTTTACCGGTTTAGGGTACACACACCGAAGTAGTGTTTGAAAATATGTATTTCCATTTATTTCAATCGTTGAAGTTGCCTGATGAGTATGGTCCTATAATTTCGGACAAGAGAGAATCTTGTTTCGGACCATACGAAACAGCATTGTCCCCCTGAATAAACGATGATTACCGAACTTCTGAAGCCTGACATCCTGTAAAGTTATATTTCCATTTTCACTTACTCAATAAAAGAGAAAATGTTATCAATGAATTATCCTGGACTAAAATCGCAAAAATTAATTCCCAGCAAAAAAAGACTAAAACAAAAGAAAAAATTTTTTCAAAACATAGCAAGAAAAGCAAAAATATAACTCGAAGGAAGACAAATGCTATTTGAAGAATATCTACCTGAGACTAAACATCCCCTTTATATCCCACGCACTGAATTTGCAGAGGAACAGGCAAATGAAGGCTTTTCATGCAGCGATCGAGGTAAGCATGTTTAAAAACTAAGGAAATATATTGAATACTAATAGCACTGAACCTCCTTGATCTGCATAATTCAGTCTTCAGATCACACCAAATAAAGCCGAATAATAATTTTTCTTGCGAGCCGTCTGTGTCACTGATAGTTCATAATTTAATTATATCTAAATTTACATCTTAAATTTCATTTACATGATATCTTTTTGTATCTTTACCAATAATTTTTATCTGTATTCTATTGTTTCTCATATTTTGCAAATTTAGCTAGGGGAACTTCATGAGGAAACCTCTCGGTCTGCCTTTTCGAATACTATATACACTCTTTTTTGTAAGAAAATATTTTATTAGAATATCGAGGGTAAAATTTGCGAACCTTGTTAAGAATATTTTACGAATACATCCGAGGTTGAGGCCCTTGAAAAGGATCGTTTTATGTTAAAAACCTGCAGTACCAGGCTTAACTGTGTAAAATTATCCCTTTCTCTAAACGGCAGAATAGATTTAGACATTACCTGATTCTAAGACCCCCTGTAAAATGGAAATGTCATAATACGAGATTGTTTTCAGCCTATAATCGCAGAAAAATAACAAAGAACAGAGAGTGTATGTACGTCCCGGATGTAGGTAAAATTTCTAAACAAAAGAAGTGATTTTAATATTCGTAGACCGCGTTTTCGTTTTTGATGACTGCGCACCAACAACCTTCTTACACTTCAGAGGAGATTTGCAAAATACAGCGTTTGTTTGACAACAGCAATCTTGAAGAATTATTTACTGAGAGAGGACAAAAATATGGCAGATGCTTCATAAAAAAAAACAAACAAACAATAAGGGTATTATTGTTGTTTTGGAGTTTATTAAACCAAACTATTACAAAATTCAAAAGAAAAAGACAGGATCAGGCTCAGAAGCTGACCAGGCTCTGAGTCTAACCACTGACCTTAAGAGAGATTCGCGAGTGGTTAGCCTGCATAACTGACGTTATTTTCTAGCGTTTTTCAGGTGAGCGGAGGCAAGCGCCAAGCGAGCGAGGAGCGCCAGACACGCGCCTTCCCCCGTCGAGCGTGTAAGGTGCTCCAAGCTCGCCCAGCAGCCGGCTTCGCGCACGCTTGCCTTCGCTTGCCTGAAAAACGCGCGAAAATAACGTCTGTTTTGCAGGGCCCCGAGTGGTGAACTGAACAGTTTCAGAGTTTTTTTTTCACATACAAATTCGGTTACACTTTAAAACAGAACATCGTCAGAACAACCGTATAGCCAGACACCAGCAAACATTATTTTTTACATTCCCAATATTTACTTGTAGCTGCAGTGGGGCAAGCTCCCGCGGCCATGTAACGCACACACCTCTATGGGCCGCATACGAGAATCTTTCTGGTGAGAGCCCAGCTCCAGTTACGGACACTCGAGGGAGGGGGAGGGGGGCTGTTTACCTAAGCTTCCAAGGTATTTCTAATTCTAATTTTAGTTCTAAGCAGGAGGGGGGGAGGTAACTCCATTGTTTTCCACTCCTCCTGCCAATATGACATGGTAACGGGCAAGAACCTCGGCTCGCTTGTGCAAATTATAGCAAGGGATGCGACAGTTATTTGGTCGAGCGAGGTCGAGGAAAAGCTAAGAAGCTAGCAAATATAGCTATATATCGCTTATTTGATCGAATGTGTGTGAGCTTTGATGTTGCCATTATCTGCTTGTGTAAACCGTTTTGATATTTTTTGCCCGTGATTGTATAATTTTGTTAATTTGTTTTGCGGGCCGTGTTGCAGGATCGAAATCTATTTCACAGGACTGGCAAGGTCATCAAAACTTAAGTCTTTTTTTTTTCTCTAAAATAGGCAAGGTCTAGTCTCCAGAAGAGGAGGTTCCATTCACAGATCACACATGTTTATATTTTATCTATTTTTTTGCTAATTAAACGGGCCTAACTTGCGATTATCATTCCTTTCGAGTGTGGGCCTCTGTTGATCTCCTAATTCTCCACCAAATTCAGTAAAGCTAGTTCGATCGATTATCTACATCGAGTCGGCCCGTTGAACCCAAAATAATCCGAAATAGCTTTGAAATACGCGCTTAAACTAATTTTCCTCAAATGTATATTTGAATTCATGATAAATACAGATTCACAAGCCTCAATCAGCGTCGACTATGGCAGAGAAAATTGTTTTGATATGACAAAATTAATTTTTCGAATCATGTGTGTCGCAGTGGTGAAGGAGTTGCTTGAATATGCAAATAGACCTGGTTCGGCTCTCGGCGACGCTGTTTTCTGTTTCTTTGTACCGCTTTTTTTTTTTTCTGTTTGGTCTCTTTTTTTAAACACTATTTTTCCTTTTGGCCCTTTTTTTCTTTATTCTTACTGCTGACCCTGCTGGTCATGCACTTGGATCAATATATATTTTAAGCTTAAGTCCGGAGTTTTATTTTGGAGAAGGGATTTCAAAAGCTCTTGATCTGCATACTGGCCAAGCTTACGACCAGAAAAAAACCTTAAGCTGTCAAGACATGTCCCTCCTCTGAAACAGCTGAATTTTTTTCAATGTTAGTTGTCATCATGACAAACAACACACAGTACACCACAAACTGTACTAATTTACACCCAACACCCACCAGTGACCCACTGGCGAAAGTTAAACTTGCCGTACGTCGTCTTAATCATCAATATCATTACCCTAACATCTCCACTGGGTTTGCCCACAAAAAATAATTAAACGAAACCTTTTATTGGTTTTCGGGATTTAATTACAGAATTACAGGTGTATGCCCAATACAGTATTAAAAAATAAAATGCGGTAAAGCAACAAGATTCAATGCTCACAGTCTCTCACAAATACCTGTCATTCAGCTTCCCCTTTCAACAGCTAAGCGAACTTTGAGAGGAATTATATGGGGTTCCACTAGCTCTGAAGAGCTGAAAATACGCACAATTTAAAGTATAATACATCCTTTGATGAAACTCCTATTTATGTGTCTAAACTCCTCAATCTTGCTGTGCACTGGCCCTCAAAACTGAGACCGGTAGGTATGATTACCCGTAAAATTTGCTCGACGATAGAAAGGAATCTTTAAAATTCATTACACCACCGGACATTTCACTCCAAAAAAGTACTTAAGTCTAGTTTTCTATGACAATAGAAACCTTAAATTCTCCAAATCCAAGAAATCGGAACAGTAATTCCGTGATAAAATCGAAATTTTTATCCATCTCTTCGATCAACACTTTGCTCGACATTCAGAAAGTTACTGACGCGAGACATGACGTCATACTGGCAGGCGGACTGTACCACAGATTTCCTTGGAGACACCTCCCCCTCCCTGGTTCTAAGTTTTAATCTAAGTGCTGTGAGAAAAACAGAGGAGAAACACCTGTAAGAAGAAATGTATTTCAACTTAATCCTCGCCTTAATAAAGCTGTCGTCTATGTGTACATTTCGTACAGGAACCAAATATTATTGAATAAAATGTGAAACTAATCATTTTGTCGGCAAGTATTTTACGATAATTATATCAGCGTGATGACGAAAATGGGAAAATCACTTGCGGTTTTAATATTAACCAATAAGTCAAATCACTGGGATTTATTTGCCTTCAAGCACGCAATTCCCTATTTTGTGAACCCACGATTCCAGGTAGCGGTTAATATTTCATTGTCTCTTTGATGTCAGATTCTGGGAATTTCAATTAAATCGCCTGAAAATCTTGACAAAGTAGAGCGTAATAGAGATAACAATTTCCACTTCTCAAATTTAAATTGATAGTCGGAAATAAAGAAGAGCAATTTTAGGATAAAAGTCGAGACATATTGTTGAAAAGGTTTGTTTATCTACCATGAAATCAAAAAGGATTTGAATTCTAAGCTGACCTTCAAATATCATGATACTCTATATCCGCATCCTGCGAAAAATAATAGAAAAGGAAGATCGTTAATCAAAACAGACAGAAAAAAAAGACAATAGAAACAAATTCTAAAAGCTGACACAAGCTTCTACATTTTTTTCTTTTGTCAAGTGACTTCTGAGAAAATGTTCTCAGGAAGAGACAGTTTGGCCCAAAGTACGGCTCAAAGAATCGATGCTCTTGTTATTGTAGAAGCAACTGCCGTTGTTTTAGTGGACGTCATAGCACTATTGGGCAATGTTCTGGTGTTCGCCGTAGCCTCCAAAAACCGTCGCCGCCTCACCATAACAGATATCCTTATCATCGCTCTGTCGTTAACAGATCTTCTCGTGGCTCTGACAGTGATGCCTTTGTCAGCTGGGGCGTTAATCACAGGAGTCTGGCTTTATAACCGATGGCTTTGCCTTTTTCAAGGTTTCTGCGTTATAACGTTTGCGTGTGCGTCCCTCAACACCCTTTCTGTGATTGCAGTCAACAGATACTACTGTGTGGTCAAATACAATGACTACCGCAGAGTTTTTTCTATCAAAAGAACTCTTGGATACTTGATCCTTGTTTGGCTTGCCGCATTTTGTTTCTCCATCCCACCGCTCCTGTTTAGTGCCGATGACTACGCTTTCCAGGCCGGCAAAGTCCTATGTGTTTATCCCTTCGAGATCAACTTGGCGTACACAGTTTGCTTGGATGTGCTGTTCATTGGCGTGCCGACAGCGACCATTAGTTATTGTTACTGGCACGTGTTTCGCACAGTACAACAGCGTAACCGAGCTGTATCAGGAAAAGGTCAAGAATTAACAACGAGGATGAACGTTCAAGAGGCGAACATTACCAAGACGCTGATCGTGGTGGTGGTTGGCTTTGCTTTATGCTGGTTTCCCGTTCTGGTCATGGATACAATTGATGTAGCGACAGGTGACCTTATCCTTCCGCGCCAACTGTATCTGTTTTACACATTCATGGTTTTCTTGTCGTCCACCATCAACCCTTTTATCTACGCGCTTGTTAACAAACGATTTAGAAAGGACTACTGGAGGGTTTTACGTTTGTTACTTCGACGTCGGGTTACAGAGCCGACATTGGAATTTTCAGCAACTAGATGAGCAACCAGTAGCTTTCTTTCTTTTTTTTTTTCGGTTGAGGCAGGCGGAGCAAGCGGGGGTTAGGGTTAGGGGGTGGGGTGGGGATGGCTGCTATCATCCAGCCCTCGCATTTTGCTAACGTAGCAAGCAATAATAATATCATTAAACTTTTTTTGTTGGGTAAATATGCCTTTTAAGGGAAGTTTATTTTTAAAGAATAAACCAAAAAGTGGTTAAAAGTTAAAAGATTTTAATTGGTATCAAAGCTGGACCACGTTAAAACAATTAGGCGTATTTTCAGTTCAGATTGACAATATCTAACATCTCTTTGCAGTTAATGTATAAACATACTCCTATTTCGTGGCTCAAAAAAAATCAAGTTTGGAATGGTGGCACTATTTAGCTAATGAAAACAATAATTCGTATCACCAAATGCACACAGTGAAAGTTAGAAATTAGTTGACTCTGAGTCGTCCTCTGTACCGGCCAAAGGTTCCTCGGTCAAATTCAGCGCAACACGTGACAGCTGAGGTGTCAGAGCCCCTGGTGCTATGACGTCATCTTCGCCTGGTTTAGGTGCGCTTTTTTGGTAGGTGGTAAATCCAAACCTTCGCAGCACAAATACAACAGGAACAAAGCACGTAGATGCCACTATCAAAAGAACGATGACAAAATATCCCCAAGCGGGATACTGGACGGCAATGACATCAGCCTGTTAATGAAATGACGAATTGGTCAAAAGATTTTTAAGGTGATCTATCAGTTTCGCATTGTGCATATCAACTAAGCCTAACTTCTTGCGCAGCCTAGCGCATTTCAACGTAGCCGAGCCAGTTGCCAAATAAATAAGTAGTTGATTCCTTCTAAAAGAACACAGCTACTTGTCTTTATAATAAATTGTACTTTACCAAATTAGTGGATAGCTATTTTCCGCGCTTTGATTGGCTCCCGTAACTCGGAATATCACTGGCTATTCAGTGTTTTGGGACGGGAATTTGGGGCGGCTTTTATTAACAAAAGAAGCTTTTCCGCTTTTCCTTTTTTGTCCAACAGACCTGCTCGGCGCGCATTCCGCTTCAGTGAACAAGCGTAAAGAAATGAGGTCGAGGCTCGGGTGGAAAGTTCACCTAAGCCTGGCCGGGGGCATAGTAGCGTCTCGACATATATCTACCACCAGTCACCTCATCTTCAGGGACTACCTGTTTACAATCCCTGGCAAGGAAAGGTCATTCGCAATCGTAAGTTTTATTAAGTATCTTCATATTTTCTACAGACGGAAAATTATTAAGTTTTTTGACAACAATTTCCGTTTTAAGGTGGCTTGACCAGTGAGCTCGGTAGTAGTTATATGGCTTGGTAATAGAAAACTAATTAACAGCGCATGAATTGCCCTGATGGTTGGCAAAGTTCTTGCTTTTAGAGACATTTCCGCTGTTTAAACATAAGTTAAGAATTTCCACGGAACAAAACTAAGTTAAAAAAAGCAAACAAACAAACTTGCCATCTCAGGATGCCAGGCTGAGTAAACAATGGGCTTTAGTCCCATGTTGATAAGACTTGCTACTAAAATGCCAAACACAAGTACAGGAGACACATATCGCCAGGTAATCTTCCAATACAGACCGGGACGACTCCCTAACATGTACTCGATGTCATCCTCAAATCTGCCACGGATAAAAAGACATTACGAATAACACTTACATTTTCCTTTGCAGTTCTTATCTTGTAACTGTCTCTGTGAGCCGGCTATGGAAACGACAATTGGGGCCGCGAAAACTTTAGTAATGGATTTCATTTTCCAATCGGATCTAATTTAAAACACATTTAAATAGTTAAATAGAAACTTAAGAAAACTAATGAAAGGATTTAAGGAAAACAGTAGGAATTACAGTTTCGTAACGGTAAATTGACATCTTATTGAACTTCACTGTATTGAATGAGATTACTTGCGCTCTCTCAGGCTGTGGAGCCAGTGCCAACACAAACCTTACTAATTATATGAAAGAAGATCATCGCAGTTGTAGACACAACTTTTGCAATCGCTAAAAGAAAGCCTGAAAAAAGTTCATACAATCATAATTTCATCATCATCCTTTCACGGGTTTATAACGAACCAATTCAACGAGCTTCTCCCTTTCGGCTTGTTAGCTTAATTAATGGAGCGCTGCACAGGTTTCCCAGATGTCAAGGGTTCGAACCCGTACGAGCCTGAATTTTTTTTCAGAACTGCAAAAGTTGTGTCTATAACTGCGTTGATCCTCTATCATGCAATTCTTTACCCCGCAGTTCTCACATATGATTTTCATACATTCATACATGAACTTCACAAACCTTAATGTAGTTTAGTAATTTTTCGATCGAGATCCCATCTTTTGCAAAGATGAAAAATATAAGGTTTTTTTTCTCTGAAAAACGAAGGGGCGTGCTTTAAAAAGCGTTTACTGGCAATTGCTCTTTGGAGAAATGCAGTGACTAGGACGTAGAGTGGCTTTTCATACTTACTTTGATGTACCATATATAAACTGTACTGCGATCAGTTCAAAAAGATTGAGGAACAGAAGGGGAATGGTACCACTGAATGTATCAAACATCTGTAACCAGTACTCCCCAGACTTCTGACAGAACAGCAACCCAATCAGGAAACTGACGGCGCACACCACACCTGATGAAAAACGTTTGCCCTTCTGGATAAGCAGACCACTCACTTTTAAATATTTCAAAAATATGGCTAGTGTTAGAGAGAGTGTAATGAATTTAGGATTCCATAAGTTTTAAAATGCTAGTTAGCTATATTGAGTCGAGTGCACAAAATGTCGCAATGTAAATTTCCGATACACATACTATAAGAACCTGGTTACTTGGTTTGAACGACACAACATAGATAATTAAATATGCTTTCGTGTGACGAAACTTAGAAAGCAATAGGACGAATGCCGTAAAACTTCTCAACTAATGTTACAGACTACCCTGCAGTAATAATCTAAGGTTACGGAGTGCTAGCGACAAGGATCGAAGGTCAAACGCCTTTGCTCCAACGCTGTGCTTTGCGTAGATTTCACGTGACAGATGGTCTAAACACGTGTGATCAAATTGCATTCTGTGCATTCCATTCATTCGTAGGGGAAATCCAAACGAATGCTGGTTACATACATGCGACGCATGCGTAATAAAAACCTGGAGATTAGGATTGGGGGCTCCTCTTGTCGCTCGCAAATAATTTAACGAATGACGCATGCCTCCAAGTTTGGTCAGTATTAGCGAGTTACGAAAGCCTGCGTGGCAGACGTAATTTAACCTGGGTTAGTTAAGTTCCATCCGTGTCTGTGTCGCAGGTAACGGATATACGCCAGTCATTTGAGTTATATCGAATATCGTTATATTTCACCTGGTTACCGCTTTACTCTCTAAGAACAAAATATCCTTATATGGATGTATACTTCTTGTTAACTTTTAAACTGAAACGACAACGAAATCTTTAAAAAGCCTTTTACACATACCTCATCGCCGGGGCCTGGTCATGCGTTCCTCTGTCTTAAACGGCCCGATATTGTTATTACTTATATACGCGTCGCTGGGAATCAAAGTGATAGGTGTAACTTTGGGTACTTAACAAAAGTTAAAACTGTCAAATAAATAATGGAACATTACTCTGTTCTCGAACTTTTCGCTAATAGCCACCACTGTCGTACTATAATTAGGGATAGACTGATCTGCCGAGATAACCCAGTTTAATAGTGGAATTCTAATTCTATAGTCTGGTTTGGCGGGCCAGTCCTAACAAATGTCTTTTTTGACCATCTTTCGGAGGCTAGTATGGGGTCTAATCGTATTTCAGCTCACCGGTTAGGATCTCCTTTCTCCAAGGCACAATCTTCAAGTCAAATAAGGGAGTAAGCACTCCTTCCAGGGTTCCAAACATACTGCCAAGACCAAGCGTAAGTAACATAGCAAAGAACAATACTGCCCATAAGGGAGAAACAGGCATCTTAACTATAGCTTCAGTGAAGGCAATGAATGTCAGGCCAGGGCCTTGGGCAGACTACAGACAAGAAAAACAAATTAAAAGAATAAGAACACTGAACAATTCGGTGGGGAACACCTTTCTGGGTTTGTAAAGTCTATAAAAGCGGTTGCCCTGATTACGATATTGAAAGGTCCTGATACAATGAAAATCAATGTTTGGTAACTTAGTAAGCGTAACGTCGCGATTCATATTGATGAAGTTCATTTTGAAATTTTCTTTGAATGCACTGTATACGTGCATGCCAGAAAGCTGAAGAGGGTCTTGAAGTTGCTCGACTAAGAAAGAGTTACTAAAGCTTAGCCTTTGTAGTGTGTCAGTCCATCACAGTGCTGTTTACCTCAGGGACTAAGAATGTCATTGGGTTCTGTGACAATACAAACGTTAAAAAGCCTATTTGCCTTTATTCTCGTAATTTCCTAAATATTTTTAATTTCACACCTCTGAAAGCCAAAATTCCAGATCCTTGCAGTGTTTTGTCACTTCCGTGCTGTTTGCTCCTCCAAACAAATCCAAACATTCGTGAAAAGAGTGATGAGCCTAACATTCAAATAATAACAATAATAATAGAAATCATTATCAATTCAGTTTTTTTAAGGTATTGGATAGTTTAAATACATAAAGACCAAAGACATAATTACACTGAGAAAGAACGACTAAAATTTCCATTAGAGGCAGGTCCAGAACTAGAGGATGAATCGCCTATGGATAGGAGTGAAAGCAAAAAGCCAGTATCAGTGATAATTAAAGGAATGAAATTAAAAATGAGATCTACCTTAAATCCAAGAATAGAAAAAATGACAACAGTAGCAAATATAGATGTGCCACAGTTGATAGTGGAGACCATAATAGCATCCCTCATACAATTATTATGCACGTTATTGTAGCTGGACATCGCAATCAGTCCTCCAAAGGCAACTCCCAGTGAATAAAAGATCTGCGTGGCTGCTTCCAGCCAAACTTGGGGATCAGCCAGCTTTTCAAACTGAGCAAGTAGAAAAGAATGTGTTAACCAATATACTTGACAAAACAGTGCTCGTGCGGCAGTTTTTTAATTGGGGGGGGGGGACGGATTGCTGGATTCATGCAAGTGGGTAGGGAAGTGATGGAGATGGAGGATACATAGAGGATTTTACATGGCCGCGCGGAGATACGAAACTTCTCTTCGAGTGTTGAAAAGTATTTCACGAATGAGGGCAGCGAACGAGTGAAATATTTTTTCAGCACGAGAAGAAAAATTTCGTATCTCCAAGCGGCCACGTAATGTTCTATTTATTATAAAAACACCAATGAAAGACCAAACCATTTCACTTTAATAGTTTTTTGGTGTGAAAGGCGCGATTTATTATGTAGCCATAGCAAAGGTGATATTTTCACATGTGAAAAAAACATGTTATTTTTACATGTGAAGATATCAAGTTTTCGCGCGAAAGCTCACCTGGTATTTCATTGGTGTTTATATAATGTTATAATAAGGCTTCTCTAAGCTCGTTCAGTTCAGATGGAACTAGCCATTATAAGAATACCACAACAGATTTTGTCTAACAAAAAATACCAATCGGTACAATCGCCGAAAAGCTGATTGCAGTGTGTTTTCCAGTTTTCGAGAAATGAGTCTAAACATTGCTGTCGCTCGTTTGCGGCTTTCCAACACCGGCTTCATTGCCTCATCTCAATGTTTTTGGTAACTCACTCTCACGAAAAAACCCTCAAAGAAATCGCCGACAGTTCACAGCGCAAAAAGCGCTGAATAGCTCGTAAAATGTACTTCGTTTGCCTCATTTACAATAATTTAGCAACTTTCACCAAATCATTAGTCTCACTCTATTATGCCGTATTGTAGTATCAAAAAATCTATTCAGTGAAGAACTTTTGGGGATTTAAGATTATCCTAATATCAATAGTTTTGCGCTTAGCGTCCCTTTGAGAAAAAGGCTTGGACAACTCGTAACTTGCCTAATTGATCTGTTAACATATTTAAACCGAACCTTGTCAGGTCTTTCGCGCCACTCGCTGCAGTGTAATAAGTACTTACTCAACAGATGGGTATGTCCTTGATAGTCAAAGAGAGACTGAGATACCAGAAACTAACATGTTTCAGCATTTGCAGCAATTAATGTTTACCTACTTACTTTCAAGCACACTGGAAACCAAGGAACTACATTTACTGAACGAAAACAACGCGTAGATTACTTGAACACTATTTATTTACGCCTATACATACAAGCAAATTCCATGAATGTTACGCGCATATAATAACGGGTTGGTACCAAATAAATCTGTGAATGTTTCGTCTCATCACCAGTGGGAAGTTAGATTAGGAAAGGGAGGGTACGGTAGGACGGGCAAGGTACAGCTGTAAGCTGAGAAGAGGTGTCAAGGATCACCGGGTTCAGGTTACCTGTGGTGTAAACATGTGTTTGATACCATCAGCAGCTCCTGGTAAACTGATACCACGACCAAAGAAAATGATCAACACAATGTATGGAAAGGTAGCGGTAAAATACACAGCCTGCAATAAAAAAAGGAGAGAGAAAAATGAAAAGGAAAATTATTGCCCGATAGTAGTCCCTAGTGGAATGGACAACCTTTCCCGGCAAGGGCTGGGTGGGTAATCTAAGGGTGGGGGGGGGGGGGGGGGGAAGGGGGGTAATGTAATAAAAGGCTGGCGCGGAATGAAGGGCTCGGTGGTTGGGTAATGAAAGCCTGGGAGAATAATGAAGTACTGGGTGAATAATGAAGGCCTGGGAGAATAATAAAGGGCCAGGAAAATAATGAAGGCCTGAGATGGTAATGAAGGGCTGGAAAATAATGACAGGCTGGAAAAACAATGAAGGCCTTGGTGAATAATGAACGGCTGGGTGAAGTATGGGGGGCTGGGAGAATAATAAACGGCTGAGTGGGTAATGAAGGGGTGGGAAAATAATGAAGGCCTAGGTGGGTAATGAAGGACTGGATGGGTAATGAGGGACTGGATGGGTAATGAAGGACTGGGTGGTTAATGAAGGACTGGATGGGTAATGAAGGACTGGATGGGTAATGAAGGACTGGATGGGTAATGAAGGCCTAGGTGGGTAATGAAGGACTGAATGGGTAATGAAGGACTGGGTGGGTAATGAAGGCCTGGGTGGGTAATGAAGGACTGGGTGGGTAATGGAGGACTGGATGGGTAATGACGGCCTGGGAGAATAACGGTGGGCTGAGTGGGTAATGAAGGGCTGGGAAAATAATGAAGCCCTGGGTGTGTAATGAAGGACTGGATGGGTAATGAAGGACTAGGTGTGTAATGAAGGACTGGATGGGTAATGAAGGACTGGGTGGGTAATGAAGGACTGGATGGGTAATGAAGGCCTGGGTGGTTAATGGAGGACTAGGTGAGTAATGAAGGGGTGGGTGGGTACTGAAGGCGTGGGTGGGTAATGAAGGACTGGGTGAGTAATGAAGGCCTGGGTGGGTAATGAAAGAACAATAATAATGGTGGGTAATGATTAGGACAATATAAGCCTATCATTGATAGTTTGTATTTTTACTGTATTCACCTTTCCGGCTGATTCTACACCTCTCATCATGCAAATGAAAACAACAACCCAAGACAACAGTAACACCAAGCATAAGTGCCACAGGAGTCCTCCGCTCTCATCAATAGACGTCGATATATCCAGTGCGTTCCTATATAAATACAGTTTTCATTATCCTATATAATTTCGGGTTAATAATGTATTGTTTACTTTAATTTTTCTCTTATTTATTGTCTCAAAGTTAAGATATCATGAGATTTTTATCTCGATAGAAAATTATAAGTAAATGACCTAATAAACGTCCTAGGCGTCTATTTAATTTTCGGGGTCCAAGTGGGGGAGTTTAATAGATAGGAGGCGTTTATTCTCATTACGGTAATAATTAAGCTCAACAAAACCAAAATATCAAGAGAGTTTAAAAATAGCGGAATATCCACTCCATCAAGTAACACGTTTAGGCCGTCTAGAGATCCACATCGCTCTTTCAAATCCCAACATCGATGACAGAACTGATCCTCGTCGTTAGTCTATCCTTACTTTGAACTTGACAATGAGCAAGATGAAATAGGCAAAGCCTTGTTAATCAAGCAAGAAGCTGAATGAACTGAGTGATTTTGCTCCATTTTGGTAATCCCTACTAGTTAAGGGCCATCTGTTAGATAAGAGGCGTTTATTTGGAAGTGGACGTTTATTAGGACATTTACGGTAATCAGGTTTGATAAAGTCAACTTAGGTTAGAAATTTATAACCTGCGAGAAAGCAGTCTCTGGAGGAGTCTGGGGACGGGGAAGAAACAAAGGAGAAATAGTAAAGATTTGGGTTTCTCCCCCGTCCCCAGATTTCCCCCCCCCCAGAGAGCTTGTTTTCACTGGTCAGGCTACGAAATGAAATGCCTTTTTGTTATTAGTGCTTTATATTGCTACTGGGTGGCGTGAGACTGAGCTTCGTGTCTTATGTCTAGGCTCCAGTATAAGAAACTTGGACGGTACCTTACACACGCACACAGCCATATCACTCGGGTAGTAGAAGCCTTGGAAAGCTGCTTTGCTAGCCTTTTCCTAACCTCCGTAGCAAGCGGTCCTGCGGGAATTGGGCGAGAAAATTGGAACCAGAGCATGAAAGAATCCATTTCTTTTGTTCTTGCTCCAACTTTCCCACAATAACTCGATTGGAAACTCTTGCTACGCAGGCTACCCTCATCAGGGCTCAAACAGTATCGCATGGTCTTCGGAACCCTCTGGTCGTATTCAGAGGCTCTTTATTGCCGTGGTTAGTGCAAAGCACTATGAGACAATCTTCTTACCTATACCAGTAGTACTGGGTGCGACCAGCCAGCCTACATTCCTCCACAATCGTGTCATTTTCTACCTTAGGGCACACGGAATAAGGCAGTGGATCTTGGAAAGACATGAACAAGTAGTAGAAACACCAGGCGATGATCATGTTGTAATAAACGCACACCAGCAAGGATATCATGACGGAGCCGTACCCCACCCCACCCAGGTACGGGTGAATAACGTTCCACACACCCACCGATCCCTTGCGCAAACTCTGACCAACGGCGAGCTCCATGAAAAAGAGTGGTATGCCAAGTAACACTAAGCTAATAAGATAGGGGATCAAAAATGCGCCTGAAAAGTAATGAAAAATACAAACTGCTTCACTTCTCATTGATTTAATAAGCACAAATAGTCTCAAAGTCCAGAATATCTCTGTTTTCTCCTATTTTATTCGAGAAAGGCGCGAGTTCATTGAAGGTGTTAATGTCAAGCTGCGCTAGCTAGGGGTGGGGGTGGGGAACGAGAAACGTAAAGGGTTTAGCCTGTTCCAGGCGTTCAGATAGTGGAGAGCGGTGCGAAGTAAAAAGGAGCGCGACCTCTCTCCCCAGTCCCCGGCCTCTACTTTTCATCGCTTTCTTTACTTCGCACCGCTCTCCACTATCTGAACGCTTGGAACAGGCTATAAAGGGTTCGAGTTCTCCAAATAAAGTTCACTTTTTTCATTACATCAAACCTTGCTATTCGCTCTCAGATAAGCAGCTTTGATCTCTGGTCAAGAACACCAGACAGCATGGCTGGGCGAGATGAGAAAAGAAAAGAGAGAGACAGAGACACAGAAAGAAAGAAACATGGAGTGCAGAAGACAAACGCGCGCAACTTTAAACAGTTTTGCTTTGTTTTTGTTCGGAGTTTATTCCCGGGTATTTCCAGAGCGTTTTTCTGCACCCTTATCTATGCCAAAAAGCTTTCTTATATTATCCCCGGTATCCTGGTTTCGGAAATCGAAGCGATAGAAGACTTAACAGTGAAACATTTTGAGTCAGACGATGAAGAAATGGATACGCGTGGACGACGTGCGTGGACGGGCTGAACGATACGTGTGTGATCATGCGGGGAAAAAAAGCGTTTTCAAAATGGCGTGTGGACGGCGTCTTTTGAGTAGATTGCACAAATCCAAACAGGGGATATGAGATATTAAATAACTAACATCGTGTTTAAAAATGGCGTTTGTTGTTAAATTTTAAACACTTTCAAAAATTTGCATTGCTAATTTTTGTTGCTTAAACGACAAAGAAAGTCGCAAGTGTGAAGCGCAAATAAACCGCGAAAAGATCGAAGCGTACCGGGAGTTTTTACGAATTACTGCCCATGGGATTCTCGACACCATCGATGAATTCTTGAGAACGGCCGAGAAATCGGAACAGCTGGACAGTATAATAATCACCATGCCGAGATCAGAAGGCAAACTTTATTTACTCGCAAAAGGTGGCCTCCAAAAAAGTAAACAACAAAAACACTTTAGGAAAAATTAAATTGAATGAAAGTGCTTTCAAGGGCATCACACTGTACGTTTTCCCAGTCTTCGCTGTTATGTACGTTAATTTAAGACCAATTTTGGCTATTTTTTTAAAAATAAATACACTTGAAACATGCGGCAATACCTAGCTATATCTTAATCAATTTTCTTATACCTTTTTTGTTGACAAGATCCAGCCGCAATTCATATATTTTTTTCATTAATATGTGCTCCTGACAACCGCAATGCTGCTGCCACAGCGACGTACGAAAACAGAAAAGCACTGGTCAAATCATGGCGGGGGGTAGTCGACCTTTAACTACTGGTAACCTTTTAGTAATTCAGGACATTACTGCTTTCCTAACTTTGCTTGCACGGTACATATTGTGCTTAGGCTCAGTTTCAACTACTTGTAACTAAAATCCAGTGGGTAGTAGACAACAATTGCAATAAAAACTGGCAGTGAACGTTTCTAACACATACACAATCTGAAAATTAAGGTGAGATAGGAACCTGTTTGATCAAATGACACGGCGCGGCGTGGCGACACAAGGTCGCTAGCCAGGGTCCAAAACCAATTCAAACAGGCCAACAGAAAACCATTCACATACCTCCTCCATTTTTCTGGCACAAGTATGGAAATCGCCACACATTTCCGAGACCAACAGCAAACCCAATCGTTGCGAGAATATACTCCATTTTATTTCCCCAGCCTTTCCTTATCTCTTCAACTTCAACTTTCTGGGGTGCCGCGCTATCGCTCTCTTCCACATCTTGAACTGAAACATCTGCGGAGCGTTCCTCGTTCTCTGGAGAAGTGACCGTGACAGTAATCTGCCCATTCTTCTCGGTTTTCTCCGACATTTTACCAGCACTCCTGCCTACGATCGGTGCAAGCTGCTAGTTAATCTCTCCTACTTTTGCCACAAAAACGTCAACAGATTAGTACAATAACTATTTTACAGCTATCATGTTTCGTAGTTAATCATTGAACCACGCAGGAAAGACACACACACAAACTGCTGAAATAGGATTTAATTCAGCATAAAAATTCTATGAAGGAAAAAAGTTAATTCATTTTCGTCGGTATTTTGGATAACATTAGCCAGTTTTCCTGCTATTTTCTAGGGATCGTTGGGTGCAGCATGAAAAAATAATCACTCGATAAATTACTCGAAAGAGGAGAAAAAAAAAACGAATCGTCTGAGGAGACATAAAAGATGGAATTTGGAGAGATATCATGGGTGAATACTGGTGTCAAGTCCAGTTCGGTTCACATTCCGATCACACAGTTAGACTGCGAGCAGTTTATAATTTATCCTCTTCTAGGCTCCGAGAAAGTCGGGCCCGCTGAATTGAAAAAGCGCGAACCGATAAATAAAACGGGAGGAAACTGGGGAGAGGAGGGGCTGCTTTATCCTTTTTCCAACCTTTTTCCTTATCCCGCTCCGTCAACTTTTCGCGTGCCTTTTACTTTCGGGATTTCCCCACTATCTGAGAGCCTGGAACAGATACAAACCCGGGGTTGGGGAGAGGTGCTTAATTTGGTTTGGGAACGATCTTTTTTTCCCAAGCCTACTGACAACTTTGATCGATTTTCCTACTTTGTTCGATGCAAATATAGGTACATTAGCTCCATTAAGAACGTTTTTATATTGTTTCTGAGTTCACCCATCCCACCCCCGTCTCAAAATTCAGTTGGATGGCCTTCATATTTTACGGCAAATGGGTACCAGCACGCTTGGGTGTTCCGGTGGTTCCGGTGGAAGTTGGGAAAATTTGATTGAACCTTTTCTTCCTTTTCAGAAGCTTGGGTTCGCAATGTCGGGGAACCGCTCGTTAAGGATAAAGCTGGGCAATGAAACAGGTGTTTCTAATTGAAAATCTGCCTTTAGCTACGTTTTGATCCCGGCAGTCGATGCAGGCTACTAACCTGCGGGCAGCCCCCGGGGGCGTACGCAGGCTAGCTCCACGCCGGCTCATGTCACTGTCGTCGCTGATCTATAAACTAGTGAGTTGGTGTCTGCGGCAAGTGTTTATGTGACATGCGACCTGCCATTTTTTATAGCCTGGTCATGTTAGCTCAGTTTTCGGAGCTAAACAATTACCAAATTGCCCAGCGTTTGCTTACACCCACTGGCATTACTCATCCTAGTACTGTGTTATACCGTGTTGTACCCCTGGGCCTCGGGTTAGGCTCTGAACTGAAGGTTAAATTTCTTAACCAAGGGTTTGCTATTAAACTTGACGTCCAAATTACGTTGTTTGAAGCGCGGTTAGAGGACCGATTAGGTAAGTTAGGGTTACCACCGCGACTAACTCGTGGTTAGTATCCCATAATACTTTGAGTTTGTTTACGTCCTAAAACGGCGACGGCGGAGGAAAAATATGCAAGACCAGAAACTCGTTCCAAGGTTCTCTCTCCTACCCTTTCTCGCTCCGTAGGAACCCTGGGAAGAAGGTTGGCCCGGAAAACATAATTAAAAAATTTAGCCCGAGGATAGGATTTTAAACCCCGCTTTCGAATTATCGGGCCCTGAAGAAACTATTTGTTATTGTTAAGGACACCCACAAAAAAAAAAATGAGGGTAAATTCACACGTAGAACGAAAATAGCACTAAAACGCAATATGCGTGATAGTGTTTGGCTCATCTTGCTTACTCAGAGGTTGCCTGCGTGCAGACGTCTCCTATTTCCTTTGTTGCACGCGTGCAACAAAGGAAATAGGAGACGTCTGCAAGAAGGCAAATTCAGAGGCTGCGTACGACGCGAAATTTGACCACAATTTATTCACTTCACATCTTTGTATTTTTAAAACCTCCAAATCTAGTGTTTTCCAATTTCCAAAAATTTTAAACATCCCGCCCCTAATTTTTATACATTAAAAACATTCGAAAAATCATCAAAAAATTCTCAAACAATTATTGAATCAAGGACTCCAAATTACATGTAATGGAGTAATTTTTTATTGAACGAAATCTTGGCCAAATATTTAAGAAAAAGGGCGGAAATAAACGATAAACAATGCTTTTAACCAGACTGGCTGCTCAGAGAGAAGCAGTAACTTGAGTCGGATCACACTTCCTAATCAATTGATTAAAGGTTCGTTTTGATGTGGGTGGAATAATCAAGTTACAGTTTACTTACTTCTAAGCTTTATAGACGTCCGTCGCCACAGCGTAAAAATGATGACCAAATGAGATATAAATTGTACTCTAAACACGTAAAAACCAACACGAACTTTATTGATTCAGGTTTACTATTGGAACTGAAGTTCCTTATTTTTAATCTCAATGGCAACTCAGTTTAACACTTGGATGCAGGCTTCCCTGACACCGCGGTTTGCTTGGTACTAAAACTGAGGCCACTCTTACATGTAAATAATATTGAAATGAAATGAAGTTTTCCGACAAAAACTTCAACGGACAAAAAAATCGTGAGCAATAGTTGGGAGACAAAACGGCCATCTTGTTAAACTTAAGAGAAAGTTCGCCGGAGGAGATGGGGTGGTGAAGGAAAACTCTTAACAACAAAAGCAGTTTAGTTTAATTCTGTTGTGAAATACCGCAAAGAATGATTACACAGGTGTAATCTTCATATAGTCATAAGTTGCCATGGAAACATGGAAATCATGTCTCGAGTTAAAAAAAATATATATCATGTTGGTTGGTTTGAAAGTTTTTTTTTTCCTGACAGCAGAGAGAAAATTCGACATCTACCAGTATCGAGACAACAGCCAAGACTATCCAAACTCCACATGGTAGCTGAAAAATGCCTCTTTTATCGTGGGAAGCTAAAGGCTCTTAGAACTCATGTTAACATAAGACGTGTTGAGCTTGAAAATCCTGGATATAAAAACTCAAAATACAGGGTTTAAAAATAGACAAGTAGGAGATCCAGGTTTAGAAACCCGTGTCATGTCACTTCATGCTTTCTCAACTCTTGCATGCGATCCACACTCGTAGTTAATACAATTAATATGCGTGTATGCGGGAAAGGAAATAGTGCTCACTGATAAACACTTTTGACAAGTCTAATCAATAAACCCTGTTTCTAAATGGAAGTAAAGATATCAATCTTTTATGTTTGTATTAATTACTGTACTGTCTTCATTTCAGAGTGAAAAACAACTTTTTAAATTGCTGTTGGCTCGTTGTTGCCTGGATTAATAATTGTTCTAATTTTTGTCCATGCTAGAGAGGCGGGTAAGCATTACAAAAATTAACGTAATAGAAAAAACATTCAGTTGCCTTTTATGAACAGGGGGTCTATTTCTTAATCGAGACCCAAACATTGCGTCTCCATTTTTGAAAAACAGTCCAAGCGACTCTACAATAATGACGCTCTTTCGGCTCCACATGTCAGTGGTCATAAATTATGATCACGTGTTCCTGCTTCCAGAAGCCTCTGTCGCGTGTATTCCCAAACAATAAGAGCTCCACTCACGTGCACGTTTAAAGACCTAATGATCCCAACCTGCGGGATCTCCACACACACGTCCAACATCTGAATGAGGTCAACCGGTATTCCCTCTTTCTCGTTACCAAGTAATAGCAGCGTCTTACGCGGAAACTGGTACCGAGTCAAGCTCTCACTGTTGGCTGTTTGTTCGACGCCGATCAGTGTGTAACCCTCATGACGCATGCTCTCTAGATAGGACTTAAGACTTGATATGCGCACTTCTTGAAGATTCATCCATTTAGCAGCACTCACACTCAGCGATTTAAACTGAATGTCTTCAGTCACGTGTGAGTTACTCAGCACCAGTGTCTGCACGCCAAAAATCTCGCAGGTGCGACACAAACCACCGAGATTGGGAGCCTTGTCGATCAGTGATGCGACTACAATCAGGTTTCCAGCGGAATTCTTGTGCATATTTACCATGCGCTGTTGTTGCATTTCAGACATCATTTCTTCATCAGGTGGGATCACTTTCCATGGTCTGATCTTCTTCTGTACATCACCACTCTGAAGTCTACACATGACGTCATTGCCTTGAAGCTCATTCTTCTCGTAAATTGCTTTTCCAGTTAATCTTCGCATTATTTGTTCTCCGATGCCTTCTTCGTAGTTATATCGTGGAGCATCCAGTAACTTTGACAGACGTGTATCATCTGGGTTAATAAGTTTCAATCTATGAAAACCATCCCCACGTGACTTCCAAACTCGCATGCCTAGTGTTCCATTCATGAAACCGTTGGGAGAAATCCACTCTTCATCAGTTACCTCCGCTAGGCGAGGAAGAATCTCGTACAGCGTCTGCACAGAAAAGTCAAGGTAAGGGTGCAAGTCAAGGAAGAAGAAATCTCCCAACACACGAACCTTTTGACGAAGGCCTTCGTTGCTTGATTCTAGGAAATTCACACAGGACTCGATGACCGCGTAATCAGACATGACCTCGCGTAAGTTCTGCCGCTGGCAGGTGAGCCACATTTTCTGTAACGCGACCTGCGCGTAAGCCTGAACCTGAAAGAGAGAAAGGGTTAAGATTCTGTTAGACCAAAACACAGCAAAATCGAAACGAATTAGGGTGTTAAAGACTTAGCCTGTTCACAGACCCTCTATTTTCTCTTCAAAGTCCGTCGAGCGCGCGTGATAAAATATAAACCGCAGGGGATTTATTGCCTACTAGCGTAAGGAGGTAGGGGTGGAGGAAGAAGAAAATAAATTTTCTTTCTCGCGCTCCAAGCTCGTTTCGCTCGCGAGCTCGCCGGTGTTCTCGAAAAGAACGAAAAGAAAAATAAAACAACGTCTGTGTACAGGCTAAAAAAAACTCAGCTAACAGACTTGTACTTGCTCTAGCTTCGAACTAAGTCGCGTATCGGTTGGAAATGAACTGGCAAAGAAATTTCTGCAAGTTTGTTTCAGTAAAACCACGAGGACATGAACAGGCGCCTTTAGAAGACACAGCAATGATTTTTTTTTGCAAAATTTTGTACATTTTTGTCTTGATGCAATCGCACCGAGTAGTCAAGTAGGCACGTCCAAAAAAACGAAGAGCCGAGAGACTGGCAAAACATATTCGCTATAACGAGGTCTCGTTACATCGAAGTTATATTTCATATATCTTACTATTATTCGGCATAGGCACAAAGTAAGGTATCTGACAGCCCCGTACACAGTGGTCCCGTGAATTGAGTCCATCGTTAGATCCCAAGAAACACAAGAAAACACTAAAAATCATTGCGTTACCGTATCCACCTACCACGACATTGGAGGCTAGTACCCAGGGAAGAATGGTGGGAAAAGCCCGTCGGAAGTACGCGGTTTGGGAGGAGGAATCTGAGAACGAGAATTCGCCAACAACAGCAGCAACAACAAGGAGTGGGAAGACACTGCCACTTCGTCTGTCCACGTAATACTTGAGTTGTTCCCATAGAAACGGCAGCAGATTTGGAAACCTAGTAAAATAAATGGAAATACACAATATAATTCTCACTTTAGATGAGTTCTATTTTTTCTTTCCTAAAAAATATATACGGTACATCTCCTGGGGCTAACCAAAATATGACATTTTTGGCAACCGTTCAAAAAACACTGACTTCCTTTGTTTTTGTCCATACTTGCATCACACAATTTCCCTTATAATTGATTCAAGCTTTTCTCCACTTGAATTTGAGGGTTTTGCACAGAGATTATTGTGAAATGAACATTAATTTTTCAGTCTTGAAGAGGTATTGGGGGATACTTTTTCTAACTACAAAAATATTGCAACCTAGTGAACAAATTTATCAAAAATCAAAGAGCTGCACACATAATACGGGCGTCGAACCCGAAAAAGTGGCAACGATCAAACTGTGACACTGCAAATGTCGGTGAAAGAGTGCCAGAGAAAAGTTTCGTTACATCAACTGATTTGTTGATTTAAATTCACCACTACAATAGCTGTCGAAACGTCAGCTTCTGAATCATTCTACGATGGTCATTTGACTTTACCAACACAGTTAGTTAATAAAACAAAACTTGTTGTTTTCCAACAATAATAGTAAAGTAACCCCTGTCATCTCAGTGTCTTTACCTGCCCAGTATAAGCACCAACCCCCATTGAACGAAGTTTCGTACAGACACTTGGTTATCGCCAAGAATGGCACCAAACATTCCTTCTAAAACCTGACGAAAAAACGATTCTGTTGCATCTCCTTCTTCAAGTAAAAGGGACAGGCTAACAAGCACTGCCTGCCACACCCGGTGCTTCCTTCTATGGGCGTAGGAATTAATAGATGATCGTGGTTTATCTTCCAGTAGATCACTATTTTTGGCAATTAATGCATGGATGACGCGCTGTAGAAGCTTGGAATCGCGCGGATCTTTTGGACTTAACATCATAAGTGTATTGATCGCGTTCACTCGCACACGCGTGTCATCACGCAATTCGTTCACAGTTACAGGGCATATCTCGTATTGTTCACTCAGACGGTGCACGTACTCCAGTACGAAGTTAGTGACACGAATGGTCTTCTTTTCACTGGGACCAAAAATGCTGGCTTCGATGATAAAGTCAAGGTGAACCTCCAAGCTCTGTTTACGATCTCCCTCACTAAATTGAGAAGCTGAAATTGTGTGGTTGTAATCACAGTGTGAACTTGTCCAAAACTTACAGCACGGCTCGATCACATGATTCACGATCCCTGGACGGTCTTGTCCCATAGCCAACAGCTCGGCCCAGTACTTGCGCACGATTGCAGTGATGGGGTGGTCTTCCGGTAGAGTCAAAAGGCAGGGGCTGAAAAGCACTTGAGTGGTCTCTCTCAACGTTCCCCAAAACCAGATGTGATCTCCCTTTTGTCGATTCTGAAATGTCCACCAAACGGACTCCAAGGCCCGCGAACACAATGACGCATCTTTCAGCAGCATGCGAGGAGTTAGTAAGCGGACGCATTTTATGATGGGTAAAATCGCTTGACCCGAGCCGAGAGATAAGGCTTTAAGGGTGGTTTCAGGCAGATCCACTAGGAAATTCTCCAACTTCTTCTTCATTTCTTGGTCTTTGTCTTCGGTGTAGCGCTGAGATTCTTCAATCAGGAATCCCACGCACAGCCACTGAGCTTCCAAAACGTCAGACACCAGTCTTCCCCAGCCTTTCTTAATAAGCGGACTAGCTTCTGTTGATGTATGATCACCTTCTTCACCTGGGTACAGGAACTTAGGTTTTGGAAACTCAGAACTTAGGTCGAGTTCAGCTATCGTTTGTAACAAAGTGTACATCAAATAGCTTGAAGAGGGGAGTTGCTCGGTCTTCAAAACGTTACAGCAAAAGGCAAGGCACTTCATCGACAAAGCAAACGAACGCCAGTCACTTAATGTAAGATGCTGTCTGCCTGACTGTTTATCCAAAACCATTTTTCTGCTTTTTTGAATGAGGTTGTCAATAAAGTGATAATAACATTCCACTTCCTGGTCTTCAATGTTCGCGGTCATAAAAATGTACAACTCATTTGTAAGGTCAAGAAATGCAAAGCTGAAATCTGCGTGAGATACATTCATGGCAGCCGCGGTTAGTTTCCTTAGTAAGAGCTCTAACATGTCGGGCCCACTCGACCTAAGCAGTTCAAACATTAAATAGGCGGAGTTATCGACCTTCAGTTTTGAATTACCAGCGCTCGCTGTGTTTTGACTAGAGTTGCGACTGCAGGCTGGTGCAGTACTGTTTAAGTGGTGTAAAATGCCCGATAGAAGGATAGCCGCCCGTTCTGTTTTGCGGTCTGGGGCATAAACATGGCTACTTGCATGATGAATGACTGTAACGATTTGCTGAAGAATTTCCTGCACTGGCTGTTTAGTTGTTAAATTCTTTGAAAACTTGAGATGAGCGTCACACGAGATAACCAATAATCTTATCACAGACTGTGCCTCGGAATCACTGGCTGGAATCACTGGTGTTTGGTCATTAAGAAATGCTTCTATTCTACTCTTTAGGTGGTTAAACGGGTTGGAAGTACTCGTCAGTTCAGTCAGTCCTGATTCACCAGGGGTTTCGTGACACACAGAGCCGCGAATCGTCTCAACAAAATTGACCGTTGCTTCCCACAAATCGTTTCCCCGGCACAAGCAATCGATAGTAGAAAAAAGAGAGAGGAAATCACCAAGGACAGTCCAGCTCACACGTCTTGGATTCGTCAGATTTATAACTGCCTTCAAGAGAAAACTTTGAATAGCTACAGTCATATGTGGGTTGAAAGTTCTAAACAAGGGAAAGATGCCACGAATGATTGACACCGCTTCGGAATCCCAAGCCGGACAAGAAGGCAAACTTGCCAACATCTGCGACATAAATACCAGAGGAACTTGGGTAAATTCTTGCCTGACAATTGCAGATAGAAGTCCAGCACAAAACGCTGGCCTGTTATTGACCTGGAGGCGTTCAGCAAAGCTTGTGAAAAACGTGACAACGGCCATCCCGACGGCAGGTGCATCTCCCTTCATGTCATCATCTGACCTGGCATAAATATTATACTCACTCAGCATTCTCATAAGGGGACCATAGAGGAACCACCAATAGCAAGGGCTCAGAAGTGGAGAGCAATTAAGATCCATACTCAGAAGGTCCAGGATGGCCCATCTGCAGATAAACTTGTTATCATGTTGGGCTGCTCTGTAGTACAGTGTAAGGAGCCAAGAAATATCCAGCATTATTTCACCTGCAAGGTAAAACGGCAGGAAAAACTATAATTAAAATAGCTGAAAAGTTAATAATTGCGGTTCTTGCTATAAAGAACTTCAAAAACTGATACAGATTCAGTAGGCATATTTTCCAATTGAATACATGGATTTAATCACGGGGAGAACCCTTATATTAACCCGTAAAATTCATCTTACTGAAAAGTCAGGGGATTGATTTGAAAAGGAATGCTGATTAGGATGAATACTTTATACAAAGAATACTAATGAACATGAGAGTTTGCATAAAAGGTAATCCTTTTTTGCAAATCAATGAAAAGGTACAAAATTCAAGAAACTGTGATTTGGCACTAGGCTTAGGCACTGCCAAGCCAACCATTAAAAGATTACGATAGCGATCTTTGAGAGGCCTGTAGGATTACATGCAATAATTAAAAGAAAACATAATAAAAATTTAACATGTTTGAGCTTATCCTTTGCATCTTACCATTAATGATATTCTTGGTGGCATCCACTATACATGATATTCGTGGCAAAACTGGTTTAATAATGTGTGCCTGAAATTCGAAAGTTGTGTTTACCTCTGTAACATAAGCTCAATCATCTACAGTCTAGTAAATTAAAATATAAACAAAGTAATATTATATTATGTACAAGTCTTTATTGTCCCATGTAAGGGAATCCAGGAAATTTTTGCTTGTGGAATCTTGAATCCTGGAAATTTGAGTTGTGGGATCCGGAATCCCACTGTGTCCAATGATTGGAATCCAGAATCTAAGTTTCACTGACAAAGAATCCTGAATCCTTGACATGAGTGGAATCCAGAATCCAAGCTGGACTGTCTTGGATTCCTTACATGGGGCCAACTTTATCTTTTATATTCAAACTAAACTTGCTAACTGGGAAGACTAAATCAAAAGAAAGTACATGTAATGTGTCAATGATTTATATTTGGGAGGTGGGGGGTTGGGGTGCTAGAAACGGAATGCTTATTTGAGATAATCATAGCTATACTAGAATTCTCTTATCTGATTAGCTATTAGCTCTCCCGATGTCAGAATTAATACACCAATGGCAGTATGTCTCATGCCTAAATAATTAAACAATATCAACCATCACATGTGTGCTTTTGTAGTTTTTTTGTTGTTTTTTTTTTTCACTGCTACCAAACAATTCTCAGAATCTTTTATGTTTTAATTTTAATTTGGTCTGCAGTCATATTTGTGATTAAAACAAAATTATTGCATTACCGTAAATTTGCGAATGAATCTCTACCTGCTTTTCATCCAGAGTCTCCATAATTAGGACAAAATCCTGCCATAAACTCCTCAGAGAATCCTTATTCGTAGATGCCCAGTAAAAGATGCGATTTCCTTTCTTGCTTACTACTGATAAATCACCCAACTGCTTGTCCAAAACATCTAAAGACCTTTTTAAAAGATACATGGACCTTTTTCTTGAAAGAGGTTCATTCAACACGATACCATTCTGAATCATTTCCCAAAACTCAGGTTTATCAAAAAGGTTGTAGCTGTTGCCTGGGCTACAAAAGAAGTCTGCAAGACCACAGAGAATAGCAAATGTTTTGGTCGTTGACTCAGTTTCTTCATTTTGGAATACCAGTTTCACTACATGCCATACTGCCTAAAAAATGAGTGAAAACAACATATTATATAGCCTATTTCAACACGAACTTACTAACTGAATAATAGAGTATGGTCTGGATGAATTTTTTTTTGAAAGGTGTCAGTAACTGACATATTTTATGAGTTTAAGCACAAGAATGGAAACTGAAAAACAAATGAATAAATAAAAAACTATAGGTGAAAAATAAAGAATGAAGATAAGACGATAAGAAGGAGACATTTTAAAAAAACTAATGAAGAAGTGCTGATTTGAGTGTCAGCTGTCGAAATATAAGGATTAACATTCATGGCTCGGTGGGAGAATTTGAAATTTTGTAAAAATTTTTGCGGCGGCAAGCATGGGGACAGCTTGGGATTTACCACTTTTCCAATTCCCAAGCCCATAAATATTGGGAATATAGAATTGTAAAGAGGGGAGGAGTATGTGATATCATGCTGCCAAATGTTTAACAAATAGAGGCCTGGAGTTGTCTCTCTTGAGGAATGTGAAAGAGTTTTAGCACTTGAGGTCAAAATATAGTTGTACTTGAGCTATTGTTATTTCAATTGCTATTGCTTTATTTTGCTTTTATTTTGAAGTCATCCTTATCACTCTTTGGGAAATCTTGTTATTTCTCATGACATACGGCAAAAACTTAAGCAAAAATCCTGCCCAGCATAGTAAATTACGTAGCACCCTAAATGCTTTATTACTTTGATCTGTATATTACAGGTAAGAAAACTGTTCCCATTCCTGTATAATTATGCTGAAAAAGAATTATGATATCACAGACAAATTAACAGCTAGAGAAATGGAAAAAGTTGGCATTGAAACTATTAATAAACAGCGTGAGGTGGATTATTTCAGGTTATATTAAGTACTCTACAGATCTCGGATTTTTGCCCATTCCTCTTGTGCAGTTCTCCATGCTCAACTTTTTTTAGACTGTTCACAGTCCTCTATTTTTCTAGAGGATAATCGAGATCGAGTGCTTTCCGTTACGCGCTGCCATCTTGCATGAGTGTCAAAACTACTTAGGAGGTGGGGGCGGTTTGGAAGGAAGCGAGAAAAATAAAGGGACTGTAATAACATCACTACAGTTCGTGTTCAGGAGGCGTGACAGGAATTTCATGCCTTTTACAATTCATTAATTAAGAAACTCTGCTGGTGATGAAAAACATGCCAGACATGTTTAGTATCGATAACACTTATTTACAAATATCTCCTTTCAAAACAGTGATTTTATACAGTTTCTGGGCCATAACTCCAAAAAAAAAATTGGCAAACATTCAAAGGTGAAACATTTTCCTAATTGAAGTGCTAAGCATGCTTGCTTCACCACAGATTAAAACAGTTAAACCTCCCTATAAAAAGCTAAGCATTTCTGAAAGGTCATCTTTTTTGCATCAACGTTACCACATTCTCCTGGTCCGGCTGCTTCAAAGGCAAGTTGGATTACATGATTCATCCAAAAAATACCAAAAATCCTTCGTGTGTTTGCGCAAGATGTGCCTTATGGTATTATTATGAAAGTGTACGTTTTATAGAAACAATGACTTGTCAATGACTTGTCAGTGTCGGCAATTTAAACTAAACCCGATGTCAACGCAAATTAACATCTGTTGTCTAATTACCGATCAAATGCCTGCATTGCTGGTACAACACACTCTGTGAATGCGAGCTGCAATGATATTATTACAGTCCCTCTATTTTTCTCACCCCCCTCCCCCTAGAGCTATAATCCCTGACGCCTGCCCCCTTGGTACATAAGACGTGCTACATCCTCGACGATCTCACGAAAAAATAGGGGACTGTGAACAGTCTAAACTTTTTTCGAAGTCACCTTTTGGTGACCTAAAACTGTAAAATGGTCACCAGACAAAAAATTAATATCGGTTGCCAGAAAAAAGAGACACTTTGTGCAATACTACACAAATGTTTGAAAGAATCAAAATGGCTGCCCAACCATCGCAGTAGAATTTAAAGGTGCACACAACATCTGATGACTTAATACCCAGAGAAACAGGGTGAAACTAGGCAAATTATCAAGAAAACAGAGCATAATGATATTTCATACAAAATCTCACTTTAACTTAAAAGGACCATAAACACTAACTACTATAAAAAAAGCTTCTCGCAAAATCTCGGAATAGCTTGGCACGTGATCACTGAACACAGGTCACCAAATTGACGACTTTACCGCAATTTTATTCGCCAAAATTTTTTTCTACTCACCATGGCAACCAAAACAGTCACAGCTTGGAGCACTGTCACAGATTTACAGTTAAATTCATTCCACAGGTGTTTACTAACAGTTGTGTGCAAAATATTCTGCCAACGAAGCAGGCTACAATTATAATATTATTATAACAATGTTCCCTCAATCAAATTAATCCCAGTTATATGACCTGGATGTTAGGGAGATTTTATGTTGAGAAGCTCACACTTGACTTTGGGGAAATTCTCAACTGCGCTCCAACCATCTACTTGGGCCAAACTTTGAACTTTGGAGAGAGAGAAAGGGAGGGAGCTAGTTAAACCACATTTACTTATTTAACAAATTACATTACCTTACCTCACACCTTTCGGTTCTTTTGAATTTCAGGAAATGCGGCAACACAGCACCAGTCAGCTTGGCACATAACTTCTCAGTAGTGCAGGGTAACAGATTTAACAGTTCCTTGAAGAGTTCATCTCCAAATTCTCCAGAGTTTAGCCCAGTATCTTCACCAGACTCAAAGGCCTCTGCCTTGACAAGATTTCCAATGAGGTCCAATGTCACCGAAACATCATGAGAATTTTCGTCAGTGGCACTTTTCTCTGAAACATACCGCCTGAGAATCTCTAAGGATTTCTCATGAACTTCTGACAGTATTTTTGTCGGATAAACTGAGCAACATAACGCTACAATATCATAACAAAGATGTAGCTTTTTTCTTTGGCTTCCGTCCGCACGACTGTACACGATCGGCCAACAGACCTCTCGCAAAACCTTAGTAACCAAATCCTCGCTGAGGTGTTGTGATTTTTCAAGCGTCTGTAAAACCAGCTGTAGAGATTCTAAGTAATTCGTGTCAGGAACTTGATCTTGTTGTTCCACAAAACGCTTTAGGACGACTGAAAACTGGTAAAGCTCAGAATTATCGCAAACGAATTGAAGAAGTCTATCCATACTTGTTCAATACACGAGGTGTTGAGCTAATAAAAGGCAGGCGTTCATCCGCCGATAAAAGTTGAAGACTGGGTCGACCGTGTCTTGTCCTTCGTTACCCACAGCGGGTCAGGCGGACAAGTGTGGTTTCTCCTTCCCCTTATTTTCAGGAATTTGGTCAGTAGATGAGTAAGACATGGCTTTAATTTCAAAGCATTATTCGTTCCACCCTTTATGATAGACTCTTTTACAAGCGCGAATTTCGCCAACAGGGAGATGTCAAAATGATTGACCTGGTCCACCTACCCTCTGGGGGCTGGTTGTTCAAACAGACAGCGTAATCCGCCGGATAAATCATTATTGTCCAGTGGAAAAGTGTAAACTTCTGCAAACTAGTTGCGTTGCCCAATGGACTGTGATTTATCCACTAACCTGTGATCAGGCCTTTATCCACTCGTTGGCGTTATCCACCTTTCTAGTAGAACAAGTAAGCCAAAATACCCCATCTCTAGCCCTCCCCTGCCGTGGAGCTGGTCCAATGGATCGCGGATTTGTTGTTTACTCAGTGTTTATTGGTTGATTATTATCACGTGAACAAGCTGTGAAACAACACAAAAAGAGCGCGAAGAAAATTGCGCGAACATAAAGCGCCAAGACTATTACTTATCAAGGCTTTGAAGTGCAGAATTCTTTATTGTTTTCTTATATAGCCACCGAAATGGGTCATTTCTTATCCACTGCCTTAACTGCATTGGGTTATTCTCACCCTGATTGCCAAGAGAAAATATTATACTTCAAAAAGCTAAGTGATCAAGCTACAACTCCGAGCAGAGGCACTGATTTGGCCGCTGGCTACGATTTGTACAGCGCGGAAGAAAAAACTATTCCCAAAGAGGGGAAGGCTTTAGTAAAGACAGATATCGCGATTGCATTGCCTCAAGGATGCTATGGACGAGTTGCCCCGAGGTAGGTGAACAAATTTAGCGTTTTTTAGAAGAAATATTGCAGTTCAAAGAGCCCGCGTTCTTCTGTGAGCACATGTTGCGTGTTGAAGCAAGATCAAGCGGTTGTACATGTTTTTGTACACTTTTCTACGTGTTCCACAAATCTGAGATCCATACTTTTGAGAACTGAACCAAATTTGCTGTTGAAACGCTGAGTGCCTTAAAACTTTTAATCGGACATTAGAGTTTTGTTCCCTGTTGGCGGGAATATCCACACATACATGTTAATGAGTTTTTAACATAGCTTCTATCTTATGAAGCTACTTTTATGACTCAAACTATTTAATTAAGCTTAATTTGTTTTAGGTTTTGTAACAGAATTATTCTGCACTGTAAACATGAACTTTGATCAATGGGTATTTCAGCAAATAATGTCTGGAAAATTTCAAAGGATACAATTTAAATTCAAAGTTATTGAGAAATTGTTGTATTTTTAGATCCAGCCTCTCCTGGAAGCACCACATTGATGTAGGTGCAGGCGTGGTAGACCGTGATTATCGTGGAAATGTTGGGGTAGTACTTTTTAACCTGTCCAAAACTGATTATACAGTCCACCAAGGAGATCGCATTGCTCAACTTATCGTTGAAAGAATAAGCACCCCTCCTCTTGTAGAAGTTGAGGTAAGGTTCATGAGCTTGGGGTACATACTTGTTGCAGTGCGGTAGACATACAAATAATTTTCCTCCAGGAACTTAGGAGCTGTAGCTTATTAAAACCCTCAAGTGAAATTAAAAGGTCCCAAAATAAAGTAATGATAAAAAAAAAACAAGTATTAAAATAATACGTATTAAAACATGAATCAGGAACAAAATCACTTCTGTGCAATCAAGAAAACGGTTGCCTGGTTGTCTCTGATCGGCTCAACTATCGATTTTGTTTCAAGGATGCATTGCTCAGTGTTACGCAAGAAGGGCTATGTTTTTTTGCATGAATTAAATAGCATGTTGATTACCAACTCTGACAAAAACAAGATATACAAAAGTTTTCACACAAAGAGACTTGTCGTGTGCAACACAAGCGTTCTTTCTCCCAACTTCACGTATCATTACCTACCAAGTGGTTTGCAAGCTAAGATCACTAGATAATCCTTTGTATTGATCCATTTTGCCAGAGGGAAAAAAAACATTGTTTGAAGCTATTGGTACTTTTGTCATTTTCTGGTTGCTAACTAGAAAGAGGGCTGTGCTCTGGCTCCTAACTTTTGCTCTTGGGCGACTAGGAAATTGGGGTGGGTGATAGAGTTCAATTTTAGGGCTTAAACCAGAGCGAGTGGGTATTTTCTCTGCAGAACTTTTTTGCTCTGTTTGTTGTTGCACCGTCCAGAGGAGCCACAATCATGGCAAAACAGCTGTTGACGGCTACAACCCTGCTCTGTTTTGGGTTCTATCATTGTTGTGTTGATGTGTTGCAAAGTTAATTTTCATGTGGTATGATCAGCATTGCAGAATTGAATGTGAAATCTTCGTTTTTTCAAGTTGTATGCTGGGCACACTAGATTTTACAGTTTCAGAGCCTTGGGTTCCCCTCAATTTCCTTAGAGCACAGCCTTGTAGAAGAGAAAAAGAAAAACTATCCTAAACTTTTTTTTTACTCTAAAATTAACCGAGCTTGTTTTTGTTTTCAGTTTGCACTGCTTTCTTGGATTTGGACATGATGAACAGAAGGAATAACTTTTAAACAGAAAATGAAGTTTAAACCTTTAAAGAAAAGAATTTAAACTTTAATGCTGCTTTTAATAGTCCAGATCTAGCCTGTTGTGAAACAAAGGTAAATTATAAAAGTAGATTTGAATTTACTTGATTATCATGTAAATCAATAAATGAATAAATTTCGAAAAAATTAAAAGTGGAATAAATGATATAAAAATTTTTTCACAAGAAATTGTGTGTAGGGATTAAACTAAGTTCAAATTAAATCTGGCATGATAGGGCAAGACTAAAGAAAACTTCTGTACATTAATCAGTGATCAATTAATACAGAACTTTACTGTAAAGTATTAGCAAAGCAATTTAAGGAAGATTTGTGCATTTCCATTGAATTATTAGTTTTATTTTCCCTTAAACTGGGGCCCAATTTTTTAGGTTTGGGCTTTAAATAGGGTGTCAGTTTTCATTATTTTGTCTCATCTTTAACCCATTTGTCCCCGAGCCACCCATAACCACCCATTCGGATCCACACTTCCCTTCTACCACTCTTGACGTCACCAGTTTTAATGGTCAAGGTCAATTTAGTCTGCCAACTTGTGCAAAGTGAAGAAATCTTTCAAACCATACCAGAATGTGCTCAATTCAGTCAAGGACACCAGAGGAAAATGCAAAAAAACCATATAATAATGACCTGAAAATTTCCATGAAAATCTTGTTCCACTACACGCCTACCTTCCCTTTCATCCAATTCTAAGATCCTAAAAGCTTTCCTAAAAACTTTTCCCACCAAAATGAAGCCTACTAAATGCATAGCAAAAGAAAAAAAAATGAGGCAAGAAAAGCAAAGAAAGAGAGGAGGAGAGAAAGTGAAAAGTAATAGTCAAGACCAGTGTTCTCCCAAGGTACCTAAGGCTAGGCAGGCCGCCTAGGTTAGTACACTAGAAAATTGTTGCCACCTGGCTTAAAAGCCAAAGATTTATCATCATCAACAACAACAACAACATCTTTGAATAAAAAGTAATAACAAGAAGATACTTGGACAAAATAAATCGCAAATTTATAACCCCCCACCCAATTCAGGGATGGGAAAGTGGCACATTTTGGCTTTTGTGCGGCTTCATCCTTGATTTAGGGGGGAAAGGGGTTTGCTGTTGCAGTGGTTCTGTCCAAGATTGTAGGTACTTTAGAGACAAAAATGCTATGGGGTGTTCAAGAAAATCAATCCTTTTTGTACACTGTGTTAAGTACCTATCAAATTTATGTATACTGGAAGTGACTTGTTAAAGGCATAAATAAATAGGTGGAGGGGATGACTGGGAGGGGAGCAATGAGTCCATTATCAGGACTAATTTGTGAAATTTCTAATTCAGTTGGTCAGGGAAATTTTGCATTTGTCAGGAAGGAAAAAGTGAGGGTATTTCAAAAACCTCTGGCTTTGGCAACCATGATTTCATTTGGCTGACATGCCATTATTTCCTCTTTTCAGGAGTTGGATAGTACAGCTCGAGGAACTGCAGGCTATGGATCCACGGGAAAATAGAAACGGGCCTTACTTTAACTGACTGAAAGTTTTCTGTACAGATTAGCATGCCAAGTGCCATCTTTGAATTGCATTTAAAAATAAAATTTATTATTACTTTACAGTAGATATCTTAAGCCAGTTGTTTAAAAGCTGGAAATATTGTAAATGTTTTTGAAACAGTTAAAATCATTTTCCTGTTATAGTTCCTTACTTATATGAGGACAAACAAGATTAATTTCTACTGTAGCAATTGTGATGGTGAGGCTCATTAAGAACTTAATAATTACCCTCAATTCAACAGTCTGACTTGATAAAATTTCCGTTTGAACAGAGAACAAAAAAGACAGCTTCTTTTTACACCTTAACTAAAACTTTTGGCTCAAGTTATTAAGATATTGCTGTCAACTAGACACGTCAGTAATTGGTATACAATGTATACTGATCTTTTTCATTGTTGCTTCTAACTCCCTTTCAAACAACTGCTCTATTTCAACATCAAGTTTTGTTCCTAAACTTACTGCTGTTGCTCGTGTTTTACTAAAAGAAGAAAGGAGTAAAACTAGATATAAGAGACTGTTGTATTTATTGTACATGAGAAAAATCTTCAACAACTTTGCTTGTATGGACTTTGTTGTTTGTATTAAGCTATATGGTACTTTTAATGATGTTTGTATTGAGAAAATAGATCGGTGGTTGGTGTCCACCTTGTTGTAGTCTTGACTTTTGACACTGCTTTCTATCATGAAATTAGATTTTCGGTCACATATGTTGGACTACCATGATCTCAAACTAAAGTACCGTAAATCCTCCATTAATCCCCCCTCTCAAATAAACCCTCCCTTTTTCAGGGGAAGGAAGTTAAAAAAGCCCCCTCCCTTCCTCCATATTATTATTCACTGAAAAATGATCAGCCATGACTGTCAGGAGTCTATTGCGACTGCATTCTAGTTCTTTATGGAGAACTGATACCATCTTCTTTGTTAAATTGAATAAGCCTCCCCCATCTCATATAAGCCCCCATCTCTATTAAGCGCCCCCTCAAATGTGTTTGAAATAAATAAGCCCCAGGGGGGCTTTATAGAGGATTTACGGGTGGTCACCAAACCTGCTACATGGGCATCTTAGGTGTGTAAGTACATGCATTTGTAAGGGGTAAATAAGAACCATGGTTTAGTGATTGTGTGAACTAAAAGACAAAGTGAGCTCTGACATTGATATAGACAGACTTGGCAGCTTCCTAGTAACTGAAAGGTGGCCCAACCAGGCCTCCCAACTTGTTGTTTTTTATCATTATTTATGTTGGCAGATTTCTAGCTATAGCCACCAAAACTCCCTACTCTCCCCCCGGTTTTCTTGAAAAGTATCCAAAAGCATTTCTACCGAGTGGGCCCCTGGTTATCTTGGCTCTTTTTTTTTTTTTTCAGGACAAAGGCAGGGTGCAAAGCTAGCACAAGTACTAGCCTGAGAGTCATTTTAACTAGCACTACAGAATTCACTAGTGCGAATGCAAAACCCACTAGCCTCGGCTATCAGACACGACTTTCTTTGCACACTGCAACAGCCACTTTGGCTACCTGCTAGGAATTGCAGCTCAAAACTCACCCCTCCACTCACTACCAACATGCCATTCACTGACAATTAAAGGGGGGGAGGACTCTTTGGTTGTTTCAGCTACCTACTATGGAGTAGAATATGTTGACCCAAAGGTGTTGAGCAAACAATCCTTAACCCCTTATCCGAGATGGCAGTTCGTGCAACCCTTAAAGCATGGAAATCTGCCCACAAAAAGCCATTGTCGCCCATTCCTTCTTGACAACATGTACATAGCAATTTTTTCTCAGATATTGACTGAGTTAACCTCCGGTACTCAGACGGTAGCAATCTGACTCTTACACACATAGTCCCCACCCTGAGCTTCCAGGGTGGGTGCATCTTTTACATGGCCAGAGATGTATGCATCCCAGCAGGTGGCCCTGTTCTCTCCAGAGGGCCTACTTTGTTTTCCCTGCAAGTCGTTTTGCTGCATCATGAAGTCGATTCTGCTAAATACCTTAGAGTACTTTTAGAGTTGACTTAGAAAAAAGTGAGTTAAAGCTGATCACTTATGATAATAATAATAATAATTTAAACATATTTATGCAGGATTGCTGCTTCAGTTTTAAGAAAAAAACTGCTATCAATGCAGGTCCTGTAAAAAATTAAAAATGAAAAAATAAAAATAAAAAGATTTAAAATATAGATAAAAATCAAATCACAATATTACAAAAATAGTCACACCAAACGAAAGATCGAACAGTTATAAATTCTAAGAATTATTAAAAATTATTAAAAATTTTCGCACCTTTGTAGAAAAAAGCGCGCTTGGTGCATTCTAAATTAATTTTTTCCAAAATAAGGTCATTATTATTTCTAGTTTTGTGGCGGTGAATGTCACGGTTTCTTACATTGAAATAATTAGAAAGGTATCTGGGAACTCTATTTGCAATGCACTCATCAACAAATCTTAAAATGAGGGGGACATGGGGGTTTACGGTATTGCGGTATTGGGCTTTTTTCATGCGGTGTTTCGGTAATTTTAATTTTAACGTGCGGTATTGCGGTATCATCTAGCTCTGCGGTATGCGGTTTTTCATCATTTTGGCTGACGGTATTCGGTGAAATAAGATTGTTCACGGTATTACGGTACCGTTTATTTGCGCTTTCCTTTCGATACAATACGCAAAACAAAACACAGTAAGACATAAAGGTCAATAAAAGTTAATATTTAGAAGTCTTGAGACATAACGGTAAATGATTACACCATTTGTGGGTCATTTTGTGACAGTTAAGGGACGGACCATTAGAAAACTTATTGGGGGGGGCGGGCGAAGTACAAAAAAAAAAAATCGCTCAAGGGAAAATTTAATGAAAAAAAATTCTTGCACGCCAATTAACCCTAAGAAATATTCATGCAAGGGCCTGAAAAAAATTCATACAATGAATTTGATAACGAAAAAAATTCCTGCGGCTCGAAAATTCCCCTCCCCCCCATAACTTTTCTAATGGTCCGTCCCTAATGGTCGATAATATACAGTGTGATTGTTGTTGCATCCAGTGATAATGAGTCGTCTCAAGTTACCTTACAGGGCTTGTCGATCTGTGTACCTGTGCCGGTAATTCGAGGTCTTAAACGTTTTCTCACAATGTCTGAGGTCGCTGAGGTTGAAGACGGTGTGGTCATCATTGACTGTGTGGCAATTTTTTATGAAGAGGGCGAAGGAGGCGAACATTATCGCAACAAGAATAAGTTTAGATGTTGGGTTTCGAGAATTGAAAAACGCCTTGTAAAGTTAAAAGCGAAAATTTGGTAAGTTTGCCTCTTAACAGCGCGGCGTCATCCTCGGAGACCCAGGGGCAGATAAAGGGAGCGAGGGAAAGTCTAAACGGGCGGAAAAATATATAAGGAACGAAGAAAAGTAAAGAACGGCGAGAAGAGCCCGTGGGACAATGTCTTACCAGACCAGTTCCAAACGGTCGCCGCCGTTCTGGCTTCTGATTGGTGCCAGAAAACTTGTGTTTCTCTGGCACCAATCAGAAGCCAAAACGGCGGCGACCGTTTGGAACTGGTCTGTTAAGACATTCTGCCCGTTTAGACCTTCCCTCGTCTCTCGTGATCTGACCCCCTGACGTGCTAGACTAGACTCACTTTATATCAAAACTCGCACTAGACGTGCGTGGAAAGGGTTTTGGTTGGTTTGTTTTTCGCGCTTTCAAGAGTTATTTTTATTGGAGTTAATTAGCTGTCGGGTCGAAATACCAAAAGGCTGAACGAATGTAGTTTACTTTTCAGTGAAAATTTGCGGAAAATTGCGAACTACCAAAATATTAAAAAAAAAACATGGACATCTGGTGCATAAATGCTTGAGATAATTAAACGCGCTAGATGGAAGCAACCATAAGTATGCGCAACCGATTATAAATGTGATTAAAATATGCGGTATCGGTATTTAGACGATTTTCGACGCGGTATTTCGGTATTTGCCATTTTTTCTTACGGTATTGCGGTATTGGGTACCCCCCAATGTCCCCCTCTAAAATGTGTGTCCGTCTTCTATAATAGAGAGGTTCCAAGCCCAGTTTAGTCATAATTTGATCAGTTGATAGTTTTGAGGCAGCTTTGAAGTAGACGATCCTCGCTGCTCGTCTTTGTAGTCGTTCAATCTTGTCACTGTTTCCTTGTCCACATTCATAATGATGACAATAAGCTCAAAATAAAAATGTTAGGTTTGGACTCCCAAGTGTCAACTTCACGTGAGCAATAGTAAGTAAATATGCATTTGAAATAGTACAGAAATATTAGCTATTGGTGTCTATGAAAATGTGAAACTTGGAGACAATACCCTAGAACTCACTTCTAAAAACGAATTTTCCGACCAAAATTGAGCATTGGAGTTGTTACTTTATTGCCTTACCAGTTTTCAATGATGTTCAAACTTGAAGATCATTAATAATAAGAGTGGTTTCCGATGTATTTTCTTATTTGTTATGGTAGACCAATGCCAACAAGAGCAATCAGATAAAGCTTACCCCATGATGTTCTCACTAATGTTCCAACAAAATAATGAAAGTGTTATGAGGTGAAATGGCATTTCAAAATCAAGATTGTCCAGTTTTACTGAATTAATGAAGGGGGTGAATAGGCGAACTGCCTTTTGAAATTATTTTTGCCTGGATTTTGGATTCAAAGCAAGATTTTAACAGATTTCCAGATCCTGCAGTTACAGCGGATTGCAGATTCATACATTTTTTGGGCCGGGATTTTGGATTTTGCGTGTAATAAAGATAAGTTTGTCCGGATTTTGGATCAAGGGCGAAATTTTAACTGCGGATATGGTTAATAAGTCATGATGGATCGGTGGATTTGCATAACCTGATTCACCTCCCCTCAATAATATGATCACAAAATATTTTGATTTTTGCTCACACTTCACTAGCCTCCCATGCAGGAATTTTAAGGGGAGCTCGTATTCATCCCATCCCACGAGCTCCCCTAAAAACGCCTGCTTGGGAATCTAACACTTTACAGACTTCAGAAATGTTTGGGTAACTAATGGAGGAACAAGCACTCCTCCCAGTGCTGAGAAAAACAACTGCAAGTAATAGAGGTAATAGCGTCATTACGTTGGTATGACAACTCTTACCACCGCAAACCTACTGCTGATCAGACAAATTTTCATCTTTAACTAATAGTATACAGCTATGGTGAGGTTTTTTCTCTAATCAGTGTCAATGGCGACGTATTTAATGCTTAGAGTTTTAGTAGTATTTAATACTTAGAGATGTTGGCCATGAAAATCCAATCGAGCCACCTTAAATTTATGCGCGGTCAACACGGCGGCTGTGGCCTGAGAATTGCGCATGTGCATTATGACAGTATCTTAATTGGACCATTGGGCCTGTTCTTGACATAACATCGCGTGGGCTCAGTTAAACGTTCATATGCAAAAGAAGATTTAGGAACTCTTTCCTGGTGTTAGCAACATTGATGTGTAACGTGCCGTTATTATTGTCTTCAATCCAGCATAGGATAGACTCTTCGTACCACGACAGCACAGATACGTCGCTGATTCCTGCGCTGAACTCCGTCGCGGAGAGGCTTTCCAACATGGCTGTGGCGCCGAACAGTTCGGATGCCTGTCTCAGCATCGTTCATAGCCTAATGTGCCACAGACAAGGCGGCGAGTCGGAATCGTTCGCCAAGCGCGCTATCGAGTCTCTTGTCAAGAAACTAAAGGAGAAAAGAGATGAACTTGACTCCTTGATCACAGCTATTACGTCTGGAGGTACGCATCCTTCGAAATGCGTTACAATCCAACGCACGCTAGACGGAAGGTTGCAAGTCGCTGGACGAAAAGGCTTTCCGCATGTTATTTACGCGCGAATTTGGAGGTGGCCGGATTTACACAAGAACGAGCTAAAGCACGTCAAGTACTGCCAATTTGCCTTTGATTTAAAGTGTGACAGCGTTTGCGTGAATCCTTACCATTATGAGCGAGTTGTCTCGCCTGGTGAGTACACAAAATACCCAGTTTCAATATTATTATTGTATTATTGTTAAATAACAACTGCCCCAATCTGCTGGTAGATGGCTACTTCGCCAAACTGTTCAGTCTGATAATGCAACGTTTTTCTGTACAATTAAGAGATTGTCTTTGATGGCCTTAACGTCAAGTGAGACTAACTGCAACCTTGTTATTCCACAGATATCACAGGGCTGGCATTGTCGAGAAACCCAGGTACAATTGTATTTGATTTATGAATGTTTTAATATCTATTCGATCATTGACGGTTTCTTTTGCCTGTTTTCTCGATTTTTATCCCCATGCTATGTACTGTTATTTCATTTCGTACTGGTGATAGGTATTTGTTTTAGCGTTTGTTAATGTCTTGTCTTCTACTGTGGCTTTCAATGTGTAATCATAATCCTGGTGATCCCTTTGTTGAGGCTCAGACATTCTGTCTGCTCCATAACACGTGGCCGGCTCGGCCATCTTTTAGTGTTCTAGTTGGTTGGCAGTAGACAATGGCTCCAGCCATTTCCTTGCTTTGAAGAAAGTTTTCATAGTAGGTTCCAAAATGTTGCGATTTCGAGTAGAAGGTAGTAAAGGTGGTAAAAGTTAAGATCATTAGCAGACAAAGGGAAAGTGATAAAGAATGATTAAACAAAAATGGTCAACGGGTACATGTGTTGACTGAAGAGTCACGATATATGCCAGGGGGTCTCAGTCAACTCGTGGTTTCCTTGTTGACAATAATTTTATTGTGCCTATTTATAGTAAGTATCCAGATATTGCTTCCAAGTTTAAATGATCGTATAAGAGGTCTCTGTAGTGCAATTTCTCAGTAGAAGCAATTGTGGAAACACTTCTCAAACGTCAAACTGTTGTTTAAAACAGCTCTTTCATCAGCTTAGCAGCACATGCCTTATTATTTTGTAAAACCTCCCAGAATACCACATGAATATATATCTGAAATCTACTTGTGCTTTTGGCGTTAAACATTTTCCATTATCAGTTTTGCCTTTTTCTTGACTAACAGTTTTGTTTTTCCTCAAACACTAGTCATATCAGTTTTAAGTTCACCGCTTGCATTTTATGCATCTTTTTCACAAACAGGCAGAATACATTCTTATAATACCAGCCCCAATACCAGCTGATAAATCTTTTGAATTTAATTTACAACTTGACTGCCTGGGCAGTGAAAGATTTTCCTTTTGAAATAACTAGCTGTTTTAGCACTTTTTAAACTTTGGTGTTGTGATTCACTTGTAAATAAGTGGAGTTAACATCTGTCACATTGTAAGTAACTTCACCTTTATTGTTATTATGTTGAACTACCAATTAAAAGCTTTTGAGAAAAAAGAAAGAAACAGATCTAGAATAGAGCTGAAAGTGTTGTTGCTGAAAAGTTGGATGTTCTTGGTGATATGTTAACTATGCTGTAAATATTTTCAGTAACCTTTCAATCCTAATTTGTATGATGCCATTTGGCGATTGTACTGTGCGCAGCCAATTACATTATCCACTAGATGAGAGTAACAAAGAAGATTTAATGCTATTCACAGGGCTTCTGATAGGTTGTGGAAAAAACTCAAATTTTGCCATATTTTCAGAGTCAAGTTAGAGGAAAAAATGGCTGATTTCAGAGGAAATTTGTGGGAATTTTCAGGGCAAAAAATGAAAGAACCAAAAGAAAGCCTACTTGTTGTATTTTACCCGGCAAAATAATTTCATGTGAGTTAAAAAAGTCATCATAGAGTAGAAACATTTAGCCAGACTTTGAGATGGGTTGTATGTGTAGTGCTCTCAAGTACAGAATACTGATGTTTTATCAACACTAACACATAGCTTTTTTTTTCACTGACAGCAAGTTAAATTTAGAAATCAAATTCAGAGGGAATTGTTTTGTTTTCTCTGCACCAATATTTTAGATATTAATTAAACTGGGTGATAAAAGCTAAAATGGACAGCCTTATGTAAGTTTCTAGGAGGTCATAAACCTAAAGTATAGTAAATAGTACAACTGTCTAGTGATCTGATGTTTTTCCAGAGGGCAAAAAATTGTTCCTGAGCTCTAACACTCTAGTTCATTATTGAAAGGAAAGTCTTAAAATGATGAAATTATAACTGGGGTGCGTGTATTGTGTTGGCTCTACGGTGATCTACAATATAATACACTGTCTTGCGAGTGGGGCTTTATAGGTACTCACAATGACCCATCTTCATCAATATTTTTAATTACCAATGAAAACACACTGGAAAATAGACAGTTATTAAAAGACAGGGAAGTTATATTTGGAGGTGTTAATTTTGTAAAAATTTAATACCTCATTAAGATTTACTTAGAAAGGATTTAATCAGAGCTTACTGTCATTAAGCACAGATTTGATTAGAGTTAATGCAAGCACACACTTGAAATCCGTAGTTGCAGGCACCAACAATTATACTCTATTATTTTATTAAAGCATTTTAAATCATGTATTTTTATTTCCACTCTTGACAAATAATCACTGAACCATGAAATTTTATACATTCAACTTTTCCGTTATATAAACTATAAAAATACCACAAGAACTTGACAGGGAACTACAACTTACTATAAAACGGCTTTTATTAATAACATGATAAGAATCATTGGCATTTATTATTTTACCAGTAAAGGTATTATAATTAGCATTCTTTTGTTATGAGTATTTTAAGTACCCTTGTCTTAAATCAGTGCATGTTTCCAATGCAAAACCCAGAAAAGGAAACAAAAATTAGGCCTTAATATGGGTATAACATTAAGAAAGCCATCCCGTTTTAATTCAGTGAATCAAATAAAATGTTATTGAACACTTAAGAATGAAGATAAACGAAAAAAGTTTAATTACACAACGTTTCGATGTCACCATGACAGACATGTACTCTGCATCGCACTGATCACACACATTAGTAATTATACACCACGCAATGTTGATTAATTCAGGGTTGTTTGGGCTCATGCATTTTAAGATCACCAACTTTTTGGCTTGTAAATACTGGTTGAAGGATGTGGTCAATTTTCTTGCTCAGATTAGAAAGTTGTGTTTTCGCTTCGTCAGCCAACTTTTGATCTTTAACCCTCTAAGCCCCAAGATCCACATACAAATTCTCCATACTGATCTCCATACATTACTCTTAAGAACAGTTGAGAGAATTTGGTTTAAGATCAAAGTGTCTTCTCTTTGGTTATTCAATTTAGTAATTCTCATAACCTTTACTCTGGTTGTTAGGAGAAAATTGATGTTGGTTACCTCTTGAGACCTAAAGGGTTTATTGGCAATACCAGTCAGTGAATATTATTTTATTAAATTCAATAGCAGAAAATATTCAGATGGACTGACAAGCACTCAGTCAGACACATCTACTCTATGGCAGGTGTATGCACCAGAGAATGCCAGTCCATCTTAGTGAGGGCTTTTTTACTGTTCTTGCATTGAAAACAAATAATATTATGAAGTGCTGTTTTGTAAATGGTGTTGATATTTCAAACAAGAAAGTTTAATGCCTCTTGGCAAGTCAGGAAAGGCCTCAATGTAATTTGTAATGGGAAACTTTGTTTAGTATGAGTGATGATTAGCTCTTATCCTTTGACCAAACAGTAACCAGAACTGGAATCTATAGCTGCCATTGTTGTTTAGCATTTAGCGTCAAGTTTTGTGACATCAAGTTTGTAATAATGAATGGAAATGTTTTCAATTTATTCAGTGTTACCATTATTAGAGATAAAGGATTTGTAGTGTTGTGCCTAGTTTTTTTAAACTACAAGAGAAAAGGATGAAGGAGCAAACAACATTGTAAAATTGCAAGAATTCAAATTATTATGTTTAGTTTTTAAAACCCTGATGTAATTAATATGTAGGAGAAAACTTAAAATAGAACAATAATATTTTTGTTGTGGTATGAAATTAATGTTCTATGCAAACTTTGATTTAATCTCTGATCCAATTAAAACATTTATTCATTTTTGAGTCATATTTACCAACAGTCTGTTGTCTAGGTGCATTATTAAAGTTTTGTTTTTACAACTCAGTTTACGTGTATTATGGTCTTCCATTAAATACAATCAGGTAGCCACAGAGACTAAAAAGGTCTTAAGTTTATATTCTTGAACACTGACAGACATTGCACTTCTATAGATTGGGTCTAGTTTGTAAAAAAAGAAGAGACAACACCCTTAACTGTTCCTGTTGTAGTCTTGTAGTTGTTTAAACCTGTGACAGCTTTTTTCAGTAATTGGTTCTATCAATAAAAAGTAAACAATAATTTTTATTTCAAAAATCAAGAAGAGAAATAAAGTATCAAAAAACCTTATCATGTCATCAGCTTTCAATTATGGTAGAAGTGCCAAAAACTGTACAAAATTAATCACCAGAACCGAGTTTTTTTAGGGGTTGCCTTTATATTGCCATGTTGAGAATTCTTTTTTATGTTAATGAACCAATCTCTTACCTCACTTTGCTAGATGGAGCTTATGCCAGTAATTCGCAACCAGATCCTGACTTTCATCAAGCTGTTGGTCCCACAGCTCATCATTATCCTGGTTTGTAATGTCTTTTTCCTAGTCATACTATTTAAAACTAATTTTAAATCATCAGGGGCTAAATTAGATTTGTACTTTTGATTAAGGAAAGCAGGTTTTTTTATTAAAGAACTTTTCATACTTCTGGAGGGAAAGTTGATTTGCTCAGAATTTTTGCTTGTACACTTTTCTCTTTTTTTTTGTGGGGTGGGGTGGGGGGGGGGAAGCGGAGGTGGAGGGGGATGAACCCCTACCCGATGCCTTGGTAGTTCAGGCATATTCCCTTAGCATGTGGATGTGTTAAATTCCATGGGATTAAACAGTGAACAAATTCATAAATTGAAATAACTATATGTAATAATGTATCTTGAAAAAGTAATGAATTTCCCATGTGCTATTAAACAGCTACTTTCTCATTCCTTGTTGTTTGTGCACCATACTGGTCCACTGGTGTTTGCACCTATCAGCAATTTAATGGTGTTGGCTGAAAGATGGCAGTTGCTAATTTGAATTACAATATTATGTTGACTGGATTTGTCTGGTTAAAGCCCTAAACAGGTATAACATGTTGGTCTATAATCATTAAACATCATTGAATGCAACATGTCAGATTTGTTGGAACACCTCATTAGATGTTGTTGATTGATGTTGAATCAGATTTGATTGAGTTTGATCTTGTCATCCAAGATCATCCAACGTTTGTCCTATTTTCATGCATGATGAACCATGTCATTACATGTGTATGTTGCCATAATTTAACAGCTTTCACAATAATTATGTAACTGCACTTCTTTTGTTTGGTGTATTATTTTATTAGTTATACAGTGATGGCTCTGCACAAGTATATTACAGTTTGGAAAAATGATCTAAACTAGACTCCACTTTGAACCTTAAATCATTTATATTCCTTCTTCCTGAAGGTAGCCAGTCACTCCCTGCTTCAGTCGTTGGAGGACCTCCGCATCATGATATGTACCCTGGAATGAATGCTGCTGGTGATCATGGTATGGGACCAATCTTCCCAGCTTTATATCATAGTTGTCATTTGAAATGTATAGTTGCACATCTGCTTGTCATTAATTTTGTTGGTAGTAAACAAGGAAAACTAGTTTAGTGCTTGAAAAAAGTCCTGTTTGATTGTCTGAGACAAGTAGATTTTCTTGCCAGGCAAGTAACTTGTTAAGCTCACTTGTCCAATGGACATGACTCCAGGCAAGACTTTTTATAATTTATTTTTAAATCTGCTGTTAATAAACTTTTGCCTGTAAAATCTTTCTCCTGCAATAAGATTACAAGAAATGTTATTATTAACTTTGATAATGTCACACTTTGCTATAGGTGGACCACCTAGTTGGGGAGCTGTTTCAGCAACTTATACCCCTGGGCCACACCCGGGAAGTGGATATTGTAAGTTAGTATTTCTAGAGTTTCTGTGGTATGTAATCCGGATTGCCTTCACAGGACACAACCATGATTTGTCTGACATCAATAATCTAAACCCATTTGCCCCAGGAGATTTTGCCATAAAACGCGTGTTGAAGCTATAAGTCAGTGGTTTTCTGGTCACTGTCATGCTACAGTATAAAGAGGCAAAACTTACCACAAAGCCATTTACAGGTTGTACACTTTGCTGCCTTCTGATTCCGATGCAAAATATTAGCTCGCAAAGTTTGGGCATGCTCAGAAAAAAAAATTTGTGGGTTTAAATGTGAGACCCCTAGTGAAGATTGACTTTTAGTTTTCACTTTCTCTCCTCCCCTCTTTTTTCACTTTTCTTGCCTCATTTTTTTATTCTCTTGCTGAGCATTTAGTAGGCTTCATTTTGGTGGGAAAAGTTTTTAGGGAAGCTTTTAGGATCTTGGGATTAGATGAAAGGAATGGTAGGTCAGTTGTGGAACAAGATTTTTATGGAAATTTTCAGGTCAATGTTACATGGTATTTTACCTTTTTCTCCGGTGTCCTTGACTGAATTGTGCTCATTCTGGAATGGTTTGAAAGGTCTCTTCACTCTGCACAAGTCAACAGACAAAGTTATCTTGACCATTAAAACTGATGATCATGATGTCTCAAGCAGTAGAAAGGACATGAATTCGCACGGGCGGCCACAGGTGGCTCAGAGGCAAATGGATTAAAACAATAAAACAATAATTTTCATGATACAAATCCCTCTGAGACTGTGCTTTGCTCATTATCATCATAATCATCATTCAGCTGCTAAGCAGTTTTAAAATGTAACACTAACATTCTCCTGTAGTAACAAAAGATACTACTGAAGAAGTTTCAGTAACCAACATGTAAATAACATTATATATTTATTGTTTGAAATTATTGATCATGGGTCTTCCATACTTCTACCAAATTCACTTTTGGTTTGCTGATCACTACTACTACATGGCAAAATATTTTGTAAAACAGTTAGATAGAAAATTTTACTTATTTTCTATTATTATACTGAAAGATATTTTTAATGTGTATAAAAAAGTTTATCATCATGACTATATTAAAGGTAAAGAAAACCCCTCTAACTTTTAGGAAAAGACACTAGCTTCCAATCTTACACTGAAAAATGGAACTTAGCTGAAAGCAATATTTCCTACATGTCAGCTTCTTTGTCTTTTGTCATTTAAAAGATCTGAACAAACTTGTTGGAGTCTCCTGTCAAAGCTTGCTTTTCTAAATTACCTTTATACATGTACACTTATGACGTTAAGAAGTCTGGCTGCCAGGTTGAAAACAGCAAGGCTGTTAAGGGAACTTGTAGCAGCACTGCAGCTGTTACTATTGTATTCAACATAGCATAACCTTAAATTTTGAATTGGCGAATGACAAATCTTTTTTTAGGTTGTTATTTGTTAAAAATATTCAGAATAATAGGAAAACAAGAAATGGTGAGATGGACAACCATAAAATATTTTTTCAGCTTGTTATTTGTTAAGAATATTCAAAATGATAACTGGAAGAAAGGAATTAATGATAAGAACAACCATAAAATCTTTTTTTGGTTGTTATTATTTTATTAAAAGTATTCGAAATAGGAAAAAAGGAATTTATAACATGAACAACCACAAAATATATTTTTTAGGTTGTTATTTTTTTTAAATATTCAAAACAATGGAAAAAAAGGAATAGGCAATATGAACAACCTTAAAATTTTTTTTGAGGTTGTTTTTTGTTAAGAATATTTATAACAATAGCACAGATGGACAACCATTACTGCAAAATTAATTATATAGTGGCAGGCGAAAGTGCAGGTAGAAAATAATACCTCAGTTTGTCAAATTTCTGTTTTATAAATTTTCCCCTTGGATTAGCCAGAAAAAGTGGAACATTCGTTAATTTGCGTTTTTAATGGTATTCTTCAGGGATAATGGAGAAATATTTCAACTTACCACAATAATTTAGATGGTGTTATGTGGAAGCAGGGTTTGCCATTTGCATGACAAAGAATTTTTGAGGATTTGCAAAGAAAATGAATCCATGTAGTGGCCGGCCAAGACAAGATTTGGATGGCAACTGCTATGGAATCCAGCACCCTAAACCATTCCACCTTGCATGCTGAAAAATAAGTCACTTACAGTGAAAAATCTAACCCCCTTATCTCTTGGATGTGGAAAATTAATGGAGAACCAACAAAATAAAACCAAAGAATCATCATTAAGGAAATGAATTCATTCATTGTTTTTTTTAATTTTCTTTAGGGACCCAAGATGCTGCTTCTGATATCCAAGATAGTGCCCCTTTATCCAAACATCCTCGTAAGTGAATGTACAGATTTTAAATACATGTACACTTCCATCTGCAAGAGACTGATATCAAAAAATTGGAATTTCACTTGGCAAAAGACCAAGGGTGAAACAAACCTGACTGTAGGAAATAAATACTATTGAAACGAGTACATTGAATTTAAAAAGTTTCTGAAGCCAAATCAATTGCAAGATGAGCCTGGCACAGTTAAGTCCTGCATTTAATCATTTTAGTTCACGTCAAGTGTCGTGAACAAGCTAGTTTGTTGACAAGCTTTGTAGTATTTAGGTAAAGAGGCGACTAAACGTAAAGAGACTTGGAACAAGAAAGAAGAAACCTTCTTTTGGCATAAAAATCAAGTCAAGGTTTATGCCCACATAAACTATTTTAATATTTTCAGCTTGAAATGCGAAAATACCTGTATGTTCCAGAGAGCCTCTAAAGAAATGTATCACAAACACTGCAGCTACCATATTTCGAACCATTTTACTCAACATTATTCAGCACCAGGTGTGCTTAAAATCTTTTTTCTAAAATAATTTGAAGACACCTTTGAAATGAGATAATGCGGCTCTTTTTATTTACTCAATCCATCTCGAGGTCACGTGACCTTTCTCAGACCAAAATAATTATTGTGGGATGAACTTTGCCCGTTCCAGGCTCCGAGTTCATTTATGCATCATTCCCCACTATCCGAGAGCCGACCCGAGAGCCTTGAACAGGCTAGGATGTTAAATAAATGTGAGATGGAAAGGGCATAAAAGGTACTGAGTTAATGGCCAGATGTTTGGTTTTAGAGTGTTAACACTGATATTTTATGGCTGCTTCTCCGAATATCGGACAAGCAAGTCTTGCATGTCATTCACCTCCAAAGTGGCTTTCTGGCTTATTTCTATCACTGGTGTTGTTTGAGTTGTAGCCAATAATTTTTGTGGTGATACAAAAAACAAAGTACTCGGCTAAGAGGAGACACCTTGTTTTTATCTCATTTTGTTTTTGTTTTTGTTTTTTTCTTATTTTTTGTACAGCTCCTGAGAACTGGTGTTCTATATCGTACTTTGAACTTGACCAGCAGGTCGGCGAGATTTTTAAGGTCATGTCGTCGTGTCCATCTGTTAAGGTTGATGGTTATGTTGACCCCTCAGGTGGCAGCCGGTTTTGTCTCGGCCAACTCTCCAACGTTCATAGAACAGATGCTAGTGAGAAAGCTAGGCTGCACATAGGTTAGTAAAGGTTGTGCCCTGTCCTTCTTATGAAAGATTAAAAATAGAACAACATTTTACGTTTACAGTTTAATATTGAAACCTCATAAGCTGTCATGTGCGAAAATCTGAAAGCTTTCTGACTGAGTACCTTCCTCCTTCCTTAGTGGACATTTTATCATCATCATTGTATTATTTTTTTTCCCAAGGAGGCCTACATGCAGTGCTGCGTTTGTTGTTATTGTTTCTTAAAAGAATGCCACTTTTTTAAATTGCAGGGCACAGGGAGGGTACTGAGCTTGAGTCCGCAGTATCTTTAGGGACTTCTTCTGGTTGTGGAATTAATTTAAAATTCCTTATCGGTGGATTGGCCTAGCAGTTCCTAAATCTATCCCTGGAATTAAGCTTAATGTAACAACTTACTACACACGTTTTCCTTCCTTCTTTTCTTTTCTTTTTTCTTTTGTAGGTAAAGGAGTCCAGCTGGACTTGAGAGGTGAAGGTGATGTGTGGGTTCGTTGTCTTAGCGAACACAGCGTTTTTGTTCAAAGTTATTATTTAGATAGAGAAGCTGGGCGTTGTCCAGGTGATGCTGTCCACAAAATCTACCCTTCAGCCTACATAAAGGTATTTGATTTACGTCAGTGCTACCGACAAATCAAACAACAGGCTCACGCTGCCCAAGCCGCCGCAGCCGCTCAAGCCGCAGCCATTTCTACTGGTGTAGGGCCTGGCGCCTTGATACCGCAGATCGGCATGAGCGTGGGCGTCGATGATCTTCGGAGGCTCTGTATTCTTCGACTTAGCTTCGTGAAAGGCTGGGGCCCAGATTACCCTCGTAAAAGTATCAAAGAAACACCATGCTGGATAGAGATTCACCTGCATCGCGCTTTGCAGTTGTTGGATGAGATCTTAATTACTATGCCAATTAACGAGCCTCGACCGCATGATACATGACTACTGATCTGTAAAAGCGTCTGCCTGGCTTCAATTATGAAAATTTTATTGAATCACTATTTGCAGGTTAAACCTACTTGAGCGACTAAACTAGTGTCCCTTTCAATTTCCTTTTTGGGTGGTCGCTCGTTCAGGTTTAGTGTACATTTTATTTTTATTTTATTATATTATTATTATTATGTCTTTTAACACACGTCTTGTAGAAAATTAGACTGTAAAAGGTGTAGTGCGGTTTGTGATTTTTCGATAGAAATACTACTCTACCGTCTTTTCGGGAATTTTGTTGCACAACTTTCACCGAATGGTGAGCCATTAAAGACGGCTATATACACCTAATTGCAGTAACGTTGTCATACAAAAAGGCAACAACGAAATCAAGAAAACTATTTAAAGTTGCGCAAAAACCGCTTTTTGCTCGTTCGCTGTTTCACTGCTCGCTCGCTATTTTTGCTCGTCCGCACTGACCGAGAACCTGGAACAGGCCACCGATCGCAAAATGTGGTACAAGCGGAAGCGTGCCTAATTAAGTCCTGTCTATTGTTTGTTTGTTTGTTTCTCTCTTTCTTGCTCTCTTTTTCTCCATGCCAGTGTTGATGCAGTTAGGTGTGCAGCATTATAATAATTAGTTCCGTGCTTTTATTTTCGCTTGACTGCGGCCAATGTTCACCCAAGGTTGTGAGGTTTTTTGATGTTTTGGAGTAATAATAGATCTACTAAAGCGTTCACACACGAAATTATGGAAGCGATTCGGTGCAGTGGAGAGGTACATTACCTTTGCTACTTTTCAAACGTTACCTTTCCGCGCGAATCAACGCGGCCCGCAAGGCATTGTTGGTGAAGATGGACCTTTACTAATAATCATGATGATCAAAGAAAAATAGTAATACGAAAAATGTGTCATAAGCGCGAGCTTTCTGTTGTTAAACTCTGAGAAATGTGCTCCTTGTTCACTGAAAATGTTTCTTCATTGAGAATATCAAAAGCTTTTGACACGTAGGGGAGTGGCTTTTGAGATCTGTGAGATACATTATCAGTTTAATATGAAATCAACGATTTCAAAAGTCTTTCCTTAGCTTAGGCCAGATTTTCGTCGCTCTCTCGGGTCCGGGCTTGTTCCTCCCCACGTGAAAAAAGTCTTTTCCAGGGACGGAGCGCGGTTTCATTTCCCAAACAGCGGCTGATAATGGAGCCTATACTTAGCTTCCTTGTTGTAAATCTGTGGGTGAATTTTAAAAGTGTTGTCTTTCACAGAAAGTGAAGAAAGTTTGTTCTGTCTCTCTTATTGTTAATCTTCCTAGTCAGAAAGTCATAAGTATCGGTCGCTTACCTTTCAACTTCTTTGATTGTTTATAGAAAATTTTGTCAACTTTTCCACGATAACTGTTTTTCAGTTGAACTTTTTTTTTTTGATCCTCGGTTTATATTCTTTTGTTAAAGCTTTAGGTAACTATGTTTTCCATGCTTTTTATTTCTAAGCTTCGTAACGTCTATGTGGTTTTAACTGTTGTTGTAAATTGTTGTCGATACCATTTTTGCTCTCTTTGAAGTCACCTAGGAAACGTCCTGTCCTTGGAAAGCTAAACTGTTCCAGATTATTACGGTTGACTTAACTTAATTTAACCAGTTCTGTTTTTATCTCCGTTACTTGTTACCGGGTGATATATTTTACTTATAGCACCACATGTAAGCGAAGGTTCACATGTTGTGGTCTATACTGAACTGTATAAATGGACGGTTTCAAACTGTGCTGCAGTGTCGTACCGAAACTTAAGTTTATTAGTCGAGTTCATGAGGTAAATAGACCTTTTCGCGTGTATGTTTTGCGCATTAATTTCGACAAAACAAAAGCGTTTACGTAAGCTAAGAGGTTCACTCCCACAGGAACACCAACATGGCCGCCTTTTCATTTTTTTGAGACACCAACATTGCGCAGCTGACGTCGTGTGAAAAGGCTCTATTTATCATTTCCACATTTTCCATAATAAAGCTTGTTTACCCCCCTCCCCTCCCCCCTAAAAAAAATGGGCATAAACATTGTCTTCAGTTTTTCTTTGGACGATTTTAATATATGTGACAATTTGAAAACAATGGTTATGTACAATTTCTGGAGGCAGGCAGGGTAAACAACGTCCATTGAAGATTATGTGTTGCTACTTAAACCAGTATTCTCTTTCAATATCCACTGAGAATGTAAACTGAAGTATACAACAAAACAAACCAGCCATGTAATGTCGATATTTCAAAAGCCACATTTCGAGCCCTGCTCCTTCTTTCGGAGTGAATTACAATCTAACGCTCCAAACGTCAGCTTTTGGAATTATGTACAATTTATTAACCTTATAAACTCAGTTTCTAGTAATTTCTGGAAGCGAACTCTTGCAATCTAACATTGCTAAAAGTAATTTTTAGGTAGAGGTTAGCAACTTTACTCGCGTTAGTGATATATAGCGTAAAGAATATTAAAATATAAGATTAGTTTCTAAACAGAAAAATATTTTTGGTGCCCTGTGACTTTTTCCTCGCAGTATGTCGACTTGTATTCTTGGAGGAAACGTGCAACAATTGTAAATATGTTATGTTTTTAAATAATGCACTGCTCTTTAGTTTCTACAGAGCGAAGCACTGCGAGGAAACAAAACAAGGAGCATGCTGAAAAGTAAAAGTTAATAAACACATAGTGAAAACATCCCACTGGGTGATTGTCTTTTTTCTGCCCTTCTCCTGAATGTTGCTTCATGTATGACTGAAGTGGATTTCGTAGCTTAGCTGGCTTAGCTTGCTGACAGTGCCCGCTGTACGGTCTTGTGTACTACTGAAGGTGTATTATATCATATTTACATTATACATGCCCAGTTTTTCACTATGCGTTAACCAAGTACCTGCAAGTTGAAGCACAAGAGAGATCTCTATACGCCACTTCCACATTCCCCATAATGCACCTTATTTGCCTCCCCAAAATTTTGCATAACCTTTGTTTTTCATTTCTCCTGGGTATTGCAGCCGTTCCAAGAGAAATTGAAAACAATGTTCATGCAAAATTTTTGGGGGGTAAATAAGGTGCATTATGGGAAATGGGGAAGTGGCGTATTGCGTTTTCCCAGGCGTTTGTTACACTGATGCTTTGAGGCTTGCTGGTGTTGACTCCACAAGACTCGGCCCATCACCAACAACTGACTTATTTACTCATGTTAACTTTTCCAATCAGTTCTTTGAAAAACGCATCCAAAAAGATTCACATTTTTTGCGGCCCGCACAGGGCAGCCTCCAATTTCTGTACTTAGATCTCGACTACAACAACAACAACTTTATTTGTACTAAGCGGCTATCTGTTGTTCAGTTTGGATGTTTGTTAGACGTTCGCAGGCCCCGCGGCGCAGCACTTGATCAGAAGGGAACTGAAATGGATGACGCCCTAAATTTCATAATTTTGTGAGTTCTACTGAAGAAAGTCTTTAATTCCCTTTAAATATTGCGCTAAAAGTAAATTTAGATAAACCTGTTATGGAGTTCCTTGGCACCGCAAATACTTGAGTTCTTTGACATTCGTTTTGTTGATGTTTTGGCTTAAAGTAGAAAATCGGTGGCGAGTGTCTCAACTCATTAGCTTGTCAAACAAGTGTAAAGTTAAGTATTCCGGGGGGTATTCGTTAGGTAGCGAATGTTTTAGCGAGAAGTCGACAGGAAGACGATGTTCTTTAATGTATCAGCCGTGGATACTGTATGCTACATTTTCATTTTAAATAGCTTTAAATGCTTGTTGATAATAGATTAAAATCTTTAGGCATTCATTGCTGGTATTATGTTCTGTGTGCGCGTTTATTTTAAACTATTCTGCCTTTTAAAAACTCATACATCACGATAACGAAAAGTTTAGGGCAGCACTTCACTTCCAATATCAGGGGCACCCAACAGGAAATTTTGGGTAAAAGACCTAAAAAACAAAAAAGCATGAATAAAGCTTTCTGAAGGCATTTTAAGCATTTTGGGAGATTGCTGGGGAAAAATTTATCTGTTTCCCACTCGCAGCAAGACAAAAGGAAGAGTTCCCAGCTAGCAAGGTGCACCTACAACCAGCGACCTGACTTACTGGGAAGTTACTGGCCAGTTTGGGTGTGGTCATAGAGCAAAATTCAGACTTTCAGTGGGTGAGGGGGGGGGAGTGGGGAAGATTGAGGGGGGGAGGGGGGAAGGGAAGAGAGGCTCATAGCAGCTATTCTAGACATCAAATCCCCTCAGACACCATGACTTGTCTATTTCCCAGCAACACTTTCCTTCCAAAGACATATTATTTTTCCCAACTCCCAGCCAGCGAAAATTTGCCTGAAGAACAGATATTTTGAGCCTCGCATTGCGTATTCACAATCAAGCCTTGAGTGTAACTCTTGGACACTGCTATATATATAGCCAATATTACCGTTGTGTCACGGAACTTTTGGCGGATTAAATTGGTGAAAAAACAAAGTTTAATTTGATCCATTCAGATCCATTGGGTGCCCCTGCAATATGGAACCTCTGGTTTTACTAAAACCGGGCAGCAGGTCCATATATTTCAAGGACACAGACGAGATCAACATGAGGAGATCATGAAGCCGAAGATTAGCTCTTTGGCGATGTTTTCGAAATTTCATTTTAGGTTTTTATAGGTGGTTATTACTATTAAAGGTAGTATCATTTTTAGCTAAGGATAGTTTTGGAAATCGTTATGTTCTTTGCGCAATCCATTTTTTTTTTTTTGCAAAGCGTGCGGCCAGCAGCGCGGTGAAAACCCGAAAATCGTGAGTTTCTTTTCTGCGGTTCCAAAGATCTTTCGTCATTGCTAATTTAGGTCCCCCCCCCCCCGCGAATCCGGATACTTTTTTAAAACGCATATTTTACACGCTGACCAAAACCGCGCTCCAGAGTGGTGTTTTTTATTTTGGGATCGGGACTGATTTGCGAATTCGGGTAGATAATTCACCTAAGGATGTGGTTTCAGCCTGATCCTTTTCGTAGGCTGCGTACAGTCCGCCTTTTCTGTTAGATCCGTCGAGCTGGGGGGACAAACGCTTTTAGCCAAAAAGGATTGGGGCGAGACAACAAAAAGGTGAGGCAATAGCCCACATTTCTACCATGACTCCGAGGCTTTCTGGTCCTTTTTGTTTGTTTGTTTGGTTTTCTTTGTGCTCAAGTCTCTTCTGGGAATTGGGAGACAAAGTACAATGGAGTCTTGAAAAATTTGCAATTTTGACCCTCAAGCCTCGGAGTCACGTTAGAATTTTAATACATGATGGAGTTATTCTTGGTACTGCGGCGCCCGGATTCCTGGGAACGAGATGGCTCATTCCCTGGTGCTCGCGTCAGCGTAAACTTGAAACAGCTTGAGGAGGAAACTGAGCTTGGCGACAACGAGTCATTCAATGACTTATACAAGAAAAATCCTGAATAGGAAAAGGAATAGGCGAATAGGCGCAGCTCTCGAATAAGCGCCGCGGCGCTAATTTGGGAATTTACAAATTAACGCCCTACCTTTGTTGCGACCATGCGCTGGTTACGACGCTTGATATAAAGAGATATCAAAACCATATTGCTATTTGACCTCGACCAACTCGTGAGTTCTAAAGTTTTAATGTAGGCTCTTGCAACCGGGTTCATATAACAGTTCGAGGTGTACATATTTATATAATTTAAATTGTGCATACCCGGTACGCGCCTCACTTAATTCTCTCTATATTCCTCTCGGTGTTTTACCCGTAGCTGAAATATGCGCCACTCTCGAATAAGCGCCGCACCTATAACGGGGAAAAAAAAAGCGCAGCGGCGCTTAATCGATCATTTACGGTACCTGATGCCTGTAATTAGCTAAAGCTAATCCAGACGGGCACAAGAGAAGAGAAAAACTTCACAGAAAAAAAATCGCAAAAGCAAAACCAGACACACTCCAGTTTGTTTGTCAATTAATCATAGCCAAAAGTGTGACTTGTTGATCAGGGAGAAGGCGGCTGACTCGTAATTGCATGACATTGGTGATTGATCCCTAACTCGAGTTCAATGCTCGATCGCGACTACATGTATTCATTTTCCTAAGTACCGTATTTGGAAATCCTCGCTGGGCCTCATTAATTCGCTCAAAGAGAACAGCTTTGCACGTGCATCATGCTTTTTGTACATTTCTTTGACGTCACTACACGACTACGACATAAAAGTTCCTAATTTCACGTTTTGTGGAGGGTGAAACGGCTGTCTTTTCCTTTTCGTCGGCTTCAATACAGTCTTTAGAATTCAACTCCAGCAAAATTTGCTTACATTTGACGAACTTAAAGATATGAAATAAGCGCGATAAAGTTTGCAGCAGCGCTAATTCACTTTTTAAGTGGCCTTTTTGTAGCCGCGTGGAATTACGTCATGTCAGTTATGAGATTTGATTGGACAGTTATCCTTTCTTCTCGTTCCAAATATGGTACTCGCGAAAATGAATATTCGCAATCATCGGACAAGGCAAACATATGAGAGTTACAAGTTTCAACCCCTTGTGAGTTTCTGTCCCTGCTAATAAAGCTTTGAAAATGTATTATTTTTATATTCGAGACATCAATGTAGCTATATCTTTGTTCTCTAAAATCTCGAAAAGGGTTTGCTTTCATTTACTTTTAAACCGATTTTTATCCTGAAGTGTTTTGATGAAAAGGGGCACCGGAGATCGAGAACGATCATTTTTTCCCCTGAATTAAGTACTTATTCCATTCAGGAATATATAAAATAATGCAGAATATTTGTTCGGATCTGCTTTTCCGCATACCCGAGTAAGCGGAATGTATTCCACACATCTCGGATTAAATCCCTGTCTTACGCCACTCTTGGTTTGAGCTTGGTAGAGAACCTTGCTTTGTCACTTTTTACCATTCTCTCAATGACTTTCGCCCCATCACGAAATAAACAGGTTATTTTCCTTCACATCTAAACCGGTCTTCTTACACGTAAACGTTTTTCTCCTAGATGGCAAAAACGTTAGTGAAGTTTACACCGAGCTTAACCTACTGACAAACACTGATATCTATACATTCTTCAGTCATGCGGCTGCACTTTAAATACATACAGTTGCGATTCCTTAGTCCAACTTGGCTCTTAGACTCCGTCGCGTTTATTCTACTAACGAGCGCTTCACACTCCGAATAAATGAACTCATATCTCAACCATCATTGATACAATACTGGTACATATCAAAGCAAAGCAAAGCAGTTACACCCAATAAAAATTCCACGCTGAAATGGTTTGACTGACGCGATTCGACAACCTCAGAGTCAAATCCCTCGGTCGGCGTACTCTGTGGGTCATCCTCTGTTTGCACATTTTTTTTCTGATCGTAGGCCTGATCCGCACTTCTGGATCTCGAATTAATTATCGTCTCTGTTTACGTTCCTAAGCCGTATTTTCGTGTTGCTTGATGCTCCCGCTGAAGAGCTCAAGAACGTTTAGCTGTTAGAGTTTTTCATTTTCGAGGACTGGTCAGCTCAAATTCTGTTCAGTACCAAAATGCATTTGAGGACTTCCTTGAAACAGAAGATGCGTTACCTGATCTTTCCTCTCTCAGAGGTGTTGCCGAGAAGATTGCGAAGAAACTAAAGCCAAAATCATTTAGCTGTAGAGATAATTGGATTCGAATGCCAGCGCAGTTTTTCCGCCTTCTTTCTCTCCAGTTTTGTCTTGCTTGTGGGAAAGTTAAAAATGAA